CTAGTGACTCTCTTATGCTAGTGAGGCCCTAAATATAAACCTATTATCTTATCTAGACCTCTTTTGTAGCACTTAGCTAGGTTGCTTCTGTACCTAGCTGCCCTAGCTTATTATATATCTTTTTAGTGTATTGATTCTAGCTTCCTTTGCCTTCCTAGCTACCTATATTCTTACTAGGCATTCCTTCGCCTAAGAGGGGTGTCTTTTGGTATAGTATATATATCTTGCTTCTCCCTTATGTGCTTTGCATTCTTTGACCTAGTAATCCCCTATATAATAGGAGCAGGTGTTAGTTGTCTTTATACACTTAGCTACTAAGTGTCTATAGTGTTAATATTTGAAGTACTGTATTATCCTATAGTTGCTTCTATATATCTCTATTTCTAATCTTTCAAAGTCCTAGAACAACCCCTAGTCTAGTACTATATTAGCTTGCTCTGTACTCCCTACCTAGATAATTAGGGAAGACTGCTTCTTAGTCTCTTCGATTTTCCTTTTGATCTATGCTACCTTTGTAATCTTTAGGCCTAGGTATATAGCTTAGTTTTGTCTCTATAGGCTCTTAATATCCTGTTCTTCCTTAAAGCTTCTTGTTATACTATAGGCTATAATTATAAATTGCTATTAGGAGATCTTTGCTGTTTTCCCTATCTTGGTTGTCTATTCTTTTTGTGTTTCTAGCTTCTTTTTGTCCTACTCTTGTACTATAAATAGCTTGATTACCCCTTTACCTTCGTTCCTAGCCCTAATTACCTCTTTAATTGCAATTCTTTCTACAATCTCTTTCCCTATAAGTCCTTAGATTTCCTTTTGTTCCTATAGGTCCGTAATGTAGACTCTAACTACTGTCCTCGGGGGTTTTAGCGCCTCCTAACTAGCTATTGCTACCTAGGTGCGGTAGTTTGGGCTTGTCTCCTATTATTTCTTCGTAATCTTTGCTGCGACTATATTAGCTACCTTTATAATTACGTAGCTTGCCTAGTTGTAGATTGCTTTTAGTCCTCTAAGGAGTTCTAAGATTATTATCCTATATGCCCTCTTAGGGGTTCTTCTATCTTCCGCCTTTAGTACCTCCTCTACCCTAGTATATAGTGCTTTCTATTCGTCCTCCCTCCCTTCTTAACTATCTTCCCTTCGTCTCTAGTTGTTCGCTGCCATTTTTTATGTTTAGCCTATTAGCTCCCCTATATAGGTTATCTATATCTACTACGTAGGTAGTAAAGTCTAGTAGGCGCTCGTTGCCGAGGTCGTCTCTTAGGACTATATAAACATAGTAGGCTCTATAGGTTAAGTGCCGAGCGTCATTAAACTAAGCAAGGGTTAGTAGGTTAGTCCTAGGCAGTTATCGAAGATCTAATTGCTTAGCTAGACGATAGCTAATAAGGGCACTAACTAAATTCCCTAGATCTAGTATAATCTTAGTCTTATAATTAGTACTATACGAGTCCGATACGAGACAGGTACGTATAATAGCTAGCACAATATTAATAGTCTTACGCCGTATAAGGCTAATAGTTAGTACGGCGCTTATTCTTTTTTCGACTAATTAAAAGAGCCGATAGGGGTAGTATTAGCGGCTAAAAGGTGCTTCCTATACTTAGCGGAAGCACGGTTAATTCGGGCCTAGTCCTTAGGTTTGTTATATTAGCCTAGTAGGTAGCTAGTACTATTACAGTTAAAGCATTTCAATCCGGTAGGGGGATTACTATAGCCGCTATTACTGCTATTATTAGTTAAGCGATTAGTATTATAGGGATACGAGCCCCTTCTACGGCCCCTATTACGGCCTCCTCTATATAGCCGTCGGCTACGGCCTCTTCTACGGTCGTTACTATTCCTATTATTAGCATTATTGTCCTAGTAGGAACCTTAGTTTCCTCCGCGGGTACTACGGTTACCGCGGTTAGTACTAGCTAGTCGGATCCTCGATTCTAGTCGTTATTAGAGCTAAATAGCTCGTTTAGCCGTTTCTACCTCGACTATGAATTAAATACGTATTAGATTAGCCTATTTAAATATCCGGCGACGGTCTAATTCGAGAATAAGCTCCTACCTAAGCTTAGGGCGTATTTTAGAGATCTATATAGAATTAGTCTTAGCCGGAAGGTTATCCTCGAGGGTCTTTAAATAGGCCTCAAATAAGCGAGCCGACTAGTTAGTCTTTTGTTTAGCTCGGAGGTACTAGTCCTAGGTATGTTATTACCTTAGTATAGGGTTTCTAAGGGTGTCTAGTATAATAGTTTTGTAGGTCTACTACTAAACAGCAGTCTAGTTATTAAGGGAGTCGAAATAGTTATCCTATATACGCTTTAGGTCGCTATTAATGTACTATATAGCGTAGACAACTAGTAAATAGTCGTCTAGAAGAGCCCTCGGTATATTTCGTTAGTTAAGTTTATAGTTACAAATGTAGTCGTTATACTGCTTTCGACTAGAGCTATTAAACATAGTGCAGTCCTTAAGTTTAGCATCCTTCTTTTAGATAGATAGTAAAGAAGGTCCTACTATTAGCTTAGTTGTCGGGGCTTCCTAAAGGTAGCGAAGTTCGAGGAGGTCGTCCTTTAGCTATTGTTCTTAGCGTAGGGCAGTAAGCCTGTTTTAAGTAGCTTCTTAAAGTCTCCTTACTAGTTAAGGGCTAAAGGCTAGTTAGCTATATCGTCGATTAACAATGTTATTAAGAATGTCGTTAATAGGCAATTCTAGATTATTACCTAGAATTATAGGTTCTTCTTTAGTAGGCCCTCTAGTAGGCTCTTTAGTAGGTGCTTTAGTAGGCACTTTAGTAGGTGCTTTAGTAGGCACTTTAGTAGGCACTATGCTACTAGCGTTGTCGTTGCTAGCGCTACTAGCAGTAGTACGGTTGTTATTGCTTCGTAATAAGCCGGCTATTATAATAGAGGGTAATACTAATAATATATTATAGGCCACTAAGATACGGATATAGCGGAATTAGTAGATATCGGCTTAGTGCGATTGATTTAGTATAATAGGCCGTATAGAAGGCCTTACTTAATAATTAGTACGATTGTTTCGATAGAATAGTACGTATAGGTCCTATTCTTCGGGCGTAATATAGTTAGATTAGCGATTTTCGTAGCTATACCGCTAAAAGCTTAAAATAAGGACTATCTAGCTGCTGCCCTTAAAGGGTAGATCGAATACTATATAAGAAGGGTTATATTAGCAGGTAGATAGGGTAGTAGTAGGTATAGGTAGTATTCGATAAGAAGCTAGAAGAAGAGGGAGAAAGGTAGGCAAGTTAGCCTATTACTAAGCGCTAAGCCCTGCCTAAGGTATTAAGACCCTAGCTTCACTCGAGCCCGGTTACATACTAATTACGTGTAACCTCTTTAGTCCTAACAGGTATTTATAAGTAAGTATCGGGTCTCTACCCGAAATTAAGAGGTCCCCTTAGAACTAGAAAAAAGGATATAATATTACCTCCGAAACTACCTAGAGCCTACTAGAAAACCTACGGAAATCCTTATTAACCTAGCTAATCCGGCGGACCGATACGATTAGTACCGAGACGGAGAGTAGTAGGAATATCCCTAAAAGAAAAGAAGATTAGCGAGAGAAAATCTAAGAATAGAGATAAACTTACGTCTAAGTTTGTTATACTACGATATTAGTAACGGTACTCGTTACCTCCGAGGCGATAGCGCTAAAGGAAATAGTTAGCGGGGGTTTTATCGCAGGAAACGGGAAATCCTACCTAGATAGTAATCTCTACGGCTAGAGAGACTTAAGGGCTTTCTATACCTTAAGAACCTTAAGAAGCTCGGAGTGCTTCTCGGCGACGTTGCCGCGGGTCGCGCGGGTATAGCTAGCGTAGGCTACGTAGGCTATTTAAGGATTAAATAGTTAGCGAGGGTTTTAGTATAGGAATCGCGAAAACTTATAGTAGAGCGTAAGCGATTCTCTTATAAGCGCAATTAGCGTAGGCCCTCGAGCTAGCGGGCTAAAAAGAAGTTAGCGGACCCTACGATAAATAGGGCGGGAACCTTATAGATTAATCGACGCAGTCCTCGCCGGAGTTATAGTAACTAATATAGTAGATTCGATAGGCTATCTAGGATAAGTTAATTTTACGAAGGAAATCGCGGAATATAGAGAGGGACTTACTATAGTAGTAGTAGTAGTAGTAGTAGTAGTAGTAGTAGTAGTAGTAGTAGTAGTAGTAGTAGTAGTAGTAGTAGTAGAGGGTATATATAAAGAAAAGAAGAAGAAGAAGAAGAGGGAAATATTAATACTTTTAGAAGGCGACGCTAAAGTAAAGGTCGCGAAAGTAAAGGAAAGCGCGATTATAAGTAAAGCGTTTAAAAGCGTAGTACGGCGCGTTCTAGAAGGCGGTAAGTAGGTAAAAGAGCGCGGTTTAGTAGTCGCAAAGAAAGTTATAGTCGTTAAAATCCTAGGTACGGCAACCCCGACTAAAAAGTAGTAGAAACCCCGATCGTAAAGAAGGAAACTACGAGCGCGTTACTCTAGAGAAGCTTAGATAGGTATAAATCTAAGATTATCTAATAGATAAAGTAATAGCGATAGAAACTATAGAGGGATTTCTATCTCTACTAAGGAAAGGGAGGAGGATAGGGATAATATAAAGGGCTACGCCCTAGGTAGAAAGCGCTAGCCTTAGGTATTCGGCCTACGCGACTCTAACCTACTACTTAGCGCTTAGCGCACCGTATAAAACTATTCGGATTTACGTAGATAGACTTAGCTCTTTATCGAACCTATTAAGTCTTATATCTAGCATCTGCGTACGCGTTGCTTACCCGTAATAGATAGCGACGAAGAGGGCGCCGATAGGGAACCCGGAAGATAGCGGTAATCTGTAATAATATAATACAATATAACACAACGGTATTCAGCACTCCTCGGACGAAATGGCGAAGTTCAGTTTATACAGACTGCCGACCGACTGATATATGCAGTTCACACATGACATGATTTTTCTTTCACCAACTATACTGTCAGTCATACGTCTACGTCTACATCTACAACTTCATCTTCTCGAACCGCGCCAAACTATCCTCATAAGCCTTCTGCTCGCTAAAGAGATCCTTCAGTCTAGCATCTGCCTTGGCCTTAATCTCCTCACTGACACCAGACGCCAATTCCGAGATGAGCTTTTGCTGCTCTTGCACAGCTTTTGCGCTTTCCTCGAGCTTCGGTTTCTGCTTCTTGATTTCGGCAGCGGGATCAGGGTTCGGGATTTGGAGGAAGATGTTCGCGGCGCTGGATACTGGGTACACGGAATAGCCGTCCGGGATTTCGGTGGAGTGGATCTTGAGTTCTGCGGTACCCTTTGCAAGAGCTTTGATAGACGCGAGATATTCTTCAGCTGTCTTTGTCGCTTCCGGATTGAGGGTTTGCACGAGACCGATACCGCCCTCCTTGATGCCGTGTTCGCTGAGGAGAGATCGGAGACCTTTAGAGCAGCCAAGCACGAGCTCGTAGTCACGCTCTGACTTCGGATCGTCAAGCGTCTGGTCGTATTGTGGGTAAGCGGCGCGCACTATACTTGGAGTATTGTCGTTCGGCCGGCGTGGGAGACGCTGCCAAAGCTCTTCCGTCAAGAAAGGCATCATGGGGTGGATCATGGTCAAGCCGCCTTCGAGTGCGGTGTAGAGCGTGTCAATGGCGCTCTGCTTTTCCTCTGTTGTCCCGTCTCGGATGATCGCCTTGCTGTTCTCGATATAGACGTCGCACAGCTCTGAGTACCAGTACCCGTAGATGGCTTGGGTCGCTTTGGAGAACTCACGCGCTTGGAGGGCATTATTGGCATCGCGGGCAGCAATCGTGAGCTTGTGCAAGATCCATCTCTCCGGAAGACTCTCTTTCCCAGTCTTGCCGCCCTTCTCCTTGGGCTTAAAGTCGGCAGGCAGGTTGCCGAGCACGTACTTTGTCGCCTGGTAGATCTTGTTGCAGAAATTACGGTAGCCGCGCATAACCTTGACGTCGAAGTTGATGTCTCCTCCTCCGGTGGCATAGTTGATGAGGGTGAATCGTAGTGCGTCAGCGCCGCACTCGTCAATGCCACCAGCGAAGGCTTTCTGCTGCCATTTCGTAGCTCTCTCAATCTCCTTTGGCGCCAGATTACCTGCTTTTAGCTTTTCAGTAAGCGTTTCAAGGGACACACCGTCCATGATATCGATCGGATCGATGACGTTGCCGAGCGATTTTGACATCTTGCGTCCTTCAGAGTCTCGAATGAGGGCATGGTTGTACACTTCCGTGAAGGGGACTTTGCCTGTCATCTTGATGCCAAACATGATCATACGTGCAACCCAGAAGAAGATAATGTCCCATCCAGTCTCGAGCACAGATGTCGGGTACAGCTTCTCGAAGTCGTGTGTCTTGTTGGGCCATCCGAGCGTCGAGAATGGCCACAGTCCAGATGAGAACCATGTATCAAGACAGTCAGGGTCGCGCTCCAGCTCGAACTCCTTGCCTGGGAATTTCGCTTCTGCCTTCTTGCGAGCGTCCTCTTCTGTCTCACCGCACACCCAATACTGTGGATCTGAGTCGTACGCGCCACCCTCCTTCAGCTTGACGTAGTATGCTGGGATCTGGTGCCCCCACCAAAGTTGGCGTGATATGCACCAGTCGTCGATGTTCTCCATCCATCTGAAGTAGTCGCGCTCGACAAGAGCAGGCATAATCTTAATCTCGCCCTTCCTCACAGCTTCGATAGCAGGCTCTGCCAGCGGCTTCATATACATCCACCATTGCGGCTTCAGCACTGGTTCAATGACATCCTTTGACTTGCTGCACAGAGGGATCTGCATCTTGTTGTTATCTTTCCCAACGTACAACCCCAGCTTGGTCAGCTCATCAATGATCTCGTATCGAACATCGAAGCGCTTGTGTCCAGCGAAAGGCCCGGCATTCTCGTTCATGGTGCCATCGTCATTCAGGATATTGATGAATTCGAGATTGTTCGCCTTGCCTCGCTTGAAATCGTTGAAGTCGTGCGCAGGTGTAATCTTGACGGCACCAGTCCCGAAGTCCTTCTCGACATCGTCGGCGCCGAAAATGGGAAGGAGACGGTCGACGAACGGATGCTTGACCTTCTTCCCGATGAGGTGCTTGTACCGCTCGTCAGTGGGATGGACAGCAACACCAGTGTCGCCAAGCATGGTCTCGGGACGAGTGGTGGCAACCTCGATGAATTCTTTGGTACCGTCGATAGGATACTTGAAGTTCCAAATGGTACCGAACTCAATCTTCTTGTCATAACCCGGAACGTCGAGCTTTGTCGAGCCTTCGAGCTCTTTTTGGTCGACCTCCAGATTGGAAAGGGATGTGTTGAGAGCTGTGCACCAATTCACCAGACGGTTGGCGCGGTAGATGAGACCTTCGTCATGTAGCTGAATGAAAGTCTGTCGAACAGCTGCTGACAGATTCTCGTCCATGGTAAAGGCTTCTCTCGTCCAGTCCATCGAGCCACCAAGTCGCTTCATGCCCTTGTTGATCTTGGCGTGGTATTCCTCCTTCCACTCCCAGACAGTTTCAACAAACTTTTCTCTGCCGAGATCATGGCGTGTGGTACCGTTTCGTCGGCGGTAGAGCATGTTCTCGACCACGCTCTGAGTTGATAGACCTGCATGATCGCATCCCGGCACGAAGAGCACAGTCTTGCCTTGCATACGATTCCACCTGATCATGGTGTCTTGCAAAGAGGTGGCTAGCGCGTGTCCGATGTGCAGAGCGCCGGTGACATTCGGCGGGGGTATGGAGATGACAAAGTAGCCAGCATCTTTAACATTGCCATCGCTCTTGAACTCGGGCTTGTGAAAGCCTTCCTTCTCCCACCAGTCGTACCACGCGCTCTCCACAACAGATGGATTGTAGGCCTTGTGATACTCGTCGTCCAAAGGCTCGAGGATCTTCTTGTCTCCCTTGGGCGTCTTTTCGACGTACGGCGGCAGCTTTGTCTGCTGTTTCTTCTCCTTCTGCTGTTTAGGCGCAGATGCTGCCTGCTGCTGTTTCTGCTTCTGCTGCTTTGCCAAGAACTTGGCTTCTTTTTCCGCCTTCGCCCGCTCTTTTGCTAGCTCTTTCTCCGTCTTCTCCTTCTTGGGTGCATTCGCGTCGCCGCCATCTTTGCCTGGGGCCGACTGGCCTTGGATGTCGCTATTCGCAGCTTCCAAGATTGCGTTTTTGCTTTCTGCTGATGGTGGAGGTGGCTGGCCTGTTGCTGGGCCCGTCTTCTCCCCAGTGGGATTGTGAGAAGCGTGGTTCAAAGCCATCGTCACAGTGGTACAGAAAGTGCGATGGGTTGTTCTTACACAGAGCGCGCGCCGGAAGAGCGCTCTGGAAATCGTGTTGAAGGCTGCTCTCTCAGGGCATTTGACTCAAAGGAGTGACTGTGCTGGTGCTGTGAGTCTGCGGGCCGGGATGGGACAAGGAGGGTTGCAGAGTCGTTGTCATCAAATGAGTCGAACTTTTGCCTTTCCTTTCAAGCATTGGAATCGGCTTGGCTTGCAGAGGAGTCGGAGTCAGGATCGACGTCAGGCACGCTCAGGCACGAATTGGAAAAAGCTTAAACCTGTATACCGGGCTTCGTCGTTTTCACGTCTTCTCCCTTTCTTCCACTATATGTATATTAATCTGCCATACCGTTGAGGTCGTGCGCTTGCGCCTTCTCGGTCACCTCTACACGCTGGCCGTGGCCGTGTGGCTAGCAGATTGTCGTGATGGCCACATCACAGTCAGGATACGATAGGCCTGCTTCGATGCCGTCCTTTCTGGCATTGGGGAGATCAGTTGCGCACTGCAGAAAGCCCCCTCACACATTCTAAGCACGTCAAAATTCATATGACGAGTGTTGTGCTTTGAAGACGTGATGTATGGGAGGCCGACATCTGGCTTTAGAATACTTACCAGCATCTCCCTTGCTGCCAATATCATCATTCTCGCCGACACCGAGGCATCTCATATATATTTGACAGATGCGCTCCAACTCCTCCCTCTGCTGCATGCCACCATACCACCAACGCACGAACATGGACGGGGACCTCGAGAAGGGGCTGTTGGCCTACCACTGCCACCAGCACTATTTGACCCTGACTCCGACGCTGGCCCCACGCCCGTCATCAACGGGACCAGCACTCATCAGCAGCGTCGCCACGAGCGTCTTGGAAGTGCTCTCGGAGCCTGCTCATATGCTCATGACGTGGCTCTTTGAAGCGTATTCGCTGTCCCGCCAGTGTATGGAGGATTGACCCCTTTCTACCTCTTCCATCATCAATGGCTGCTCACTTGCTCCACCACCACGCACGCCATACATCACTAGTCAACAAGTAGTGGCGACACCGAGCATCTCACACTTACTGTATCGCTCTCCGGCTTTTGTCAATGGATTCCTGTGTCACTCCCGAATATGCCATTCAATACTGTACACGCACGCACGCACGCTAATTGACCACCTTCAACTATGATATTGACCATCTGCGAATCCTCGCCGTAGTCGCCTTTGCAGCTGGTCGGAAGCTTAAACCCGACCTTCGAAGTTCGAAACATGAGCTCACCTCCACCTTCGTCCTCTCTCGACATCCTACTTCCCGAAAGGACATACGCTCTCCAGCCCGCACCCGCACCCGCACCCGCCTCAATTGCCTCGCCTTCCACCCCTTCTAGCTGCTCTCCTGATAGTAGCTCCACCCCCGAAGCCGAGCAGAAGGAGACCGTCAAGCAGGAACTTGAGCGCATATCCAGCGCCTTCGAAAATGCCATTCAGAATGGCCAATGGGTAGCATTGGACCATCTCAGTGCCAAGTACATCTCACCTTCCTTCCATGCCCGCTTTGACAATGCGCTCATCTCCTCCTGGACCGACTACGTAACTCTGGTGTCACTCTGGACAAAGACCAACCCTGGCTGGCAGAAGAGTGTGCTGAGCACCGAAGCAGATGTCGACGAAGAGAATGGCCAGGCTACAGTGTACATCCTCATGAAGGTTACTGGTTGGCCGGTACAGTTTGACAGGATGGTCGTCAGCGTACTGACGTGGAAGAAGCCAAGAAGACGATGGGTCTGCTGTGAGAATACAACGATGCGAGGCGTCGACACCTTCCAAACTGGAGCAGGTGGCTGAGGGTAGCATGTGACGGCTCGAGCGAATATTCCATCAGCGCTGCAGTGCAAGAGCAGCATTGAAGCCGTAACATGCAGCGCGCGAGATGCAGACACAGTCATCGTCAACAGTCTCGAGTCACCAGTGCCTTTCTTCTGGGTAGTACCTAGAGTGTGCATTCTACAATAACTTTGAGCCGTCCATCCCCGCGATCGAAGCGATCTTGGGTCATCGGGCGGGGCCTGGCAGCAATTGCAGGCGCAACGTGAGCGTCACTGGACTCCCACCCTTGTTGGAGAGGCTATTCTAAGTTACCAGCGACGACAAGCGGGCTTCGTTGGAGTTCTATCTTCGGGTACAAGGGTCGGATGAAATCATGCCTGCCTGCCTTTGCGGCACAGCCTGTCAGCAAACGGCTCGGATTTTCATCCGTCTTTTTTTTTTCTCGTCGTGCTGGTCGATATGACGAATTGACATGCACTGTAGCGCATAAAGTTCTCCTGTGATTGCGCGGAACACTGGCCGCAGAACTGTTTCTGGCCTGTGTTTCAGATGGCATAACGCAAGTAACGCAAAAAAGTGAACGAACTCGCGCCACCCTTCCCTACCCAGCAGATCTCGTACCTTCCGCAACACAACCAATCGACACTTGACAAGGACGGGATTCCAACCTCTTGGTCCTGGGATCAGAACCCATGCACCAGCCGCCTAAATAGCTGATCCTTGCCAGTAGCCTGGTTCTGGGAACTTTCGGACCGCATGCAGGGAAGGTTCACGATCTCGCCCTGCGAAAGTGGGAGAGCCGACCAATGTTGCTCTTGCCGAACACAGATCAGGAGTAGTTCGTGAGTTTGTGCCGACGCGACTCTGCTAATTGGCTCAATAACCAGGAAATGGCTCTACATACAGTTACATACCATGGAAGGAGACTGTCTGTGCCTTGACGCATTGATGAACACCATTGACATCGAACTTGGACCAACGCACCACCTGCACTTCGAGGCTCTATCATCAGCAACAACATTGACATTAAGGAGGCGAGACGCGTTCAGTCATAAGCTGCGAGACCTCTCCAACCACCACATATCTGAGACAACCACATCTGCCATGCATACGCAGCAGCAGCAGCAGCAGTGAATACGAGAAGCTTGGAACACGCGCATCAACGTCAGACTCCAGCAAGATCTGCATACAATCAACCACAAAGATCAACACCACCATTATCTTCCGCCAAACCCCACCATCTTACCATCCTCCATCCCAGCAAAGATGGGCATCTGCCTCTCCACCCGCAAACGTCCATCCTTCTACTCATCCGACGACCTCTTCCACAAATCCCCCACCACAATGCCCGAACTCGTCATCCCCGACCACCACCCGGCAAGTCCCAAATTCGTAAAAGACAGCGTCACGGAACTTCGACACGAACTTTTCGTCCATCGACCTTGTGCTGCGGCGCTCAATTGGGGTCATGGAGGAGGGAGAAGGAAGCGGAGTTCGAGTTGGCCGCATAACAAGACGGCGGATCGGTGGGAGAGTCCTAATACTAGTGTTATGGATTGGGATGAGAAGGTGTGAGTTATGGGAAGGGGATGGAGGGAGAAGGTGGAATGGTTAAGGTAGGTTAGTAATGATATATGATGGTGTTTGGTGTAATGGAATGGTACAGGTGATTTGATTTGTAGAGATGGATTGTGTGATATACTAGGTGGCTGGTTGCTGGGAAAATTTCTATAGGGAGATATATATATATATATATATTTTCGTCTTTGAAGACGAGGGAAATATACGGTTTATTTTATTTATTTTACCTTTCTTTCTTCTATCTGCTATATGTATTTCAAGGCTCGCTTTATTACGCCTTAAACATCGAAAGTACTATATAGACCCCCCTCCCCCGCCTAGTAATACTAAACTTACGACACTTACTACGTACCTTATTTAGTCGTAACATTTTCAAGGTTCTCTCTAACTACAGTGCATTTATAACCCCAATCCAAAATCCACCAACTTGTCCTCATCGATCGGGCATTTAATACCTAGAATAACAATAACCGTATAAAAGGAAAGCACAGTACCTATCGACTCTATAGCCATTCAAGATTCAGAAATTGCAAATAGCAATAGTCCGGCGCCAAGTTCGCGATCACTGTCTTCGATCCTATCAATAACCCACCTCCCCCTCTCCTCTCTCTCTGCTGAAGGACTGAAGGCGAACTCCCTCCTCGACCGCATCTGCACTCGGGACATTGGTAAGGGTAAGGGTCGAGTCGAGGCAGGTAAGCTTTTAGTCGAAGCGGTGTATTTGCTTCTTCGTCGAGGTCAGCATGGATCTCCAATGCTGAATCTCAGTGTCAAAAAATTACCCGCAGCCATCGTGACTGTAGGACGGCCTGAGAAGTGTTTTCGACATCCGAGTCAAAGTCGCCAGGACACAGACACACGAGATTTGTAGATCCGAGCTTCAGCAGGCCGTGGCTGCAAATACAAATACGCCGACAAAAGTGACGGCGGGCCAAGCCCCGACATGTGAAAGCCGCCTCCTCCTCATTGTCGAACGCCGTCACTCCCACATACATCTTCATCTTCACGTTCGGCTCATCGTGCACGCTAGCTTGAGAATTGTCAGAGCGATGCGGGTGCACATAGTTCCTTCATCGTTTGCTAAAGCGGAAGTAAGACAAGAGACGGACACGTGGCTAGTCATGCAAATTGTAAGCGGGTATCTATCGCATCATTTCTATAGAGACACAGCACTCACGCCGTTCGTAATTTTCGCGGCGCCGTTGAGCTCGGCAATCTTCCGCGTGACTTCCTCCTCAAGGTTGGCCATGTCGATGAGCACACCGCTCTTCTCTGGGTGATCATCTGGAAGGCCGTTCACCTTGAGCTTACATTTGTTGTCCTTGAGTTCGTCCTCGCCAAGAATCACTGCCAAAGGGACGCCGTTCTGCTCGGCAGCCTTGAATTGCTGCGGCAGTTTGGGTTTGGCTTTCCAACTGAACTCTGCCTTGATGCTAGCTTTCCACAGTCGCTTTGCAACTGCCATACGTTCCTTCAAAAGGCCACTGCCGAACGCCATCACGTATACGTCGACCTCGTTAGTGCGTATTGGGGCTGATGCAGCATCTTGGGCGAGTCTCTGCTTGGTTATGCTGAAGATACGCTCCACACCGAAAGATATACCGACGCAAGGAATCTGGCCTTTGCCGCTGAACATGTTGACCAGATTATCATACCGGCCACCTGCGGCGACCGATCCAACGCCGACAGTAGGGTCATTCGATCTATCCTCCTCGCCATCGACGTTTGAAGCTCCCTTCTTGGGCTTTGATTCTCCCTTGCCTTGCTGCTTAATTGCTTGGCCTTCGGATGTTTGAGGTGCAGAGCCTTCGGTGACGACCTCGTAGATGACACCAGTGTAGTAGTCAAGGCCTCGAGCTAATGACATGTCAAATGAGATCCTGTCCATGCATTCGTAGATCTTGAGGTAGTCGAAGAGCAATGCCATATCTTCCAGACCCTTCTTAGCTGACTCGTTGGCGGAGAGCTTCGCATCGGCTTGGAGCTTGGCCAGCAGCTCCTCGCCTCCCTTCAGCACAACATATTCTCCTATCCGATCCGCGATCTCCGGATCTAAACCCTTCTCTTCCGTCATTTCTCTGCGGACTTCTGACCACGGTGACTTGTCAAGCTTGTCGACTGCTGACGAAATCGTGCGAATCTTCTCCTCCGGCACACCACAGACCTGGAAGATGCCGTCCAAGATCTTGCGGTGGTTGATTTTAATTGTGTACTGTCCACTCCATCCTAGCGCCTCGAAGACCTCCACCTGAATATTGATGATCTCGGCGTCGGGAAGCATTAGGTCGTAGGTTCCTGCAATATCGAAGTCGCACTGGTAAAATTCTCGCATTCGGCCTTTGGTCATGGCGGGCTGATCTCTTCGATATACCTTTGCGATGTGATATCTCTTTATGCTTTGCACGCTTGAGTTCATGGCCAGCCATCGTGCAAATGGTACTGTGAGGTCGTATCGTAATGAGCAGAGCTCGCCGCCCTGGTCTGCGAGATCGTAGATGAGTTTGCTGTCTTCGCCATACTTGCCGGCAAGGATTTCTTTAAGCTCGAAAACGGGTCTACAGTAACGCTGTTAGTGTATAACATGCACAAGACCATATCTCATACTGCACCTACGTATCGATCGTGACTCCTCCGTGACGCTTGAAGACTTCGGTGATGGTGCTGAAGATCTTGTCGCGAATGACCATATCCTTGCCGTCCCAGTCCTTCGTACCCTTGGGCACTTTCAGCTGGTAGCTGCTCTTGCTCTCCTTCTCTTTCCCCATCTCGTCAATTTCAATGAACTTTTGGAAGACCGTCTGTCGGCGCTGGGTTGCTCTGGTAAAGGGTCTACAAGTCAATGCAGGTCGGATCGTACGTGGACGTGGTTGTAGTCCAAAAGCGCTGGAGAGGTGCAGAAAGCGCTTCATACAAAAAGAGCGTGGATGTTGCCAACGTGTGAGTCGAATGCTCCCTGCCAGTCAGGCACTGGTCCAGAAACATTTGGCAGTCGCAGAGAGCGGAGCGGAGTGGGGGCCGGGCGAATCAGCGACCTCCTCCAAAATCGCGCCAGGCACACACTTTCCCAGCGCCGCCTTCTGCCATCCTTTGTGACAACTACACCTCCACACAAGATGTAGCCATGGCCGTACAATCGGCCGCAAAGCCCATAAACACACAGGAAATCACCGACAAGGCTCGCCGGGAGCTGCTACTGCTGCTCGAAGCCGTACGCGGATATCTGCCCGCAAAATCTTGCACCACTATGCTCACATCTGCTACAGGTGAGAGGCAAGAAGAATCTGGTCATTGAGAAGTCCTTGGCTGGCACCATCGGCCTCATTGTCAAGTTCAGCACTCTGCAGGAGTACGGCGTTGACAAGCCTTTCTTCCTCGAGAACCACAATGTCGACTCCAGCCAGCGAAATATCGTTTTCATGGTACGAGGAGAGAATGCGAAGAAGATTCGCATGGTAGCTGGTATGTATTATTCACCTTTTCCTGCACGAGTACCTCGCACGAGGCCAAGGGGATCTTAAAGTAGAGTATGCAGATGTATTGCACCCACTTTGTGTATTCAGTCTTGATCCCAAGATTAATCAGATGAAAAGCTCGCTCTGAAGCCTCACGTGTCCTGATCATGTCGAGAGCCATTGAAACTTGCTTACATTCATTCCATTACCTGTTTGCGTCTCGAATGCCAGCTAACAGAAACAGAGCAGATCAAGCTGGTCCGAAGCACAAGTCAGATAGACCATGTTTTCACCATAATCTGGGTGCCACGCCGGACTCTCGTCAGCAATCTGATTCTCGAGGAACATGGCGTCTTGGGAGAGGCGAATATCACCGAGTTCGCGCTCAACTTTGTGCCTCTCGAGCCAGACGTACTATCTCTAGAACTCGAAGACGCCTTCAGCAGTCTCAGCCTGAGAAAGGATCCCACCAGCATCTTCGCGTCTGCAAAGGCGTTGATGCTGATGCAGAAACAGTATGGTCTCTTTCCAAGGATTCTCGGCAAGGGCGACAATGCTAAACGACTGGCGGAATTACTCCAGCGCATGCGACAAGAAGAAGACGTGAATGCATCGGCAGATCCCAGCAATACCTACCTTTCTGGCTTTGGTCTCACCCCGAGCGCTTTGATAGAGAATCTCATCATCATCGATCGCGATGTAGATTTTCCCACCGTGCTCTCTACGCAATTGACGTATGAAGGTCTTGTGGACGAAGTCTGGGGAATCAGCAATAATAATACCGAAGTCGACTCCTCAATACTGGGCGGGGCACCTGCGACACAATCACAGCAGACCGGCTCTACTACCACGCCCACCGCAGCTACCAAGCGCAAGGTCATTTTAGACTCCAGCGATAAGCTGTATCCAGATTTGCGCGATGCCAATTTCGCAACCGTTGGACCAGCTTTGAATCGCATAGCGCGGCGTTTGGCTTCGGATAGCGAAAGCATGCACAACAAAGACCAAACGGTTGCAGATCTCAAGAATGTTGTTGCCAAGCTCCCATCATACCAAGCAGAATCTGCGGCCCTCAAGGTCCATACCAGTTTGGCAGAAGAAATCCTGAAGACGACGCGTAGCGAGAGCTTTGGTCGCATGCTCGAAGTTCAACAGAACCTCCTCGCAGGAACCGATCCGAGCAGTCTACACGAGAACATCGAAGAGCTCATCGCTCGAGATGCACCTTTATCAACCGTCCTCCGGCTCCTCTGCCTCGAAAGCTGTCTCACCAACGGCATCCGCCAACGAGACCTCGACACCTTCAAACGCCACATCCTCCAAGCCTATGGCTACCAACATACCCTAACCCTCACCAACCTCGAAAAAATGTCCTTGCTCATTCCCCGAGAATCCCACAGAGGCTACTTAAACCCCATAGCAGGATCCCTCGGCCAAACATCCACCGACTGGTCATCAATCCGCAAAACTCTCCAACTCTGGACCGACGAAGTGCAAGAAGCCGATCCAACAGACACAGCCTACGTCTTCAGCGGCTACGCACCTTTAAGCGTCCGATTAGTCCAGAGCATTCTCCAAAAATCCTACCTCCAAACCCTTGTGAATCCCGGTAAGCAACAGGCCCCCGTTCCTGGACCTACCGGCACCGGCTGGAAAGGTTTCGAGGATACCTTGTCGAGAATCCGGGGAGCCACGGTCGACGTGACCCAAAAAGGTAGCGACGCAGATGCGTCGCATGCGCGGAAGATCCTGCGAGGAAGTAAGGAGGGTCCCAAGACCACGGTTGTGTTTTATTTGGGAGGTGTAACGTATGCTGAGATTGCCGCTTTGAGGTTGGTGAGTAGGCAGTTGGAGGAGAGTGGAAGTGGGAGGAAATTGGTGATTGCTACGACTGGGATTCTTGGGGGGAAGAGAGCGGTGGATGTGGCGATTGAGAAGCGGACGTTTGCAGCGTGATTTCAGCATAAGAATCAACCATCGCGAGGGAAATGTCGCAGAGTATAGTAAGTAGTTAGTTCCCAAGAAGAAACGACAACAACCAAGTATCTAGTGCGAAGTCTGGTCCGGTATCCATCCATACTCATTATGATAGCTTTTATCCCAACAAAAAGTAGTCACCAAACAATCCATTCATCCATCAATCCCATGCTCGCTCGCTCAACAATACGGGCTCGAATGCTATGCCAAAAAATCCCCTCGACATCCTTCCTGCTCTTCCAAAAACCAAGACCAAGACCAAGACCAAGAGTTCCTGATCCTCTCCAACAAACAATCTCCTATCATGTTTTTTTTCCATCTCTTCCATCCACATTATTACCTCCTCCTCTTTCGTCATTCAAAGCAAAACCGCAAACCCCAAAACCGCACCCCCCACAAGCGCCACGCTCCCAAACGTCTGACCCGCACTGAGCGCCCAAACCCTCACATTCCTGATCCCCGAGCTCTGACTCCCTCCATTCCCACCACTGCCCCCCGTACTCGACGCCTGCTGCCCACCAAACCCCGTATACACCGTCGCGACCTGACCATCACTCCCCGTCGTCGTCACCGCACCCCCTCCCCCCGCCGTCGCCGAGCTCGTCATCGTGCGCGTCAACGTCGAAGTGTTCTGGCGTTTCGGATTGAGAGCGCCGCAAGGGTGATCTTGTCGGCAGGCCGCGGCGCAGGTGTTGTCGTTTCGGCAGTTGGACACGCATTGCGAGCCCCATTCGGTGCAGATGTAGTAGGGGAGGGTTTGGGAGTATTCGCTGACGTTGGGGGACAGGCCGTTGTCGCAGACGCAGGAGTAGGTGAGGGAGGTGGCGTCGCAGGTGTTGGATTCTGTGGTGCCCGAGGCGGCGCCTTGGTCGAGGCAGATTAGGGGGCATTGGGTGGATTGGTCGAGGCACCATTGTTCTGTGGGAGGAGGGAGAATGTTAGTGGGGAGGAGATGGGGGGGGGGGGGTTTGGAAGGGACGAAACTCACGTCTTGTGGCGTTGGCGACTGTGTGTGGATCTATGGCGTATTGGGCCATGGCGGTGAGGGCGAAGAGGGAGGTGGTGAGGATGGAGTTCATCATGGTGGGTTGTTGTTGTTGTTTTTTTTATCGTCTGGTTCGTGGATTATTCGTCGTGAAGGGAAGTTTTCGTTGGAAGTTATGTACGGGGAAGAATCTGATGCGTGGGAATGTAAGTAGAATGTACAGCGAGAAAAGTCCTGTCGATGGTGCGTGGTGATGAGAGAAGGGAGCTGCTGCAGCCACACGCAACAACAGATGTGGGCTGAGTGTTGGCAACGGCAACGGCAGCCTCCTTCTCGCAGATGCAGATGTGTGATGTGAGTATGTGGGACAGAAAGCACTCACCTAGAGAAAACAAGCTCCGAGGCAAGGGATAACTTACAGCGAGGAGCAGCGAACGACGGTGGTTTTGTTGTTGATGGGAAAGAGGTGCCTCGTTGCCACCACAAGAATAATGATCAAACGGTTCCCCAAGCGATGGACGGATTATTCAAGACAAGTAAATGCAAAAGCAACTCTCGGGCCTCCACGAGATACCGGGGGACGTTGAGACTGGTATATTAGGGCCAAACGACGAAAGTATCAATAATGGCTCCAGGAGCTTGGGCGCGCGGAACCCATGTCTGGACTCTGGATGCACGAGATTCCTCGCCACCGGCAGCTCGCATGCATGTGACATCGTATGTATTATACGTATACTAGTAGAGCTGCGCCATTTAACTAGTTGTGCATCGCAGCGTGTCTGACAGAGCTGCACAAACACTTCCCGTGCGCCGGATGTCGCTAGTCGGTCGCCATTCTAGCGTGTTTGCAAATAGCTTGTGCTTGGACCCTGCCTATTCTAGCCCATTCATTATTGCGGGATCTAATTCCTTCGACGCGGCAGTCCTTGCTGCAGAGAACTCTCGTCAGTCATTTGGAGTGCTCTTGCCTTGCTAGATCAATAAGAATGACTTTGGTATATAATAACTACTTGTCCTCTCGGGCAGGATCCCTCTTTCATCCATCATCAAAGAGAAGTGTCGTCTGCAGTGAGACCCATGCATGCAACTAGCAGCACAAAGGTCGGGAGGCTGGGCTGGGCTGGTAGCTTTCTCGCCCATCCGTAGATTTTCTTGCATATGCATCTCACACTGCCTTCAACGCAAATCCTCTGGGCGGTCCGGGACTCTCGGTTGGTTGCATTGGACGCGCGTTTCTGCTGGACTTCTCTCTCATCTCAGCACAGGAAGACGTAAGACTGACTAGCTTTGCTGCTGCTGCTGCATGCCTGCCTGTCTCGTATGAATGGGCCCGCCAGAGTCTCCGCCGAGTAGTGGAGAGCTACCACCAGTGCATCATGATGTCGCCACCGCAGCAGCGAACGAGGATCATGTGACCGACGCGCCGCCTTTCTGGTGGACGAGTCGCCACAGTCGGAGTGCCAGCTATCAATCGCTCACGACTCAGTCCACCCCGGCAGCAATCACCCTCGAAGACCATTCCGAGGAAGACCATGAGCAGACACAGGCATGCTGGGCCCGCTCGGTCACAATAGGCGACTACACTGTCGTGACGGGGCCGAGTGGCATGGGTGCATATGTGGTGTGGCCGGTGGATGTGCAGACGCTCAAAGGTGGCACGCTAAGCATCAGAAAGCGGTATGTAAATAGACTAACTAGCACGAGGAAACCTTCCTTCTGACAGCAACAGATACTCCGAATTCGACCGCCTTCGATCAACCCTCGTGAAAGCATTCCCGCACGCGGAGGCTATGCTGCCCGAGCTGCCTCGCAAGTCAGTGGTTTCGAGGTTTCGTCCGAGCTTCCTCGAGCAGAGGAGGAACGGGCTGGAGCATTTCTTGAAGTATCTCCATTCTCGCAACCTTCACCCACTCTAGCTGACGAACGACTATAGTTGCATACTCCTCAATCCCGAACTGGCCTCTTCGCCTGTCCTGAAAGATTTCATCTTCGCTGGAGTCATGTGCACATCATAACCAACCATTATCGGGAGTTGTGGAAGTCAGATGTCGGCGGTGTGCGTAACGAATGTGTATCTGTGTTTGTGATTTGACGCGAGCCAAGTGGAGTTCTTCCAGGAAAGGAAGAAGGGTACATGGACACGATCAGCAATGGCAAATTCTCTACCTTGTCATTTCGTCAACTCCGCGCCACTGTTGCTGGTCGAATCACACGATCTTCCAACATAAAGCGGTCGAGATGAACGAAGTCCTTGCCTGAGCTTTTGCTCATTCCTTCCGCTGAAACACTCACTCCCATTGCTTCGTTTTTCACCTAAGCGGCAAGCCACTACATTCGACTCCCGCACATCAAGACGAATCATTCCATCGAGCTCCTTGAACGTCTTCTGCTTTGTACATATGTAAATTGGTCTGCTTAGGTGGCACATTCAATGATGGGAGTTGAACTTGGAAAAGTCGACATGTCTCAATGATCGATCATCAACATGGCAGGGAAGTATTATGGAAAAGCACGGCTGACCAACCAAAAAAATGTCTAGCACATTGGTTCTGCTACCTGGCCTGACTCCTGACCCCTGACATCTTGCCAAAACCGCAATCCAAGCATTCACCCCAAAACCTCCCGTCCGGATCGTGAACCAAGCACTTTGTTTTCCTGCTGGAATGAGCCATCGCCACTATGAAGATTCCAGTCGATATCGGAAGAAGGTTCTGCTTGGATTGCTTCGACCGCTAGTGTCGGGGCGAGCATGGGAGCAACGTTCTGCTCTGGTGGTGGCGTAGCAACATGGCTGATTTGAGCTTCAAGTAAAGCCGAGTCGCTGGTGCTGGGAAAGCTCAGGCGCGTGCGCTTGGCAGGAGAGGCCTTACCTGGTGCAGACACTGTGCGCTTCATGGGGGAATTTGTTCCGAGATGTTGTGCCGATGGAGCAAGAAGTCTGGCTTGAGATGATGTGTGGAGCGCTTGATGCATTCGCTGATAGTTGTAGCTCGGCATAGGCTGCTGCGACTCCTGCTGTGGTCGAGGTTGTAGCATTCCACTGATAGCCATAGCAGCAGAGAGCATTGGATTTGAGCCATTCCTGTCGACGACCCAGTTCCGCTGAGCGTGTGTTGGATACATCCCGCTCTGGGCACCCGCATGCGCTTGACCTTGAGGACCGGTTGGCACTTGCGTGGACCAAGGCTGGGTTTGCATCGTTCCAGGGGTGTCCAAATATCCGGCCCGAAGATTCTCGTTCTTCAAAGGAGATCCAGGTCTTCCACTTGGCATCTGTGAATATTGTTGACTAAAGCTTCGCTTCGGAGGCGAGGGCGTGTTGAAGCTGCTGTCTTGTCGCTTCCACTCGCCGATCTTGTCCAGTAGCGAAGGGCTGCCACGACTGTGAAGTCCTTGTTGAAGGTTCCGTGTGCGAGAAATAGATTGCCGAGCGTTCTTCGACTTAGCTGGACTGCCAGAAGCGTCTGACTTTGATGGGGTGAACGCAGACGCATCAGACTTCTCAGGCGATGGTGATCGCGAAACATCCGTGAGCTCTTCGGCATAGTTGATTTTCTTGCCCCGGACACGCGTACTCCGCCGAACACTTTCCGACTCTTTCTTTGGAGGTTCTTCCTCTGTCTTCTTCTTTCCACGTCCACGCTTCTTCGGCGGAGAATATTGTGGCAGAGATGGATGATTCGGAGCTTGGGCATAGTTTTGAAGCGGCCCACTGGTCATGTTTGCCATAGCAGGGTTGTAAAGGCCTCCCAGCCGATGCGGTGCTGGTCCCAGAATGTTGCCATATTGAATGCCGCCTGCTTGCGGCTGGTTATGAGATGAGCCAGCCATCATGCCCAGATTAGCAGGTGGTTTGGCTAGGCCTGCTTGATACAAAGTATTCGCTGCTGATGCCATTTGAGGCAAGGGAGCTCCAGCAATGGCTTGAGACTCTGCTCCGATACTGAAGGCCGCGGCCATGGGCATGCCTGTGTGGGTGGGAGTGCTCATGATGGACTGATTCCCGTACAGCTGATAGAATCTCTTCGTCTCATTGATGATGTAGTCGCATTTCTCCATGTCCCGACGTGCCTCATTCTTCTGAGAATCGAGATTCGTCATGATCTCCTGGACTTTCTTGACGCTGGGATGAGACATGTACCTAAAGGGGGTCAGCGAGCGCTCCTTGACATGAGTGATGTATCTGTGAGCGATCGTAGAGCTGGATGCGAAGTGAGAGTGCTTGCTTGCGTGAGGCATTGGGAGGACCCACTCTTCCTTCGTTCCTCCTCGCTCCTTGTGAGCCTCCCATTTCGTCTTCAAAAGTCCCGACCAATGATTGTGCATCTGATCATGAAGCTCGTTGAATTTCTCTTCCGCCTTGTCGCGCTTCAGGTGCACCTTCTCGAGGTACGCGCCATCCTCACTGTGGCCGCAATAGTATTTGTGCTTGCCACACTTGAAGTCGAGTTGGCGCGAGGTGTTGCTGTACCACGGACAAGCGACTTTCAGCCAGAAAGTGACGTCGAGATCGTCGGCATAGGCGCACGTCTGTTCGAAGGCCTTCGTGTGGCCGCAGGCATAATTGGCCCAACCCTGAAAGCACATGGTGAAGTGAGGCGAGAGCGACTGCTCGCGACTGCCGCTGCCGGAAAGTGATGCAAGTGCCGTGCCAGGAAGGAAAGCGGTGGCGCGGCTACCAGATCGATGGTGAAGTCGTGTCGCATCTGCAAGCTTCCTTCGTTCGAGCTGATTCGGACTGTTTACTTTCGTTGTCGCGACAAAGTGAAGCCGTTGATTGACCACGTGGCTTGGCGTGCATGTGAAGCGGTTTTGATCCCCGTCATTCTCCCAAGAGGAAAGAGCCACCTGCATCCTCGACTGCACACATTGCACAGACCCCGTTCGGACGTCGAGTGACCCTTCATCCTGAGCAGCATTCTCAGCACTGTACAGCCCTGACATTCGACCTACACGGCTCTGCCTCTGGCTGCACTCATGTCCAAGCTTTCGGCGGCCTTCTCTACAGCCTTCAGAGAGCCTTTGAGTCCTGGAACAGCCGTGTTGACCAAAGTGAGGAGCCCATTACGCTTGCATCGGGCCATTCAGATTCATAATCTAACACTCAAGCAGAGGACGCCATCAGTCGCTTCACCCGAATCGGCTCTCGCTTTCGCGCGCGCCTTGAAAGGGGTTCCTGACAGCCTTGAACCCACCACACCACGACAAAGAAACTGGCCATTCAAGACCTTGATAAAAATTAGATACTTCTTATACATATCATAGTCGTAAAATATCTGGTATCTCATAGCCTGGTCAACGATGCAATCTGTATGCCCGAGATTCTGGTCCAAATTCCTAAAACCCTGTCTTGTCCATCCAAAGTTTATTGCAAACTTCACAAGCACCCTTGATGTCCGATATGCTGGTACAAAGTGTAATGCAAATTCGACCTCCTTTCCCCGAACTCCTTTCTAGCAGCAGAAAACATAGTAAAGTGGCTGATACGAGATGTTGCAAATGCTGGAACGCTTTCTATCGCCGATGCTGACATGATATGCGGCCGTGGAAATCCGTTACTGCCTTGGACGCTCGAGATTCGGTGGAATCTGAGGAACTGGAGGAACTTCCTCGCTGAGCTTCTCCTTGCTATCCTCAGCCACGCCAGCGCTGTATTCCGAGGAAACTGGTCTGCTTCGAGGGACATCCGGCTGGCTGTGACTGGCCTTGCCGCTGGTAAAGCTCAACTTGCTCTGACGCTTGGGATGTGCGAGACTGGCCTTGCTCATACGCTTGGAAGCCCGCTTCTCTTCTCTCTCCATTGCGGCAGCTTCGGCATTGGCCCTTTCAGCCTCAATTCCGGTCTTGGTCTCCACATGCTCACGCGTGAGCTCCTTGGGCCTGACGAAGAACATCACGATCAGGCCAAGAGCTGAGAAGCATGTGTACATAATCCACATGGGCATGAGCGAGTCGGCGAAGGCTTCACGAACGATGTTCTTCTGAGGCTGTCCAAGCTGGTCGATGAACTGTGTACTTGCGCCAGCATTGCCGCCAGTGACAAATTGCGCTTGTTGTGGACCGAGAGCAGCGCGGAGCTGGCCAGCCTTCTTCTCCATCTGGTTGGCGTAGACGACCTCGCCGATGACGACTGACGTACTGGTCGCAAGTTGTCGGATGAAACCCAACGTTGCCGTACCAGTTCCGATGTCTCGAGGGCTGATGTGTGCTTGCAGGGCAATGAGTGGTGCTTGGAACATTGGGCCAACACCAAGACCGCCGATGATCTGATAGATGATGAGCTTGGCCCAGCTGCTGTGAGCATCAAAGTCGATGAACAAGCCAATTCCAAGGGTCATCATGAAGAAGGCGAAGTAGATTGGCGGGAGGTATTTGCCAACTTTGGCAACAAACGCTCCAGTTCCGATCGAGCTGACCGCCAAGGCCAGTGCGGTGGGCAGGAGGTAGACACCAGAAAGGATTGGCGTGGCTCCTCGAATGGCCTGGAAGTACAGCGGGAGGTAGTAAGATGCGGAGATGAAGACAAAGCCGTGCAAGAATACCAAGGACAATGTCGCGAGGTTTGAAACCTTCGCGAACAGGCGCAGTGGCATGATGGGGTACTTGGCTCCCTTCCATTCCCACATGCCGAAGAGGAAGAGAGTGAAGGCTCCGATGATGATCAGGCACAACACTTCAGCCGAGTCCCAAGGAGAAGTGACACCACCATATTGCAGACCGAACAGGAGCATCAAGGTTCCACCAACCACGAGCATCGAGCCCAGCCAGTCAATAGCCTTCAGGCCCTCAATGATAGGCGTCTTTGGCGTCTTGATGTCCAAGAAAATGAGCAGGATGAAGAAGGCCAGACCATCAAGTGGCAGGTTGACATAGAAGCACCATCTCCAGCTCACGGCCTGTGTGAATGCACCTCCAATGATTGGACCAACGGAAGAAGCGACAGCCCAGACGGCACCGATGACACCGTAGAATGCTCCACGAATGCGAAGGGGGAAGAGGTCACCAATGACAATGTTGACCAAGATGATGAGACCACCTCCACCGACACCCTGGATGGCACGAGCTGCGATGAGCATCCCAATGCTGTTGGAGAGTGCTGCAACCAAAGATCCCACCATGAACACGACGTTTGCGAAGAGCAGCATAGGTTTGCGGCCGAAGATATCGGAAACTTTGCCCCATGACGGGATCGATGCTGAATTTGCAAGCAAGAAGGCAGAACCAATCCAAGTATATCCTGCTGTTGACTGGAAGTGTTCACTGATTGTTGGCAGCGCTGTCGTGATAATGGTTACGTCGAGAGCCGCCAGGAAGACAGCAAGACACAACGCCAACATGATGATGGCAATCTTGCCCTTTGACCGACCATTAATCTTGCCATCTTCATCTTTGTGCTCCTCCTCCTTAGGCTCTTGCTTCTCGATGTCGACGATGGTGTCAGCGCCAGTACCAGCACCTTCATCTTTGCCATGTTGTGTGGTCGATGGCCGCTCTGGCTCTTTTATGACGACGTGATCTGTCGACTGTTCAGAGTTGGCGGTGGCAGGTACAGCAATCGTCGATGCATTAGCGGACCAGATATCTGACGCGCGGTAGTCGCCATCTGTTTGCGTCGACAACCTGGCGCTAGTTCTGTTATTGTTCGGCGTCGAATGCAGCTCAGTCGGCTGATCCGTAATCTCTTCATTCTCAGGCGTGACCGGGTCCGTCTGCGCACCATCTGGGATCCATTGCTGCTGCGTGGACGAGCTCGTATACCAGTCGTGCTGCGGTTGTGAAGACATGGTGATCCGAGAGCCAATCTCGCCAAGAAAGACCAGGAGGAAGGGTGAATGCTTGAAAGGCGCGCTGGGATGGAGGACAAATACCACGCGACGAAAGCCCGAGAACAAGAAGAAGAAAAGAAGAAGCCAAATATCGTCTACGTAGACACGCTACGCCTTCACACAAGCTGCATGCTAGAGAAATGCTTGGTGTAATTGAGGAGGCGATCACGGGCGTTGCGTTCGATTGCGCCGTGCCGATCGTTCTTCGGGTTCTCGAAAACCCCGGCCGGCTACTGAGCCTAAACGAGGAGAGCGCAGTTGGGAAAGGTGCGATGGCCCTCTAGTCTCCAGTGCAGCCTTACAAAATTCTAGTTATCCTATAAAAAGGCGATATAATAAAGTCTTCTACTTAGACTCTTGTTTAAATTTCTACAGTACAAAAGATATATAAGTAATAAAAGTATACTATAGTAGGTTTCTAAAGGATTATAAATAAATTTAAGACTAGTCTAGAGTTATAATTTTATCGAAAAATTAGATAGACTATAACAGTAATTCTTTCTAATAAAATATAACTATTATTATTAGACTTTTAGTATTAATTTCAATAAAATAAATTAAATTACTTTAAATAAATTCTATATAGATTTTAAATATAACTTGAATTTCTATTTATATAAAATTCTTAAGAAAATTTCCTAAAAGGCTAGAATATATTACTTATATATTACTAGTATTATATTTATATATCTATACTTAAGTAAATTTTTAAGTAAACTTTCTTATAAATTTTTACTACCAAGTCTTCTGTTAATATATTCAGACATCTAGTATTAGCGGATCGTATATTAGGATGATCCGTTATACAATAAATCCGTGCCGCTATCCAAACTTTCGGCTTTCCTAGCCGCCCGTAAAACCTCGTGACCTTCCTCATTCCGCTACCGTGTCTCGTGTCTCGGCATTTCTTCTGCAGTTCTTCTACGCAACCACTCGATCTGCGGAGCTATAGACTCATTCAGGAAATCAAAATCCGACTTGTTCCCAAACGAAGAAGAAAGCTAAATACGAATTTCGCAAAACATCTTTCGTTCTTAAGCGCTAAAGTCCTAGGAGAGTCTGTGGCACTTTCCCCAACTATGATCCGACTTGTTCCTAAACGAAACATCTTTCGTTCTGACGCTAAAGTCCTAGGAGAGTCTCGTGTATGTTCTAGAAATCCTGCTCGCTGTTAAGAAAGATCCTAAGTCCTTGGCTGTGAAATGTGGGATCGTGATAATTCCGCAGAGTCGGGGTGATTATTGCAGTGTGTGGAGGTCAGCAGGTCGGAAACCCGGCGTTCGGTTTGCATGCTCACCGACCTGTGGCAGCTGAGCTTACAGGACTGTGTGAGGAGCTGGAATTGCGCCTCGGTATAGAGTTCAAGGCTAATGTGCCTTCCATCGCTTTCTGCTTACTGCTATACAATGCTGTGAACCATAACCAGCAAAGCGAGATATGTTATACAGGAAACTCCTTGAAGAGATAGATGTAGGGCTTTGCTCGGGAAGAAAAGAGGCAGTAGTAGCTGTTCGTGGATAAAATAGCAAGCTTCAACACCCTATGACTATGACCTTGTCAAATCTGCAACAGAAACGACATCAGTATGCGTTTCAGGGTATCTACGCATTACATTAGCAACAAATCAAAGTTGTGGTGCTAAAAAGTTTGCCCTTCTCCCAGATATATGCATGCTCTTGAACGTGAATTGGTTATCAACCCCCAACGCCGACGCATCATACTCCGCGAAAACCATATGTTTTCAAGCAATTGGCGTGACTTGTGCTCCATTAGATCGTACCATATGCCCATGCAGATATTCCTGGCTGATCTAAACGCCATGTCCCATATGTCCAAAACTCTTCAATCCTTTCCCGCACCTGAATCCTATTTCGTCAAAAAAGGTTCGCATCTTGCTCTTGCATGATTGTGATCATGCCTTCTTAGGCAAATTGGGAGTCGAGCGCATCCGGAATGCTTTATCTATTTCTAAGTCAGTACATCTCTTCGCAGTGGTCGCTGTTTGAGAAGTGGCCGGCAGCCTACCTTTATTTCGCACTTTGTATACCAGTTCGACGACAACATCAATCTCATTAACAGCAGCACCATTAAAGTTCTTCCTAACCGCCAATGCCAAGTTCTCTTTCGAGATCCGCCTCTTCTCCTTCTTCCGCGCCATAGTCGGGCTCTGTCTGCCAATGCCAGGATTCGTGAGAATTGCTTGTCGGTAAGGGGTTGAGAATGCTGGAGGTGTCTGAATATTGTGCGCTACGCGATATTGATTTAAGAGGGATAGGGGCGCGGATTGCCATGCCATCTGGAGAGATCATATTAGCGAGATGGGTGAATTGGGTGGTGTCGCAGGCTTCACCCACTCCCGTCTCCTGTTTATGAAGTGCAAGGGCATTGTCGTCGTTTGTGATTTTGACCACTTCTCTCAAGCTGGAAATGCCGTTTTGCTGGGCAGCACCATTATTCTTCTTTGCATTTCGTGCGTGGGCTGCAGCAGCTATCTGCCGTTCTCGTATGGTTTGCGCGTCTGCACGCGCGTCGGACGACTTCGCGGGTGGCATTTCGATTGATTGGGTTGGAATTTATCGGTTTTCTTTGCACAGTGTGTATCATGAGCTCTTGTTGAGGATACATACAGCATTGCGAAGTGCTGGACCAAAGAGTGCGTGTGCTGGCCTAGAGAATCGTGAGAGATTGCCCACCGTCTTTTCTCCTCAGACACCACCTCCCAGCTCGGCTTCAAATCTCAGGGATCGACGTCACCAGACCCTGCGCGCCGGCCGGCTCGGTTCGGTGCGATCCTTCTCTTTTGCTTTGGTTCCTGGCTTCCAACTCCAACTCCACCGTGAAAGCAGACTTCGAGCGATAAGATTGTTTTTGTTTCAGTGGCTAATTACACGGCTTACAGCAAACATTTCCACCTTTCTATAACCACCACAGAAGAGCTACCCGACACCGGCAGCTCGTTGAAGGAGTCGAACCCTTATACTGTCGCTCACTCTGTATACTGCCTCAAAGCAGACTTCACCTTCTTCACTCTTTACGCATCAATAATGAGTACGAATAGATTGCACCCCGTGGCATAGCAGTAACTTCAAGTCGCGATATGAGACAGCGACTCGGCTGCCGGCGACACCGACCGACACGCCTACGAAGCTATGTTTCAATACTTTCTGAGGTTGAAACTGCAAGACAGGACTTCTTTCTGAATTTTTCAGTAGATCTCGAAAAAATGATATTGAGCGTAGCACTTTGATGAAGATCTCTTTGGAGCAGACATTTTACTGTCAGTGTCACGATTATCTTGTGGCCGACTCACATGCAACTAGTCGCATCGGTCTTGCTCATGCTCCCTCTATCCAGATAGAGCCAAGGCTGAAAGATGATCAGACGGGAGCATGCGGTCGACCATCGATACTCATTGTTAATTACTATTTGAAATCTAGGCTCAGCATGTGACGCGACTCAGCATGTGACACGACTCAGCATGTGACACGATGAATCTACTTCACTCAACGAGCATGTCAGCTTAGGACATTACATGGACTCACATCCGTCGAACTTGCATGTGAAATGGTCTGTGCACAAGCTGTCGTGCTTCTTAAGCTCTTGGATTGCAGCGGTCTCTACTACAATCTACAACATCAACCTTCAACAAAGCATTGCCACTCAGCTAACTGCCATAACCACTCAACACTACATCCATCTGATTGATCATCGATACTACCTACTGCTACCAAAGCAGGCTGTTCTACAAACTCGATATTGCTTCAGCGCTCGGTACAAGGCTTGATCTATCTCCGCTACATTGCCTTCAGTTGGTGTCGCATCGAAGTTCAAGTACTTGACACTCCGCACGACCTTCACTTCAACGCTTCGAGGTCGGAAATTGACTCTTCGCTCAACCGCAAGTCTTCCATATCTTGGTACGTCTTCACATGCTTGAAGCTCATCATTGTTGCTCACATTAGTTCAGCCTGCAACATCCCTCACTTTTGAAACATCGACCTTCCTCAACTGCCACTTACAATCCAACACCTTTCCGCCATCAACCATGGGCTATAATCAGCCGATCACTAACTGGAACTTCAACGCCGATCACGAAGCGGCAGACCAGAGCCGTGGCGATCATCAGCAACAATCCGCGACCCACCTCGATCCGTCCCTGCCCTTGTTCCAGCCTGGCGGAATGGACCTCCAGCGCTATCAGGCGCCGCCACCACAACCGGTCTCCAATCTGTCCATGATTGATATGCAGCACCGCTTTGTCGAGATGAGCGTCTCTCATACAAGCGACTTCGTCAAACTCAGCCGCCAGCAAGCGCAGACCGCACAAGACGCTGAAAAAACGCGGGAGACCTGTCGCAACGATCTTCAGTACCTGCATCGCAAGGTCACAGAACTCGAGAAGAAGATTTCGGATTCGCAAGTTCAGACGCTTCGCACGGACGAGGACTACAGTCCACCGCAAGAAATATTGGACCAGTTCAGTAAGAAGGGTATCGCCGAGGCGTACCTGACTGAAGCAGAGGAGATGAGCGCGGTCGTCGAGAAGCTCCACGAGCAGGCCGAAGCATTGCATCCTGGTATCTTGTCGCACAGCTCCTCAGCTCTCAAGATGCTCGAAGCGCCTCCTGCATCTGAGGTCGGTGCAAATCCTCCAGCTACCTACGCATGCTGCCAGATTGAATGGCCGAACTTGCTTGCGCTTCTGAAGCATGTTGACTCAGAGCATAAGGAGCACGATGGTGCTCATGCGAGTCCAGTTCGAGGACGTTCAGGAACCGCTCGATCTCGCGCGATCGCGATCAAGGCTCCAGAGTCTAGCCGACCAGCTCAGCAGCTGCCAGTCACGAATGAGGCGGACTCCAAGAAGTCAGCCCAAATCCCAGCACCCTGGCAGCCTTATGCCATCAGCAGTCTGCCGCCACTTCCAGGAAGCATTCCTGCCCACGAGCAGACCTTCTCCTTCTCCTTTCTGCAGGACCTCTTCGGCGGCAAGGTCTGGTCGCCAGGTTTCTACTACGTCTCAAGCGAGCAATGTTATCTTCCTTCCAAAGCATACTGGATTCTTGAGACCGAGAACGAGCCGTTCCTCCCCACTGCACCAGGACAGCATGGCGCCAAACTCACTGCTTTCTTCAACGAGACACTTGTTGACGAAGGCATGGGACCAGGCGTGGAAAATTACCAGAACACACCTGTCTTCATCCGCCAGCAAGGAGAGAGTGGATATCGATACTTCGGCATGTACAGCCAGCCGCGGTATTCTGATAAGCTCAGCCACGACACGATGATGCAGCATGTGCCCGAGAAGGTTCGTCTCGCCTTGGCTGAACAGCTTGCGGAGAGTGGTCGACCAGCATGGGTCACTCAAGCGTTGAGGAAAGCCATGTTCCCACGTCCAGAGTATGATGGTCGTATTCCAACTGACTCCGCCTGCAACACTCCGGGAACCACAGAAGAAGCGTCGACTTCTACAGCTGCTGCCCTGGAGCGAGGTGTGCGTAAGGACCTCGAAGCATATGCAGAGGACCTGAAGACTTGGGAGAAGCAGTCGCGCATGAAGGTCAAGATGCTCACCAAGGAGACCATCATGGATGCGTTCCAGAAAGAGGACACAGCCGAGACTCCAGGTCTGCGTCTCTGGTGGGAATACTTTCAGTGTGTTGAATACGACTCCGGGTTCTACAAGATGCTGGTCGACCTGAGCGAGCTCCAAGGTGCTACGACTTCGAAGAAGAGCAATTCTCGTCGTCCGCCGACTCCACGTTTTTACGATGATGCTTCGACAGACATCAAGATGGGCAATGCTTCCCTGACCAAGAAGGGAAAGGTTGTTAGGACGAATCAGGAGGATGTAGAGGCAGCAGCTGCCACGCCTTCCCCGACTCCAGCAACTGCGGCCTGGTCTCCAGTCCCAGAGCCAATTGTCGCTCAAGTTGCAGAGCCAATCGTCGCTCCAATCCCAATCAAGCCAACTGCACGAAAGCCCATCACAAGCAAGAAGCCCTACGCCGATTTTCCCAAGGGTGTCCATTCCGAAGACCTGAAGCCCATGATCTGGGCCTCTCCATCTTGGTCCGATTCTCCACCACCGCCGACTGCTCCAACTCCCGCACCAACCCAGGAAGCAAAGAAGCCCGCCCCATCGACTGAAGCACCACCTCAAGCAGCGAAGAAGCCCACTTCCCTCCCACCCCACCTTCGCAACAAAGCTTCAACTCCCGCACCATCGACTCAAGCGCCAGCGCCACCTCAGGAAGCGAAGAAGCCCACTACCCTCCCACCTCATCTTCGCAACAAGGCCCCAACAAGCGAGCCTAACAAATCCAACCCCTTTTCCGGTGACCTTGCAGCCGCGAAATCCTTCCAGGAATCCGCTACTCCCGCTCAAGGAAAATCTTCTCGTGGCGGTAGCGGTGGTAGAAATGGCAAGTAGTAGCCTCTTCCTCAGCCTCAGCCTCAGCCTCAGGTATGTGTTTTTCCCTCGAAGCTAACGAGTATGAGGAGTCCATATAGCTGACACGAAGAACCAGAACCAGAAGCAGAAATTGAAGAAATTGGAGAAGATCTGTGATGATTTAATCGAATCTCTCAACCGAGCGAACAAGGGAAATGGATGGGAGAAAATTTTCGAAGATTTTAAGGAGAGCTGATGAGGAATTTGGAAAACTTGAGGACTTTGGAGAATGGGAAGAAGGGAATCTTGCTGCTTTTAGAACGAAGAAGAAAAGTAAAGGTGAAGGGCAAAGGAAGGGAAAGGGAAAGGGAAAGGGAAAGGGACGATTTGATATATGATTTTTTTTTGATTTTTGATTCTTGCGGGTGGATGTCTTTTTCTCTTCTGGATTTGCTCGTTGAGCATGCATGCTTGTATTATATCATCTCAGACCTGACCTGACCAAGAAAAGTATATGCAGCTCTTGCTCGAAACTCCGTTACCCCCAATCTCTTCTCCTGTTTGGTTGATTCCATTCGGCGCCTTGAAAACTCCTTTCGTCATGCATGGCACAGGCCCTAAATGCTGTATAAAAAGTCTCATCTATTAAACGTCTGTTCGTTCCGTCTTCCTGTCGATTTTGATGCAGATGCGATGCGATGTGATGCGCGCTCCTTTTCACAATCTCAATCCCAACCTTCTCGGTCCAAAGTATAGTAGTCCACCAATTCCCGTGAATGTCAATCCAATCCACCATAATCGGTCGGCATTTATCCTCTGCACCATGTCGCTACCTCCGATCATTCCTTGCTCGTACTTAGCTTTCCAGTTCAGAGGGACTTCGGGATAGTCCAGCCCACGCTTGACCTTGGCTTTCGAGGTAGGCGTCGAGCCTGCTGCTGCGATGCCGGTGTTTGTGGGATTCAGCGTCGTGGTGGGGAGCATCTCAGGCGGTGACTTGACGAGGTATAGTGGCTGCATCGGCGTGCCGTCGAATTCGAAAAGGTTCAGTCGTGGGATTTTGTGGTAAGCATCTGTGACGACTTCGTAGTTCTGAGAGGAAATAAGTCAGCCAATCTGCCTCGTATGGTGCGTCCAGGACACCCTCACCCTGAACAACTCGCTTTGATTGTATCGCGTGTAAATCGCTTTGTCGTAATCGCACGGTTTACTCAGTAATTGCCTCCCATCCACTGCAATCGGTTCCGTTGTGATACTACCGTTGGCGTTGTATGTCCATGTCCCGTGCTGCCACTGCATGATCGCTGAAGGACATTTCGGGTTTGTTGGGTTTGCGATAGCGCGGTAGTAGGCTTCTTCGAAGTATCCGTCTGCTGTGAAGGAGTATGAGATTCCTGTTCGTTCGGGTTCGATGAATTTGTCGTTGAGCGGGTCGTAGAAGCCCTGCACAGCGGATTAGTATGCCATATCTCTTGAAAGAGACACTGCGACACGCACTGGTCCGGTCAAGGTCTTATTCGACTTTGTGCTCCATGTGCCTGTGAGATCTGTGGCTCCTCCTATCGCCCGACTCGACGCTACCAGGCCCACGCCCACTGCCAGGGAGTGATAGAGCAGCATGTCTATCTTCTATGCGTATGCGAGTTGGTGCGATCGGTATAGTGGTGTATGCGCGCTCGGTTGGAATTGAAAGCGAATGTGGTTGTTGGTGTTGGCACAGACAATGCAACGCCGCGCCGCCCAGGTCGTCGTATTCGCGGATCCTGTCCCTGGAAGTCGCAAGTGATTCTCTTGGCGCGTTTCCAACACGCCAACGCAGCTACCACCGAACCGAACCTTGGAAACTCTATCCTGCCAGCGACTGCGACTTCACCCGCATTGGTATTCGTGGCTGGGATTGATATTGTATAGACATGACCAAGAATATATCGTCGTTGATGTCATTACTATGCGAAATGCATGTCGATTGCATCTACCGCTTATGCGACCTGTTTCATGTTCATCATCAAGAGCGCCACTGAGCGAGTACTTAATGCTTCGCGGAAAAGAAGCAGCAGTATTGTGCTCTTTACACCGCAACATGGCTACAGATGCAAAGAAGACCCTTCGTTCGGACATCAAGCAGAAATTGGCGGCATTGAGTGAGCAGGATGTTTTGGCACAGTCACGAAAGGCACAGAATGTGATATTGGCTTTGCCAGAGTACCGGAAAGCGAAAAGGGTTGGCATTTACTTGTCTATGCCAAAGAATGAAGCGCAAACATCAGGACTCGTGCCGGATTCGTTGTGGACTGGCAAAGAGGTTTTCGTGCCGTACATCTATTCTGTAGGCACGGAGAAGCCGAAGACCAAGGTCATGGATATGCTGCGACTTGATGGGCTCGAGGACTATGGCCAGCTGGAAAGCGATAGTTGGGGCATTCCTACTTTGCCGAAGGAGGGCCTGGATGAGAGACAGAATGCGATGGGCTTTAAAGGTCGGTCCGTGACGGATGATGGTACGAATACGGAATCCGACAGTCCTTCTTCTGGCGGTCTTGATCTCATCGTTGTGCCTGGTGTTGCATTCGACTCGGAAATGAATCGGATGGGTCATGGTGCTGGTTTTTATGACAAGTTCTTGACTCGATTCACGGGAAATGGCAAGAGGAAAAAGCCATATCTTGGTGAGTGCTTTCTTCGCTTTCATGTCCATCTGTCATTCAGACGGCTGACAAAAGTGCTTCTAGTCGGATTATGTCTCGCGGAGCAAATCTTGCCAATGGGCAGACTCATGATGGAGGAGTGGGACTGGAAGGTGGACGCGGTCGCGTGTGGAGATGGCACATTGCTGACGCCAAATACCCAATGAGCTTTTTATTCGTTACATGCTAATACAAAGGTGGGCGACTCACTATTGGTGCATCCCTTCCCTCCGCGTGAGGCTCTTCTCTCGTCCAGTGTTCAAAGGATCTTCCTCGATCCTGCCTGGTCCATGAAGATAGCTTCACGTTTCGTTCTCAAGCGAAGCAGCTACGCTATAGCTTCGTCTAGTGTGGTGGATGTGATGATCGTCAAATATAACGGTGCGTTGCGCGATCACGACAAGCTCTGAATCAGACACACGTTGTCGCCCTTGAGCAGTATTTGTCCTGTATGAAATGGTCAGCATTGCCCGTCTCTACGTTTTGTTTCATATTCCTACCAACTTCTCTCCTCTGATCCTTGACGTCCTCTTCAGTCTCTCCCTTCCCTGGCTGCTTCACCTCCACGGCATCGTCGATCACTAGATTCATGAACTCGTCAAAGCCTCTGATCTTGCCCTCAATTCTGATTCCCAGCTGTTCGTAGAGCCAGATCTGAACCGTGCTGTGTTGCTGAAGGAGCTTGAAGATGAAGTTGATGGGAGGGAGCAGAACTTTGCGCTGACCGCCGCCGCCTCGTCTGTCGGCCATGGTGAGAAGTGGTTATGCTTCTAAGATGTGAATTTGAGGTTGGTGTCAGTCGCTGTTGGCGCGCTAGGTCGGCGAGCGCGGCTGTCAGAATGTCGCGTTTCCGATGTGTATGCAATCGTAGAAGTTGTGGGTGCCGATGCGTAGCTTTCCGAGTCCGTGAATGTTCTGAAGATGGTGGTGTATGAATGGTCGCCTTTCTTCTGCGCGGCTGCAAGTTCCTAGCCAAAATAAAGTTTGTAGCGCAAGTGCCGCCGCAGAGCAACACTGTGGGGTCCAAGTAGAAGGCATTATTTTGTTTGAACCACACCCATCCATACAACTCTGCAACACCACCACCAGCTACCCCGAACTGCTTTTGTTCTTATCCAAGAGACCGCCATTGCCACCAAATCTGCGATGATCAATCGAGACTCGCATTCGAAAGACGATCGCTAAACATCCAACTAAATTGGCCGACTGCGGCTCTGCCCTCACATACGAACTGTACAGAGCGACAACATGGCAACGGCGGCCACCACGAACGGCAATGGCGCGGCCTTTGCACCTGTTCTTTCGGCACTCGCGACCATGTCTAGTAACGTGGATCGCTCCTCAAAGACGCAGGCGCATACGTACTTGGAGTCATTTCAGAAGTCACAGGAGGCATGGACCTCCACCTTTGCCATGCTGCAAGCCTCCGACGCAAGCGATGAGGCCAAGCTATTTGCAGCAACTACGTTGAAGGGAAAGGTATGGTAAGAGCAGAGAGAAGGAAGGGGCGAAGGGATATTGACATGGACAATAGATCATCTTCGACTTTCACCAAATACCCCGAGAGTCATGGCCTCAGCTGAGAGATACCTTGCTCCAAGCCGTTGCTCAATACGCGAAAGGCCCGAAGCCAATACGAACGCAGCTCTGCGTGTGCCTAGCAAATTTGGCTATCCTTATGCTGGACTGGAAGGATGTTTTGCAGACAGTGGTCTCGACGCTCGGCAGTGATGCAGCAGGTATTTCATGTGTCTTGGAATTCTTGCACGTCCTGCCAGAGGAAGTCACGGAGGGCCGCAAGATCAATTTGGCGGAGGATGAGCTACGGACACGGCAACAAGAATTACTGGAACAGAACGGGCAGCATGTTCTGCGACTCTTGGTCCAGTACGCACAGTCGTCGCCGGAGGCCGCAAAGAATCCGCAGCTCATGGAATGCATCACATCATGGATCCGCGAGGTGCCATTAAACGACATTGTCAACTCTCCGCTCATGGAAGTTGTTCAAACCGCTGCTCAATCCGACTCTGCCTTCGATGCCGCAGTGGAGACAATGTGCGCCATCTTCAAGGAGACTCGGGACATCGACGAGAACATGAACAACATCAAGGCCCTCTATCCGAGATTAGCAGCGCTTGCTCCCCGAATCAAGGCAAGTGCGGATGAAGAAGACTGGGAAACTTTTAAGGGCGTGACTCGCATCTTTGCTGAGGCAGGCGAGGCTTGGGTCATTTTGATCGCTCGAGAACCACAGCAGTTCCGTGATCTCGTGGTCGCAGTCCTCGAATGCTGCAGACAAGACAAGGAGCGAGAGGCTTTGAGCCAGACCTTCAACTTCTGGTACGAGCTGAAACAGTATATCACGCTGGAACGATACATGGAAGCACGTCTGCAAATGGTGGATCTCTACTCGCAGCTGGTGGATATAATGATCGTGCACCTGCAATATCCAGAGGGCGATGACTCAGATCTATTCGAAGGAGATCGAGAAGCCGAGGATCGCTTCCGCGAGTTCAGACACCAGTTGGGTGATGTTTTGAAAGACTGTTGCGAGGTCATTGGTGTGACGGAGTGCCTTCAAAAGAGCTATCAGCTTATCGAGAGCTGGGTGGGTCAATTCGGCGCACAAGCTCAGGCTGGACAGGTACCGCACTGGCAGAAACTGGAAGCTCCGCTATTCAGCATGCGAGCGATGGGTCGCCAGGTGCCACCAGATGAGAACATCATGTTGCCACGACTCATTCCGCTCATCGTTCAGATTCCTGACCAAGAGAAGGTCCGTTTTCAGGCTGTCATGGCTTTGGGACGATATACAGAATGGACTGCTCAACACCCGGACACACTTCAAGATCAGCTCAACTTCATCATGGCCGCTTTCTCGCACCAATCGAAAGAAGTCGTTCGGGCCGCGGCACTCAGCTTCAAATTCTTCTGCAACGACTGTGCCGACTTACTCAAGGAATACATGCCCCAAATTCAGCAGTTCTACGAAGCGAACCTCAACTCCCTGCCACCCACGAGCCAGGAAGAGACCACGGAAGGAGTGGCATCTGTGCTTGCCAGGCAGCCTCTTGAATCGCTCTATCAGTCTATGAAGCTGTGCTGCGACCCGATCGTCAAGCGGCTAATGGCCATGGCGCAAGCGGCAACCGAAAAGGAGCAAAAGTTGGCTATTGCCGACCACCTAAACCTCCTCACTATCTTTATACAGTGGGTCACGCCTTACGTGGAGCCCTCGAAGCCACATCCCGCCGTTCAGTACTGCCAGGAGATCTTTCCAATTCTGGCTACCATCTGCGAAAACTTCATCAACTTCGTGCCCATAGTCGAGCGGGTGTGCCGATGCTGGCGCTACATGGTCTTATCTTATCGAATCCACACCGCGCCACTCCTCAACCAGCTTGCAGACAAATTGGCCGCCGGCTTCACAGCAAGCAGACAGGGTTGTTTCCTGTGGGCGACCGACAGTATTGTGCGCGAATTCTCCGATGAGTCTGAGTAAGTAATATCTCCACCCCACCGCATTTGGTGACAGGTCATGCTAACATACCTCTAGTTACGTATCTCGGGAAACCACGGACCAAATCTACGCCTTCTACGAACAGCAGGCAACTGCATTCCTGCGCGCACTCAATGACCTCACTCCTGAAGATCTTCCTGATGTGATCGAGGACTTCTTCCGCATGTCGACAGATGTGCTCTTATACCACCCGACGAAGATTGTGGCTTCCAGCTTGATGCCGCATATCCTTTCCGCCGCCACGAATGCACTTTCTCTGCTGAAAGAGGAACCACTGATTGCAACGCTCCACTTCCTCCGCGACTTCCTTGCTTACGGCGGCGAGGACGCGCCATCTCCAACCTTCGACGCCAACGATGGCACCTACAGTCTCCGCTCAAACCCTCCCCAGGTGCAGCAGAGCGTGAAGGAGCTCGTTAAGTCGGAAGGCGAGCACCTCACTCAGCGTTGTCTTACTGGCATGATGTACACCTTCCCTCAAGACTGCTTCCCGGACGCTAGTGGTGTGTTGTTAGCACTCTTCCAGCTCATGCCACGCGAAGCTGCTCAGTGGATCGGCGAGACTGTAAGCCTTCTTCCACCGGGGAGCATTGCGCCACAAGAACTCGAGCGACTGTCGCGGAACATCCAGCAGCGGATCGAGAGCAAGGAAGTTCGGAAGATCAGAGGCATTTTGCAAGACTTTACCAACTCTTTCAGGCGACGGAATGTAGCTCCGCGCGAGGGCCTGGGACGATTGGACGCTACAAAGTTTAGATTTCCGGGTTAGATGGGCGAAGTAGAGGGCATCATGTTATGAGAGGATGAAGTCGAGGTTGAGCGTGGCGTGCGGAGTGTTAAGGATTGCTGCCGCGACGTCTGCGGTCGTCATGCAGAGTGGGTCAGGCAAATGCATTGGGTTGGTCAATGTAGCGAGCATTTTAGACGATGGAAAAGGGCATCTGGGGCCTAAAGTAGGAAGGATACCTTGAATTGTATGCTGTAGATTCTTCAAAGTAGAACCTTTGCTTCCGGCCCTCATCTTTCGATACGACGCTCCGGAGTTGGCAGCCATTGACCAGACGGTGATGTGAAATGAACGATCGGTCTCGGGCACCATTGAATCTCAAAATTACAATGAGAACAGGTGTCATTGAGAGGACACTTGCGGGCTCTCGCTCGTTAGCTTGACAGCCTATGTCCGAAAGGTTTTCGTTGCAGCTCCAGACGCACAACAGCATGCGACTCGATCTTCTCAAGGTCAGGCAGGACAGAGATTTACGTTCATCGATGCGCCCTTCGACAACGATCGTGGACACTTTGACAAATGATCGAACATCTTCATTCGCCACGTTCTGTGCCGCTCCCAGAGTCTCCCTCTCGCATCTCAATCGCCTTTCGTCGAGGCGCACCACCTCGCCGCAGAATCTTGACGTCGGTAATTTGCAGCGGCCGTGTCGTACACCAGCTTTCCGGACTATTGATACTTGCATCTTCCTCATGAACATCCTTGGCGTGCCTCCTCAGCTCATACAGGCCGTCATAGAATCGCCCCTCATCAACTGTAGAGTAAAGTGTATTATAGGTGCGATGAATCTTGATGGATGTTGGAAGAACTTAGCATGGAAGTCTTCGTTATTTACTTTGACGCTGCGCTCCATGACGACCTCTCAGCACCCGAGGTCTTGTCTCTGCGCATATGCGATGGTGAGAGTGTTGTTGATCAGCACGCGCGCGCCAGCACAACTTCACGTGAGTGGGGATTCACCTTTTCACAAAGCGATCGTTTCCACCACTTCGCTGATAGACACAAGTATCAGGCTGCTTGTCTCAAAGTCGCTCCTCAGATGAACACTAGCTGTGCTGTCGATCCACAATCCGCTTGAGAGTGTCAATGGTCTCTCCCACGGAGCTCCCGCCATTCGGCATTGGAAGAGTGGAGCTATGGGCAGGATACCTGTTCTCAGCCTACACACGTGATCTAACCAAAGACAACAAGCCACCGAAGACATTTTCTTTACGATATCAACATCCCCTGCAATTACAGTGTACGCCAAACATGCCCTCCTTCATTGCAGACTGTCTGCGATCTGAATCGACACTACCGCGTCCACGCCAATGCTAACCTGGCCATCAAAGTCAGCAATTCCCGTCATCACAGAACATGAGGACATTGAAGCCACTCTTCAAGTACGCACCTCATCCAGCGTGAAAATCAAATGCTCTCTCCCCGCCGCATACGAACTCCCATCATACACCACCAACCCCTGGAACACCAGTTTCTGCATACTTGGTAGAATTCCCAGCTGGTGCCACACCGCAGTAGCAAGTTCGGCGGTCGTCGTCTCCGGCCGCGCTTTCACAGACAAAGATTTGCCCGAAGGGGTTGCGAGCCAGAAATCGAAGTCTTCTTCGCGGGGGATGCTTGGATTCTCGAGCTCTGGGTCTTCGATTGGGAGGGTAGGTAAGAGATGATGGAATAAGACTAGCACGCAGCCGGGACCGATGCCGTAGTGCCTCAGCGTGGCATCTGGTTGATTGAGTCTGTAGCCTCTCCATACCAAGCGGTTCTGCTTGCTGGGTTCGCCACGCTGCTCGTCGAGTTTTGCTTCTAGTTCCGCCACGGTCATGTCGGAGCAAGTCTCGATCAGGTGCTGCGTGCCTTTGGGATCTACGACGGTGATGCAAAAGTCTTCGTAGAATGACACCCCGAGGCGGCTGTCAGTAGTGGAGTAGGTTGAAACAGTGGTGTGTGAGAGTTGCGTGGTGCCGGATGTTGATCTCGAGGCTGTCCTTGGTGCTGAACGAGAAGGCTGTGTGAAGTCATAATCCGCATCGAAGCCGTCGAGCAGGTAATCGTCTGGGAGGTCCTTGATCGCTTCGATTACGGCTGACGTGATGGTCGACAGCGTGAATTCCACTTCACCATCGATTCGTTCTAGGGCGTAGTCAATGCCACGAATGGCGATGGCTGAGTCGATGGGAATGGAAACATTGACATTGATAGACATTGCAGGGCGGTTGTGAGGAGAGTTTGCGGTCGGAGAAATTGTTGCGCAATGCCAGCCTTTTGAGTGTTGATCCGGACGATATCAAGTTGTCGGTTCGTTGTTGTGGCATCGCAACGGCGTACCAAATGCCATTTTCGTCGGTCTAGAGCGTCACATGCTGCGCTCTTGCGGTGAGGTCAGCTCGAGCGCGCAAAAGTGTGCACGCGAATAGTGACTGGTAGTCTGGATACATGCATTGACCCTCACCGTCCAGGTATTTACAGTACGAGACCTGTCGCGAGTGGCATGAATCTGGGAGAGCACGAATATCTGCGCCCTCTCGAGACATATATAGGGATAGACAAGATCTTGAGTGCTTGTACCGCGTGCTTCTCATAGATTTCCTTCCTATTTCGTACGAAGAATGTTAAAGCGGGAGTATATTAAAGTGCTACCGAACGGAAATATCTCGGGGACGCGGAAATATTTCGGTAATTAGATGAACGACATGTTCAGACTCTAGACTCTAGCTTTCCTTCTCTAACTAGGCGATACGATACGATACGATGCGTAACTTAGCTATAAATAGGAATTTTTCTTCTTCGGGCTTCTTCTGATCAGATATTTCTATCTATATGCCACAAAATCTCCATCCCATCCCATCCCTTTTGAAACTCCTGCAAATGATGTTTTCAGTTGGGCGAAAAAAAAACTTCAAACAACCTATCCCTCCCTAACACTGTTGTGATGGTTTCAACACACACTCATACACACACAAACAAACAAACACACACACACACACACACACACACACACACACACATTAGTCTTGCAAATGAAATGGCCTCGCCTCCCAAATTTCCCTGGTGCAGCTCGCTATTGAATCCAGACGTGCCTTCATGTAAGTCCCGAACATCGTATCCCGCAAAACGCTGCATCGTCTATGTTTTAGTCCTCTTGGGATCGCCGCCTTCCTGCTCGTCGGCACCACGTTTCCGCTCCTCATCTCGCCAACCTGACCCGTTGGGCGCGACAGGCGTCTGGAAGTTCAGGGGAGAGGGCAACATGTTACTATCACCAGTCCTTCCAAAACCCCATTCCGGATAGAACGTCGACGGCGAAGGCAGTAGATTATCACTCATGAACCTACTGGGTAATGCTGATATCGGTGTCTCGATGTTGCTATTGACCTCTCGATTCGCGGCGTGTGGATTCGTGCTCATGGGTGGTGCGGGTCTGGCGAAGGGATTCGGCGGTCCTTGGGCTCCAGCTGATAATAGTGCCGATGCGCTAGGAGATGGCGGAGGGAGGACGACACCGTGAGAGGGGCCTTGCTGACTGCCGCTTCCACTTCCAGTATTCCCAGTTGGCGCACTCGATTCGTCCCCTTGGCCAGACTCCGCTGTAGCTGCCTCATCTCCAGACTGCTCGCTAGGGATCTGCACTTTTAGTTTAGGCTTCGATTGACTTGCAGAGCGCTGAGGTGCTGGGATACTCGGCGTGCTGGCCGTTCGCTGTGGAGGCGGTGGTGATTTCGCTGCTGAAGCTGGCGGCGGTACTGATGGAGGCGGACGTGGCGAGAGACCATTCGTCGGAGTGCCATTTTGCCTCTGCAATGCTGCAACATCTATGGAAGCAGATCTTGGCTCTCCATCTTCAACCTTGATAAGAGGATCCGAGCGTGGCGCTTCTGCATGACTTTGTCCCCAATGCTGCGCCAACATTGATCTACTATCGTCAATTGGCGTGAATATGCTATGAGACTTGGCATGTGCTGGTAACGGTTTCGGCTGCGGCATGTGAGGGCTTGCAAACGGGTGTTGCGGCGGTTGCGGGGATGACGATGGACGTGCTTGCTGAAGATTCGGCGATTGATGTGGTTGAGGTTGACCAGGTGGTTGCAGATGCTCTTGAGATGGATGCCGTTGCATGTTGGGCAGAGGCGGCGGCTGTGGAGGATAGCTGGGTGGCATGGATGAGCGTCGCTGGTCTTGCATGTAGGCCTGCTGGATCTGCTGATGTGGGGCGGCTTGTGGAGGGTATGGTTGAGCGTATCCCGGTGGCGGTGGTGCTCCTGGAGGTGGTGGCCGTTGCTGTTGCATCTGAGCAGCTGCTTGTGGGTTGTAGAAGGGCGGATTGGGGGCGTAGGCATAGCTAGGCTGTTGCTGAGCTTGAGGTACTAGGTTAGAGCTGGTTCGGCGGATATGCTGCTGTGCTGGATGTTGTGCGTTTCTCGAAGACGGTCTTGACATTCCTGGCGGGAGAGGCGATGGACCGCGCTGAAATTGCGGCATCTGGCCATTGTGCATGGGCGGCGAGGCGTGAGGTGTTCCGTGGCGTACATGTTGAAAGCCAGGGTGATTTGCCATGCCGGGTTGTGGGTGTCCCATCATCGCGTGATCGGGCTGCGGTGTCCCTCGATGCTCTTCTCCACCCACATCGTCTCCGCCGTCTTCATCGTCATCGTCATCGCCTCCTCCGCCCTTGTCTGCGAAGTCCTGAGGTCCCTTGTGCTCGTGCGCGCCGCCATACTGCATGCGATTAGCATATGCTTTCCTGCCCATTCTCGTGCATGGCAATGCCTACATATTGGAACCTGCCGACAATCTCGTTGATATCGGAGGACGAGTACTCGTAGAGCTTCTTGTTGTGCCCGAAAATAATGACGGCGACATCGACGGAGCAGAGCACGGAGAGCTCGTGGGCCTTCTTGAACAGACCGCCTTTGCGCTTGAGGAAGGTGACGCTGCGGTTGCGATCGTCGCGGACTAGGCGGCAAGCATTGTCAGAGGGGTGTCTTGTGGTGGGAGGGGGAGGGTGTGGGAGGTGCGTGAGTGCGTGGACTTACTCGGCTTAATCTCGATCTTACGGCGTCCCATGGTGTGCAATTGGATATGGGCGGGCGTTTGCTACCAGGCGCTGCGCATAGAGTGGACGGGACGGTACTAGCAGATGGCCGTTTTGGTGACGATTACTATCCGCGAGGCCTGGGGCCTGGGTGCTGGGATGGAACTGGCGCTGGCGCTGGCGCTGGCGCTGGCGCTGTCCGCCGACCGGCGATGCAATGCGAGACGCGAGGGGAGGCGAGGCTGAACGGCAGCACGTTCTGTGAATGCTGTAATGCTGTACTCAGCGCGCGTGGCATGCGCCGCAGCGTCGGGGCTTGCTCGTGTTAGAGCGGAGGTGTGCTGACGGTATACGCGCTGCCGTGCTGTCGTGCTCTCGGCGCGGCGCACGATCTTTAGATGACGCGAAGTTCGAAGTCGAGATGGCTGGGCGTCTAAAATTAGGAGGTCCGAGGAGCGACGTGCTGTTTAGGCGACTTAACCTTAACTGACCTCACCCTCTCCCCGTCACCCCCTCTCCCCCTTCACTGCCCGTTCTGTTGGGTTGGTTGGTTTGCTGACGCACGTGTGCACAATAATAATCCGCAGCTTTGTCCCCTGATGCCAAGCAGACTGCAGTGACCAGTCCTCCTAAATAGAATATCATGCAGTGGGCAAGGCCACTTGACTTCGCTGCACGCCTGAACTCCGCGCTCACCGCTTGCATAGCGAGTTCATCCTGTGCTGAAAGTCACCTCGCAGAGCTCTGCAGCAGTGCTCCCACAGGCAAAATGCAGGCCTATCCACGGATAGATGGATCGGATCAGGCCGGCTCCTACAACACAGATGAGAATGCTGCAACAATAATGCTCTGGAAAGAAGCCGACAGGACAAAGACGACCAGGGCAACGTAGAAGTTAGAACAGCTTGTGCTTGTGGATGGGCGGAGCCTCAACTTTATCTATCACATCACGCGCCACCGTGTTGGAAGATCATCGACATGTTGCTGTTTTGGTCTGACTATGGCATGTCCTCCTTGGGTATCCTGGAGCTGCATTGAGTTACGATGAAAGCTCCTCTAATAGATAGGTTGCTCTGTATGAAAGCAATTGCCCCATCAGTGGTTATAGAATGGTCGACGTGCGCGTCTGGCACCAGCCAGAAGTTCCCGAAAATAGATTTCGAGAAAGTCGGAAAGAGCCTCAAAGACGTACTTCGAGCTACGGCGTGTACAACACCACATCGCTGAACATTCTCTGTTTCTGGAATGGAGGTCAGTATTACCACTACTTGAATGTGTGAACAAGAGTGGGAAAGGATGTGAACAGAAGGACGGCGACGCGTGGCAAAGCCTTACCCCTTCTGCCGCTGATAGCCAGCCGTGCTGGAGCTCGACAAGTCAACATGCACGATGATGCGAATCTGCCATACAACGCCAAGCGCATGTAATAATAAACAGTCTCTCTCTCTTAAATTGGGTGGCCGCTGTTGCTCTTTAAACCTGTTTGCCCGCCTTTCAGAGTCTGTAATGCGAACATGCCTGAGCTCTTGAGGTTGTCGGAGAAATAGTCAATATTCAACTTAGTTACTCTCTTCAAGAGCCAGGAAGCAGGTTCAAGTCCCATGGCGGTTCGTATTCGGGAGTTGTATCCAGACTCTTTATCATAATAATAACTCTTTGCTGAACTCAACTCGATCACGCTCAACTTCCTCCATACACTTGCGGCAATCGATTGCAAATCAGGCGCGGTCCTGGAGTCGATGCTACACCGACACCGGCATCTCCCTGACATTTCGCAAATCGCGAAACACTTGGAAGCCATCGCAACGCTCCACGCATCGCCCGTAGATGTGGTCTCTCAGCTCGCGCGGCAAATCAAGAAGGAAATCCGTTGAGCTGCGCAGGGAGCTTGCTGATGCTGAGTGAAGCATGCAGACGTCGCAGTCCTTCGCTGCGTGCTAGAGTCGGGCAGGCAAAGTTTTGTATTCGAAAATGGCACTTACACTGACTTCCTATTCACCTAGAAACCATTGATTCGCTAATAGGTCCGTGCGTACACCTACGCAAGTCAAGCGCGATGATGTTCAGACTGAGCAAGATAGAGAAAGGCTTGCAAGAGCTTCATAGAGCACGCTCGGCTCGGCCTGCAGGATCATGGCAGCACAGTTGGCTAGAAACCATGAGACACCTGCTTCTCTTAACAATGAATTAGTCTCTTCGAGAGGACGAGAACTGAGGGGAGCAAGACAAATCGATGACCTAGCCTACCACAACCGCACAAAGAGTGTAGATACTATCTGACGAAGACGAGGCGATCCTTCTTGCCACCAGGATACTTTCAAACACCTCCAGAATTTTCAGTCTCAGGCTCGTTAGCATCATCGTCGTCAACATCCTCCCAGTCAGCATCATCATCGCCCTGGCTGGTATTGAGCATGGCACCTTCGCTTTGCATTCCAGCTGACCCCTCCCTCCGAGGAACACGAACATTTGCCTGGGCTGCAGAGTGCTTTACCTTCTTGGTGCGCGATTCTTCCGCTTCGGATTCGTCGCCTTCCTCGATTGCGCAAAGTGGTTTCACCTCAGCATGACTACGTTTTCGGTTGTTCTGCATCAAGTCTAAAATTTTCTTGGCAAGAGTGGTGTCGGAATGGGTGCTTATGGCTTGCTGAGGAGGAAGGATAGCTGGCGCAGGAATCGCACCGTCCGCGGGAAGATATCGCGGTTCAGCACGAGCAGGTTCGGCATTAGCTTGGGAAGCCATGCGCTCCCAGTCCAACGCGGGTAGCGGTGTTTCGCTCTCCTATAGATTCAACTCTTTCATGTGTCGGTTGGTCGTTTGATTGGGTTGAGGAGCGCTCCTTTGGAGACGTTGTCGTCGCTTCGAGGCCGGCCTTTGAGGCCAATAGTGATCGTGAAAGCCTTGTGCCCAGCCGAGCGGCAGCTTGTTGTGAATCGTGCTAGGGATACAACTAATCATCGGATTGACAACTATATAACTGTACTAAGAAGGATTAGGAGCCTGCTATAGAAACTGCAGTTAATATACCTATTATGTGTCCTTCCTCTTAGCATAGGTTAGCTAATGGTATTAGCTGACTAGTATATTACCTAACTGAACTACAATACTCCCCCTTAGGTAGAGATAATATGCTATTTAGATTAGATACTCTAAATCTAGGCTCAGAGCTTTACTTTATCTTCTAACTGCCTTTAGATGTTAGACTATATCTGCTTTATATATAGCTTTATATACTATACTACTTATACGTGCTTATATTACATTGTTTACTAATTAGTTTGCTTTAGAGTAATATCCTTAGTCGTGATTGTAGGGTTAGTAGGCGCCTATAAAAGATACTTGAACTTAACTAGATAACTTAAGCTTTTACAATCTACTCTTTAGTAATCCCCTAAGTACTAGTAGCCTCTACTAGAATTCAAATTCTTACTAAGACCTTTCAAGTCTAACAGCTAGCCGAGACTTTATTATAGCGATAATTCTTTACCCTAGCCTAGGGAGTATAGCGAGTAGTATAGGTAGTAGTAGCAGCGGCGGCGGTAGTAACGATCTAAACAAGAATCGGCACCCTTCGCGTTATAATAAGCTCTAGCTTATAGAGACTAGTAAGTATTGCTATTAGAGGTTCCCCTTTTCTAACAATTTGCTAACTAGGCGTAGTCCTTAAGGAAGTTTAGTTAACTATCGCGATTCTCTAGAGAATTATCTAGTACTTAACCAATATTAGTCCGGAGCAGACTCCGCCTTAGCTACGCAACGTTGATATTAGGCATTTTATTACGAGCTAGGATAATGCTCGGCTGTTTCTAAGTATGCCTCCGCGTCTGCGTAAGGCGGCTAAGGCATTCAATTTAGGCTTAAAATCGAATATTAACTACTTGCCTACCGCGCTTATATATGCGGCTACTGCTAGACGCATATATACTGGTAATAGCTAGTGCGGTCCTTATAAGCAGTTAAAGGGTCCGTACTTAGAGTATATAACTCTAAGTTATCGAATCAACGGTTAGGATATCGCTTTCCTAAAGGGCGCTTGCACTAACTGTACTAGCCTAAATTATTATAGTTAATACGAGTTCTCTAGTAAGTTGAATCTAGTCTTATGCATTTTTTAAAGCAAAAACACTAATCCTTTTATTAGGTTACGTCTCTCGGCTACGCTCTAATACGAATCGTTAGACGCCTATAGTACCTCTGCCGCCTCGTAATCCGGGGAGTAGAGTAGGCACTAATTAGCGTCGTCTACATATACTAGTCCCGTCTAGCATCGATTAGAGTACTCCTTAGGGCGCCTAGGCAGTAGCAAATTTGCTACTATAGCAAGCAAATGCTTATACCTAGGCTGCTGCTTAGGGACGTAGTCGTAGTCTAGATTCTAGGTTGTCTACTAGTCCTAGCTCGACTCGTAATTCTAGTAGTCCTTAGAGGGGTTTCTCTGATTACAAAGACAGTGATACTAAGATAGGTAGCTAATTAGGGAGATTCGGTTTTTTCTAGTAGATAGAGAGCTGTAATGTGTGTTTTCGATTTTAAAATAGGCTAGGCAGTCTAGATTAGTAAAAGCCTTACAGTATTAGAGAGTTTCTAACTCTTAAGGGCTAGGGTATTTCTTCCTACTTAGTCTCAATGTTGTTATAAAAGAAATTTTGCAGCTCAGACTATATAGTGCAGCTAGGCTGTTTCTAGAAATTAGAATGAAATTCAATAAGTATATAAAGCTTATTTTCTAATCCTACAAATAAGATTTTTCTTTCTAAAGGAGTAACTTAGGAGTTTGTCCTAGAGACGCTATATTATTAGAGAATTTTGTTTAGAGATTTAGGCTTAGTGAAACAGTCCGCTAGCTATTTGTTAGTAGTAACGAATTCGATACTAATCTTTCCCTAGGTATACTGTTCTTTATAGTAGTAGTTCCTAAGGGAAACGTACCTCGACCTCTTAGAATTTATATAGTCCTTAACAAGGGAAATAGCTAACTAGTTGTCTACCTAGACGTAAATCCTATTGACTTCTTCCCTAGTAAGTAGTTGAAGCTTAGTCATCAAATTTCGGAGCTAGCAGATTTCTCTATATGCTTCTATTAGAGCAATATACTCTGCTTTAGTGCTAGAGAGTACGACTTCCTTCTAGAGCTGTAATCTCTATATAATTGGAGTATTATTAAGAAGCATAAGGGCGCCTAATATTGATCTTAATAATAAAGGGTTACTAGCAAAGTCTGCGTTAGAGTATGCCTGAAATTCCAAAGTTTTCTTCTTTCTAAAGATAAGTCCTTTATTAACTATACTAGCAATGTACCTCTAGAGATGTTTAGCAGCTATAACATGCTTAGGTCCGGGATTCTAAAGGAACCTAGCAAGGTAGTTAACGGTATAGCTAATGTCTGGTCTAGTCTAGTTAGCTAGAAACTGCATTTCACTAATTATAGTATTAAACAGCTAGTAGTCCTAACGGTTATAGGGGATTATAAGAGGCTCGTAAAGCTTCTTAAGTAGATGCTTTATTGGCTTGTACTAGTCTAAGCTATGCTTCTGAAGCTTCTCTTTAGTATAGTGTATCTAGGAGATAGTAAGGTTTCCCTCCTTGTCTTCCTTTAGATAAAGGCCTAGAAATAGGTTGGACGTAATAATCTTAATTGTATACTTCTTACGAAGACCTTTAATTAGAGCATCGATCTTTGCCTTAGAGGTTCTAAAGATTTAGAAGTTATCTATATAAAGGAGGACAAGAATACTATTATCTTACTATAGGTAACAGTTACTCTTTGTCCTACTTAGGCTAAGTTAACGAAGAGTGTCTAAAGCATTATAGTGCTAGAGATTAGCAGCCTGCTTAAGGCTATACAATCCTTTTCTAATACGGATAATCTACTTTAGAGGGTGCTTCTTAAACAGGTGCGCGCCTTCTAGGGGTCTAATAAAAATCTCTTTATCTAGAGGGGGATTTAAGAAAGCAGTCTCGATATCAACCTGTCTTCGCTTCTAGTTTTTGTTTACTAAAAGCCTAAGGACAAGTCTAGCAGTAGCTGCTCTTAGTATAGGAGTATAGGTGTTGATATAGTTAAGACCTTGCTTCTATATAAAGCCTCTAGCTGTCTATCTTGCCTTATATTTATTAATAGAGCCGTCTAGCAGGTATTTGATCTTGAAAACCCATTTTCCTGTTAGAGGTATTCTGCCTTTTAGTAGGGATTCGGCTAGAATCCACTCGATTGTACTAGACTTTTTAAGAGACCTTATCTCTTTTGTAACGGCTTTTCTCTATTTATCCTAGTTAGGCCTTTTTAGGGCTTTAGCTAGGGTTATTAGGTTAGCTAGCTTCTAAGTATCTTTTATAGTAGCAGCTATAGCAATCTTAGTGATCTTGCTATAGTTATACTTAGCTACGGCTCTGCTAGACCTAAGTCGTACTTCGGCTTAAGGAGGGTTTAGTTAAGGTAGGTTAGGAGCCCTCTTTCTCTTGCTAGTAGTCTTAGGGACTTAGAAGGGAGTGATTAGGGTGTCTTCTAGTTTAGCAGTATCTATTTCTTAAGTGTGCTAATCTTTCTTAGGAGTAGCTTCCTGCTAGGCAACTAGTAGTTCTAGTTAGTAATTTTGGAGTATTAGCTTATTAGCTGTAGGTGTTAGCTAAGGTAGTGTTCCTTGCTTAAGTGTACCTTGCTCCCCCTAAGCTATAAGGGAGTCTTCCTAATCTTCCTAATTATAAGCCTGCTAAGGCTAAGGGATACTACCTCTAAATAGCTCCCCCTAAGGTTCTAAAGAGTACTAAGGTGTTTAGTCATTACTAGGGAATAGTGCTAGGATTCCTAACTTAAATAAGAGGTTAGACTAGGTTTCAAGTACCTAAATAGTCTCCTAAGGGACAGCTAGTCTTAAATACTCCCCCTAAGCTTAAAGGGTACTTAGAAGCTTAGTGAAATTGTCTTTATAGACAAAGTCCTCGTTAAAGGTAACGTATAGAGAGAATCTAATGTTATACTACTATACGCTATCCTTCTAGTACGGGTTCTAAAGCAGATAGTTTGTTAATGAATTTTCTTAGAATCTAATAAACTAGTAAACGAAAGCTCTTAGTACAAATTTCTAGGAGTTAAGTCGTTCAACCCCGGATTCGAGGTATTTGAATGCCTTATAGCTAAATCGTCTCGTCTTAGACAGGTCAATATCTATGCTACCGATATTCAAGTCTAATTCGAAAGCCTTAAGTGGAACTTCCTTAGTTCTTAAGTTCACTAGTCTATTAGTTAGGTAAATCGAATGTATTACTACAAAGCACTAGTAGTATATCGGTAGGCTAGAGTTAATTATTATTGCTCTTGCCTTAAGCAGAATCGTCTTGTTTAACGACTCTGCAATACTATTCTACTCCGGTATATATAGTATAGATACATCCTATCTAATGCTAACTTCCTCTATAAAATGTACTAGATCGTTGTTAGTAAACTCTCCCCCGCTATTACTAAAGATAATCTTAGGGATTTTGTTATATTGCCTCTTAATTCTAGTTATCCAGTTGGTTAGCTTGTTACTACTTGTTACCTTGTCTTTGTTTCGAAGTAATAGACCCTACCTAAGCCTAGTTTTAGCATTAGTTAGGATTATAATATACCTGTTTCTAAACAGATCAAATGGTTGTACGCTAATAAGGTTAACATAGACTTCGTTAAGGGCTTTTTCTAGTCTAGTTCTGTGTTCTCTTAATATAACTCTTTAAGCTCTCGAGAGCTTGTAGGTCTTATAGTGCTCGAGTTTAGATATGTTAACTTCTTCTAGGCCTAGAATAGCTTCCTTAGTAGCTATTAGGATCTTGTTACCGACGTAGCCAAGTCTCTAATGCTATCTCAATGTATCCGCTCGTAGTCTAGCGATAGCTAGGGCTAATAGCTGCCCTTTCTAACTCGATTCTAAGTTTGGTTTTAAAGCTAAGCCTAGCATTTTGACTCTAGCATCTTTAAGGGTAAGTACTCCTTATACTTCCTTAACCTTTCTAATTAGCTTGCCTTTAAGTATTAAAGTGCCTAAAGGTCTGTCTAAGTAAATGCTATATTTCTTCTAAAGACGCTCTGCTAAGATTAGGTTACAATCTGAGTTCGGGGAGTAGAGGACGTCTGTTAGAGTAATTAGGGTTTTCTTTCCTTTATAGGTTAGGAAGATATTAACAGTTCCTAATCGTAATACACTTGATTTTCCTACTACTTAGGAGAACTAAATAGGCTTAGTTAGGTGCTTAAGATCGCTAAACCAGCTCTTATTCCCTATAATGTGCAGTAATGTACCTATATCCTAAACTTTTGTATTAGCTGTTAGGTTCTTAGAGCTTGCTATAGCTAGTCCCGGCTTTGCAATAGCTCCCCTAATTAGGCCCCTACTAAGGCCGTCTAGCTAATAGTCTCCCTTATCTTCCGAGTTAGAGGAGGAGTCTAATTCATCTTTGTTATTGTTAATAGCACTACTAGATTTGCCCTTTCCTTTGCCTTTACCCTTCTTACCTTTATCTTTATCTTTGTCTTTGCTCTTGTCTTTCTTTCCCTAACTAGGTAGTACTATATTAGGGTGTTGCTTATAGCACTTAGCGTTAGTGTGCTTGTACTTGTACTAAGTGCACTAGTCGTTATTATTGCTAATAGCCCCTCTAACAAGCTTTAAGCCGCTAGATAACTGTCTAGGAGGCTTTTCTCTCCTTAGGGACGTTATTATTGCTTTAAGGGAGGAGTCCTTAGCTTTAGGCTTATTGTTATGCTTCTAGGATCTAAGCTATTCGTAACTAGAAAGGCCCTAAATGAACAGTATCCTAATAAGCATATTAGGCATCTTAATGTCTAATGACTTTATAGGCGCTTCTGTTATTGTAACTAAGCTAGTAAATTGTTCTGTCGATGTTTAGAATCTGTTGAACTACTACTAAAAAGATTCGCAGTACTACTAGGTATTCGGATTAGTGAAGGGCATCCTAATATGCCTAATGAGTTTAATAGTATTAAATATGTCTACGGTTACAATAGGCTTATATAGAGCCTTAATATAGTCGTATATATCCTTAGCTAACTTGGGTATATTACCGAAGTCTAGTCTAAGGGCAGGGTCGAGTCTAGCAATAAGTATACCTAGGGCTTAGATGTCTTTCTTCTTCTAGTCCCTAAACATGTCTCTATACTGCTAATCGGCTAAGTCCCCTATAAATATACTTTTTAGAGGTGGTTTTATTTTATTAGCCTAGTTAAGTCTATAGAATACTATACTAACTAGGTCCTTTTCTAGAAGGGCCGCCTAGAATATAAGCTTCTAGTCTTAGAAGTTAATCCCCTTCCTAAGAACTTAATTCTCCTTTGCTATCTTTATCTAATTAGTGTCTATCGTTCCTAGCTGCCTTTTAGTATAGTGCTAGGCAGGGCTTATAAGGGACACTTACTAGGTTTTAGTCCGAACTAGAGCTCTTAACTAGGTACCTGATAGGTCTAGATAGCTAGCTCTATTTAGTAGACTCTAGAAACAGTTCTTTTATAGTTAAACTAGATAGGTAAGCGTATACGCCGGGCTTATAACCTATTATAAATCGTGCTAGGGATGCAACTAATTATCGGATTAACAACTATGTAACTGTACTAAGAAGGATCAGGAGCCTGCTATAGAAACTGTAGTTAATATACCTATTATGTGTCCTTCCTCTTGGCACAGGTTAGCTGATAGTATCAGCTGACCAGCATATCACCTGACTGAACCACAACACAGCTGTCGCAACAGGCGACAGACTTTGGAGGCACCTGGACGAATGAGGTATGCTCCAAGACCCTTAATCAGGTCCTTTTAGAACAAGACGTTGAACTTCAGCTCAAGACAGGTCTCTCTAGTCAGACTTCCTCTCACGATTTCGATAGGGGGATGGTACTCTCCAGGCAGCGTTTCGAGCGAATCATTGAGCGACACTAGCCGCACGAGATCCGCACGGCCATGAATAAAACCTCTTCCACTTCTCGGCGTACATACTGGTGTAAGACACCTGTCTCTGAATCGCCTGGTCACGAGCTGCGGTCGTTCCTCGAAATATATCGATCCGAAGGGTGAAGACAAACATTTCCAATCTTCATAAGTGACCCGTTGGTTACCAAGAACCTCAGGTACCGGACATTTGACAAACTCTCCAACTTTGCAGAGTTCATAGTTCTCGCAAGGGAGTATGGAGTAACTTCGATCTCTCAACTTGCGGTTTACCTCAAAATAATCGAGTTGCTTCAGCAGCCGTTTGAGTTGCTTTCGGAGTCTTTGTCTCGCCGTAGGTTTGTGGCCGTACTGTACTGTGCTGAAATCCAGGTGGTCTACGCTTGCTAACAGCGATATGAGCTGTTCAACATCACTTCCATGGTGCACAGATCTGCCAGTGTACGGAGTACCTTCCAGAAGACCTTCCCCTGCATTCACAAGATTCAGGCCGGACATGCTATCTCTCAAGGCAGCAGCATCACGGATTTTGGATAGCATCCAATTTGTCAAAGAATCACTAGTCGGCTGCGCCTTCAACGATGCCACTTGCAAGCGGACCGAAACCCAAGCGTCACACAACGATACAAAGAGCTCAATTCTGCCAGAAGTCAAACGACGTAAACGACCTTGCGAAGTTCGCGATGATGGCAGAGAGACTAAGAGACGCAAAATAACACCATGTTTTCCACTGCACCTGTTGTCAAACAGCTATTCGCGCGTAAAGCACACCGATGACTGTTTCGTATATCATCTTCTAGATGCTGCCAGGATGTAGAGATTGAAACGCGACATCCAAAAAACTCTGCAGAGTAGAACTATAGAACGTCAGTTTGTGAATTAGCAGGGTCTCGGATTATTTAACTAAGAAGACCTCGATTATATTAGAACTAGAATGAACCCCCCCCCCCCCCCCCCCCCCCCCCCCCCCCCCGGGGGATTTCTATACTCAAGAACAAGAAGCTTTAGCTACGTTGAAAAAAAGCACGAGAGGAATTTAATATTACTCGTAAAGATACGCGGGATTTTAGAACTACCACTTCCTTCCCAACCCCCTCCTTCAAATTCCAGTTTCGTTGCACGTACGAGTGATTTCAATGCCTTCTGATTCACCACTCGCTGCACTCGAGTCCCTGCATCCAAAATTTCGAAATGGAATTCTGGGGTTGCGAGGAGTGGGGTGGCGGGTTACGTGCATACTGAAAATTTCGTGGTTTCTGCGATTGATTCTTTCGTGGAGATTTTTTGCTGCGGCTGAGAGTGGAATTGTTTCGACGGCTGGACATGCTTCGTGTGAGGGTGAGGGGGATCTGAGGAGGAGGATGTTGCTGACCAGGTATTGGAGTATGATTGAGGGGTTGAGGGAGGGTGTTGAGGTGGGGTATTTGGGGTGGAAGGAAGAGCAGGATAAGGACTTGAATGTAACTGATGTATTCGAGAGAGACTATCTACGAGAAAGTCGGAAGAAGAAGTGCGGCAGTTGCAGCCTGAGGCATTATGCACGTGATACTATACTATATACACTCTTCAAGTCACCCCCTTATCGCGTACATATAGCTAAACAAAGCAAATAAAGGGGTTTAAACAGACAGTAGTTAAACTAGATAATAAGCATATCTTCTATCTATTTAATACTTAGTAGCAGGCTAAGCGGCGCCTTTAATAGCGGCCTTATAATCTACTAAGTTCAACTGTTTAACGAAGCAAGCGTACTTAAGCTCATTAAGCGGCTTAGTAAAGCTATTAGCAATCTAATCGTAAGTGCTAATCTAGGTAACGGTTATAGTACCGTTAGCGATCTTCTTACGGATATAGTACACTCGAGCATCTATATATTTAGTACGGCTATTAACACTCGTCGACTAAGTAATAGTAATAGCAGACTAATTGTCCTCGTATAGCGTAATAGGCTTAATAGTGCCCTTATAACTAATCTCTTATAGCAACCGAGCTAAAGTAACGGCTTCCTTAGCGCTAGTTATTAACTAAATATACTTAGCCTCTATAGACGATAGAGTAACTAAGGTCTAGCGGCCTAACTTGCATAGCAGTAGCCTACTAGCGAGTATAAAGTAGAAGCCGCCTATAGAGCGGCGAGTAACTAGATCGTTAGCCTACGAGGCATTATAATAACTAGCTAGATTGAGCTTATCCTTGCTTTATATACCTTAAAAGCGTATACCTCGGCTAAGTGTGCTAACTAGGTACTTAATAAGCTATAGGAGAGCGTAATAGTGTTCCTTAGTTAGATTAGCAATAAAGCGAGACAATAAACCGGCGGTATAATAAGCGTCCGGTCGAGTAATTATTGCCGGCTATAGAGCCTCGCTAATACCCTCTTAGTACTTAGTCTTAAAGGCAGTACTAGCTATATAGGTCTTAGGCGCACGCTAAATAGCTAACTTAACATAGCATAGAGCTATTAGAGTAGTAGGAGCTATACGACCCTATATACCGTACTTCTTACTAAGCCGGTTTAGATAGGCGTTCTATACTATATAGATAGTGCAGTCCTTACGATTACGAATAATACGCATACCGAGATAGTAGTAAAGGTTACTAAGTTCTCGCATGTTAAAGCGATCCTTTAGCAGTTAGGCGACTGCCTATAAAGCAGCTGTCGAGTATATAATAATAATTATATTATCTACGTAAATAACGATAATTGAGTTGCTAAGCGTATATTTGAATATACATACGTCGCTTATTAAAGGGATAAAATTGAGGCTTTTTAAGTACTTGCGGAGCTCTTCGTACTATAGTATAGGTAACTGCTTTAAGCTATATAGAGCCTTTAGCAATAGGCAAACTATACCCTTGCTACTATAGTCTTTAAAGCCGTATAGTTGTTTAACGTAGATCTTATACTTGTCGCCAATTATAGCGTTTAAGAAGGTAGTAAGAATGTCAAACTGCTAAGCTTCTAGGTTATAATAAGCAATAAGGGCGAATAGGGCTCGAAGAGTTAATAGCTTAGCAACAGCGGCATAAGTCTTATTATAATCCTTACCCTTAACTTGAGTAAAGCCCTTTACAACCTAACGGGCCTTAAAACGGCTAATCTTGCTATTAGCATTACGCTTAATAGTAAACACCTATCTACTACGGATAACCTTGCGGCCTGTAGGTACTTCTTGCTTAGCAACGTAGACTTAGGTTGCGTTATCGATAAGTGACTTGTATTTAGCCTTATAGGCCTCTTTCTATTATAGCTAGTATAGTAATTCCTTAGCAGCCTTAAAGCTCTTTAGAATAGGAATGTCGTTAGCAGGATTATCGGCCTGTTTAGCAATATAATAGGCAGCTATAAAGCCCTTTATATATGCTATTAGTATATTAGCTAGGTTACGGCGCGTTAATCGATTAACGCTAGCATCGGCTAGATAGCTACGCAATAGCTCTCGTACTAACTTATTACTTCGAGTAGTACGTATTAAACGAGCGCCTACGGTATTTAGTCGCTTAAATTCTAGCAACTAGCTAGGCTCGCCCTTCTTAGCATTTAGATCAAATAGTGTCTCTTCCTTAGTAGATTAGAAGCTATCTTCCTCGCTTGATAGTTAAATGTTAGGCATATCGTCTTCCGTTAGTAGTAGGTTAACTACCTTATCTACTAGTAGTATATTAAGTTGCTCTATAGGGACCTCTTATTAAGCTAGAAGTTGCTAAACAATACTAGCCACTTCTATAGCCTTCGGTGCCTTACTCGTTATCGTATTAAACAAGGCTAGTATAACCGACTTAATAGTTATAAACCGGCTCTTAGACGGGTTGTTAGGATTAGTATATAGCTTAACGCCCTCCGGAAGCGATAACTTGTCGTCTCCTAACTTAATAAATTAGACATCCTTCGAGGCAACAACCTTATACTCGTTAGGCAAGTAGATTATATATTTACCTAAGTCTACGGAGTCCTTCGTATAGCTAACTAGCTTGCCGAGCTTGCTACGAGCGTTAAACTTCTTACTACGAGCTATACTATAGTCGTAGATAATAGCTATATAGCTATAAGCGCGTAGGTGTCGAATACGTAGCTACTTGCGTAACTAGCCGAGTTCCTTAGTAACTACTATATAAGGGCTATCTCTATCGAGGGCCTAGCTTAGTATAATGTTAATAACCTGTATAGCGGTAGTAACAGCCTGCGGCTATAGAGCCTTTAGAAGGTTAGCATATAGTATTATCTTTCGAGCCGTAGTATAAACGATGTAATTGCTAACCTTAGCTAGGCTATTTTAAGTCGAAGAATAAGGCGCCGTAACCTGTAGTATAATGCTATAATCGCGAGCCTAGCTTAATAGCTGATTTCCGCTGTACTTACCCCCTCTATCGAGGCGGTAAATAGGGATTAAATAGCTAGTCTATATACGGACGTATATACGATAATCCTTAATAGCTACTATAGCTCCTAACTTCAAGCTGCTTAAGTATTCGTAGCGATAAGCTAACTTAGCGCATATAAATAGCGTAAAGTAGCGTTCCTTACAAAGACTAGGGTTAGTAATATAGACTACGTTAATATAGACAATGTAGTAGATCGTAGATAGCCGCATTCGAGGCAGTCGGCTGTACTCCTTATAAGCTATTGCTGTGCGGTAGGCAATGCAGTTATAGAATGCTTTCTTGTCGCTAGTAATAATAATGTAGCCTTTAGCCTCTAGACGTAACAGCTTAGTATAGTAGATATAGCTAAGACGTAGATGCTACTCTTCTATAGTGCCTATTAGCACCCCCTTCTTTAACAGAAGCGTAACAACCTAGCTATTAGGACTAGAGGTAGGTATGTAAAGGAAAGGAAGGCTATCCTTGCGGTAGGTCTAAGCGACAGTAATCTTATTGCCTTTAGCATCGTATATAAACAACACTCGCTTGTTATTACAGTAAAAGCAGCCCTTATCGGCAAGCTTCTTAGTAGATAGCAAATTGGCTACTAAACTAGGTATATAGAGTGTCTCTAACAAACGTAGTATGCTTACTCTAAGCTTATTAATAACCTTAGTATAGGCTATACCAATTAACGTAGCATGTTTAGTATTGCCGCTAAAGCGCATAGGCACGTTGCAACCCTCGTATTCGATAAGAAGTGCTAGATCGTTAACTATGTGTATGCTAGTACCTAAGTCTACGACCTAATTAGTAGTACGAGTAGCAGCTGTAAGCGCAGTTGTAGCCGCATTACTAATAGTAACAGCATTAAATAAGTAGTGTCGCTAATCTAATAGAGGCGTATCCGTACGAGGATTGTTATAGGCAAATAGGCCTTACGGAGTTGCCGGAGGTAGCAATTATTGCTAAGTAGTCAGTCTACGCTACTACTACTACATCCCCTTCTTCTTAGCCTTTTGCTGCTTACGGCGTAGTCGGTCTTCCTCCTTTAGATAAGGGTACTTATTATAATAGCGGTCGGAAGGATGCGAGCCTTAATAGTAAGCGCACTTCTTACGGTTGGATTAGTTCTAGTTATTTCTACCGCGGCCTCGACCGTTGTTATTGTTTCTACGGCTACTACGGCCGCTACGGTTTAAGTCGCTTCGAGGCGCGTTATTGTTGTTATTGCCGCTAGTAGGTAGCGATTGCTGCGGCTTCTATAGACTATAGTATCTATTATACTAGGCCTAGTTAACCTATACGACATTCTCGTTAAGCAACGCGCTAATAATATTGTCTAGTGTGTTGCCGTTAACCGTGAAGTTAGCGGCTCGTATTTGTTTACGTCGCATCTGCGCAAACGCCTCGTAGAACGGGCTAATTAGTATAATAAAGAAGTAGACAGCTTAATAGTCGCTAATCTTTAATTTAGTATTGCTTAACGTACCTAACTTCTTCTTATAATCGTTATAGAACTTCTTAACGTCCTTACCCTCGTACCGGAGGGTAGAGTATTCCTAGAATAACATAAACTTAGTAGACCTACCGTTACTAGTATACTTCTTCTTAAGGAAGTCCTACACTTCCTAGGATATAGATAGGCTAAGTAGTAATTGTTAAATATTACTAATACAATTGGCAAAGATCTAGGTACGCGCTAACTAGTCCTTTACCTCCTATTTATCTTAGCGGTCTTTAAATTCTTCCTATGTTTTAGTAGATAATAGCTTAAACTTAGGCTTTAGGCGGGTCCCTTAGATATAGCGCTATACCTATATGCCTTTAAGGGCACCCTTAGCGGTATAGGCCTATACTAGATAATTCTCCTTATTCTTTAGCTTAGGGATGTTGCTTATATAAGCGTTAGAAGTTGTAGGGGGAGCTATTACGGACAGCGACGGCGATGTTAATATAGAAAGAGACTATAGACTTGTCTTAAGAGGCCGCCGATAGGCGCGCCTAAGTTGTATTCGTATAGCGGACAGCTAATACTGTTATAAGAAGCTCGAGTCTAGTATATACTAGAATCCTCGAGTAGTAGCGACGGCGGCGATAATAAGGTGTCGGCGGCGGCGCGCGAATTTTCTAGTAACAATACTAGCTACGCAGTAGTCGGTAGAGTTGTAATTAGAACGTAGAATGCGTATTAGAAACGTAGGGGGCTTATAACTACTTAAATGTAACTAATGTATTCGAGAGAGACTATCTACGAGAAAGTCGGAAGAAGAAGTGCGGCAGTTGTAGCCTAAGGCATTATGCACGTAATACTACACTATATACACTCTTTAAGTTAAGGAAGGGTAGGAGGATATTAAAGAGGAGGAGGGGGAGGGAGAGGGGGTAGATATAAATAGGAATAGAGAGGGTAAAGAGGGTAAGTAGTTAGATATTAAGTAAATTTGTTGCGGCGTTAAAGATATCTTAAGGACCTCTAGTCTACACATTAAGGTATTTAGAATCAAGTGTCAAACTAGTCTAAGATTAAACCGCACTTGCACTTAGACTATTAGAGTAAAGATAAGTCTTTAAAGAAAAGGGTACAAATTTAATCTTCTTAACTATCCGAAGCTCGATATAAATCCTACCTAATCTTATAGCTTCTTCCTACCTTTCCCTTTACGTACGAGTAAGTTTGTCCTATAATACCGAAAGATTTCTTCTAGAGCTAGTTGCTACTATAGGTTTAGGCAGTCTTTTACCGGTCCTGTCTAGCTTAAGCAACGATCTAACGATCTAACGATATAACGATATAACGATCCGTGTCCTCTCTCTAGGTACTAAGCACGTCCTCGAGCTTAGCATTTTGTTTAAGCTCCCGAATACAATATTGTTTAGCTAATACAATCGGTCCTTAGTATAGTATACAGATAGTATAGTCGTTGATTGTTAATTGTTACTATTATATAATCACTTACAATTATAGTAACTGTAGTTGTAATTCCTAGCAAAGTAATTGTAATTAAAATCTAAAAATAACTTCCTATAACGAATATATGTCTAGAGTAGCATTTCTAGGCTATGTTAGCCTTCTAAATAAAGCAACAAGCTCGCTATATCTTGGCCTCAACGTATTAGATTCTTCTAGGTAAAGTAGAGCTATTGTCCGGAAATGATATCTTAACGTACTCCTTTACTTAAGTAGGTTAGAATTATGCTTACTTAGCTTGAGGCAGGCTGCTTCCCCGAGCTTCCCCTACTATTGTGATTTTGTAATTAATCATTCACAATCAGTTGTAATTGTGAGTGATATTTGGGATGTGATTGTGATTAATTTGTTGTTGACAACTACGCAAAATTCTTCAGCTGGTACAATCGGTCCTCAGTATGGTGTACGGATACACATACCGATCGTATCGTCCTTGATTTGAATGTTGCATAGTTTTGTCTTTCTCTATGAACTTTTCGGAGCCAACTTTGGGATCGCTCAATTCATCGTTGCGACGCTTGCAGTCATGAAATTTGTCTTCGTGAGGACTTTGACTTCGCAGGGGGCAACATCAATCGGCAGACATACCGAGATCTACTTCAGACAAAATTAATGACGGCTGCTTCAGCGAAAGGATCATCCGGGCTTCTGGATGACGCTCACATGAACGCTGCACACTGAACTGAGCACCAGTCCCAAAATTCCTGCGCATGTCCATTCCCTCCGTCCGCTACGGCTTTGACCGCATCCATCAAATCGGATCGAATCGGTTGCCATCTTCCCCACGGAATCATCCATCGACCACTATCCTGCTTCCCAACTGTCGGCGATACCGCTGCTGTGAGCTCGGTGAGAGCTCCATAGACAGGCGGGTACAAAATGAGCGTGCGAAGTACGCATTGCAACAGCTTGTTCTGCTCGCGATACAGGTCCGACTTGAGGTGGCCAGGATTGCATATGATGCTGGTAATTTCGGGGAACCTTCTCGCCATTTCTGCTCCGTGGAGCCATGCGGATGCTTTGGAGATCCCGTATCGCTCTAACGGCGAAATCTGTCGCCAGTACTCCAGGAAGTCACGCGAGATCCCTCGGGACCTTTCTCCAAGCAATTCGACCGAAAGAGAGCCTACCCACACGACACGCACGTCCGGGTCTGTCTTGGCCGTGTCCAGCATCGTCGGCGTTAGTAGCTGCGTGAGCAAGAAAGGTGCCAGGACATTGACTCCGAAATGGATCTCCCAATCTTGAGCAGTCTTCCTGTTGTCAGAAGCCTGGATCCCAGCATTGTTGATCAGAATGTGCAATTGATTCTTTCCCTGTTCCAGTTTCTTGAAATTTTCTACCGCAGGTTTGATGGTTCGGAGATCAGAGAAGTCCATGTGAAGAAAAAGTAGCACGCCTTTCGAGTTCTCAGGGGCTAGACGTTTTGCGTCCCTGATTGCACAATTTGCTCGTTCTTCTGACCGCGCTCCGATATATCTGTTACATCCAGTCATTTGCGAACCAAGTCTGGGGAGACTGTGTATGAAAGGCTGGTGCTAGAAAGAAGCACGCACGTACATACACTGTGGCATTCTTTGAATATAGGATCCGAACGACTTCTTTGCCTACTCCGCTACTGCCTCCAGTAACGATACACACCTGTGAGGGGAAGAACCATGGTTAACAATCAGCAACTTCTCGGTCGGTTGGAAAGGACTTTTCTTTTGGTCGTAAGGAAAGGAAATCTTGGACAGACATACTTTTCCACACAAGTCTGGAATATCTTCTTCTCTGAAGTTCGGTTTCGGAGGCCACATTTGGGTATAAACACTCGACAAAGATGGCATTGGGCCTTTTTCATATTTGTTATAAGAAGTCGAACCTTTCATTGTGGATTATCTCTGCCTATTCCCCGAGCGAGACTCTGTTTCAACTATTCTTCTACTAGGAATTTTGGGTTTCTTTCTTTGAGCTCTTGTTAGAGAGGGATTCTAGGAAGCAGAACGGGGAATAGGAATAGTTCCGTAATCGCTAGCTGTTCTCGGCAAGTAACGAATTTATTCTTAGCCTTTACGTATCTTCGATAATCGATATCTCGACTACAATATTGCAATTAAGCTATAGGGTCTCTACGTATTAGAGGGTTACTAGATAGCCTTTAAGCTTAATATTCAAGCTTAGGCTTTATTAAACCGAAACCCTTACTAGCTAGGATCGGGGAAAGTAGGAAGTTAGATTACCTATAGCCTTAGTAACTTATAGCCTTACTAGCTCTAATAACAATTTCTAGTTTTACCGACCTCTTAGTTCTTCCCTAAATAGGCTATCTTAAATACGTAATTACTAACTAATCCTTCGCGGAGTTCGTAAGGCTTTAATAGGCCTAGATAAGATCGGGAGCTTCGTATAGCCTAAAATAAGGGATTTACCCTATATAGTACTCCCTTTCCGTAGCCTACTATAGATATAGCAAGATCTATTCGGGATTTAGATTAGCTAATAGATTTCGAATACTCGAAGAGGAGATAATAATATCTAGATTCTAAACCTTAGTAAGTAGTAATTACTATTCCTATAGCAATTACTATAGAAATTTCGAGACGTAGTAATAGTAATTACTATTTAGTAATTACCTGTTACTATATAGTAATATAGTAATTAACCTATACTATTTATATATAGAGAAGTACTTTATTTTTATAGATATATTATATAATCTTTGAAAAAATATATATAATAGTACTATATCTATAAAAAGCTATTAAGAATCTCTTATTCTAATAGAATTTTTCTATTAATAGAAAATAGTAATATAATAGTAATATAGTAATTACTAAATAGTAATTACTATCTATATTACTATTTCTTAAATCTCGTAGCAATAGTAATTACTTTTAGTAATTAGTAAGGTTTAGATATTACTAGGAGGAGAAGAGGCAGGGTTCGTAGTCTAGTCTCCCGTTAGCTTGCTATCTATAATATAACAACTTAACAAAAAATAGGGCCTCTTTAGGCTTAGTGCGGCTTAAAACGACCGAAAAGCCGACTCTAATTAGTCGGCGGCGAGGAACTTTAAAATTTCTCGATTCTCGAGCGGTCTAGAGGGCGTAGGAGTCGCGGTATCGACTATAACGCTCCGGCGCCGCGATAGTAGTGTTTCCGAGGCCGTCTCCGTCGTTTACGCCTAATCCGGCGGCGTTTTTTGCTCGAGGCGGTATCGTTTGCGCCTAATCCGGCGGTATTTACTCGGAGCGGTAGGCTCGAAAGGCTTATCCTACGCGTTCCGGTAACAACTTAACAAAAAATAGGGCCCCTTTAGGCTTAGTGCGGCTTAAAACGACCGAAAAGCCGACTCTAATTAGTTAGCGGCGAGGAACTTTAAAATTTCTCGATTCTCGAGCGGTCCGGAGGGCGTAGGAGTCGTAGTATCGACTACAACGCTCCGGCGCCGCGATAGTAGTATTTCCGAGGCCGTCTCCGTCGTTTACGCCTAATCCGGCGGCGTTTTTTGCTCGAAGCGGTATCGTTCGCGCCTAATCCGGCGGTATTTGCTCGGAGCGGTAGGCTCGAAAGGCTTATCCTACGCGTTCCGGATAGTACTACTCGCTATAGGCGTTTTATAGGGTACTTATAGTAGGCGTTAGATAAGGTACTCGCTATAAATAGTTCGAATCCTATTTAACTATAGGCGTTTTAGATAGTATTTGCTATAAGCGTTTCGGATAGGACTACTCGCTATAGCTATCTCGGACAGTTACCGCTATAAGCGTTTCGAATATTACTACTCGCTATAAGCGTTTTTAGTAGTATTTACTATAAGCGTTTCGGATTAGACTTGCTATAAGTATTCTAAATAGGACTTACTATAGGTATTTTAGATAGTACTACTTGCTATAAGCGTTCTTAATAGTACTTGCTATTTGCGTTCCGAATTAGACTTACTATACGCGTTCCGGATAAGACTTAGTATAAGCGTTTCGGATTAGAATTGCTATATAGTGCGTTCTAAATGAAACTTAGTATAGGCGTTATAGATAGTAGTACTAACTATTAGCGCTCCGGATTAGAGTTATTAGACTTACTATACGCGTTCTAAATAGTACTTAGTATTATAAGCGTTCTGAATTAGACCTATTATAGGCGTTATAGATAATAGTTAGCTTATCCTACGCGTTCCGGATAGTACTACTCGCTATAGATATTCTATAGAGTACTCGCTATAGGCGTTATATAGGGTACTCGCTACAGATAGTTCGAATGCTATTTAACTGTAGGCGTTTTAGATAGTATTTGCTATAAGCGTTCCGGATAGTACTACTCGCTATAGGCCTTCCGGATAGTGCTTCGTATAAGTATTTAGTTTCGGATTAGACTTAGACTTACTTTATACATTCCGGACAAGACTTTCTGTAGGCGTTTCGGATTAGATTATTAGACTTGCTATACGCGTTCCGGTTTATATAGGACGAACTATACTAAGCGTTTAAAATAAGGCTTGTCCTACGCGTTCCGGATAGTACTACTCGCTATAGACATCTTAGATAGTTACCGCTATAGGCGTTTCGAATATTACTACTCGCTATAGGCGTTTTTAGTAGTATTCACTATAAGCGTTTCGGATATAACTTGCTATAAGTATTCTAAATAGTACTTACTATAGGTATTTTAGAAAGTACTACTTACTATAAGCGTTCGTAATAGTACTTACTATTACCGTTCTAAATTAGACCTACTATACGCGTTCCGGATAGTACTTACTCTACGCGTTTCGGATAAGTCTTAGTATAGGCGTTTCGGATTAGAATTGCTATATAGCGCGTTCTAAATAGAACTTGGTATAAGCGTTATAGATAGTAGTACTAACTATTAGCGCTCCGGATTAGACTTGCTATACGCGTTCCGAATAGTACTTACTAAGTTACTATTATAAACGTTCTAAATCAGACTTTCTATAGGCGTTATAGATAGTAGTTAGCTTGTCCTACGCGTTCCGGATAGTACTACTCGCTATAGGTATTCTATAGAGTACTCGCTATAGGCGTTTTATAGGGTACTTACGGCCCCTTTAGGCTTACTACGGCTTAAAATAAGCTAAAAGCCGACTCTACTTAGCTATAGCCGAGGAACTTTAAAATTTCTTAGTTTACGAGCGGTTCGGAGATTATAGGAGTCGTAGTATATAGTTCGTAAGCGGTTCGGAGATTATAGGAGTTGTAGTATATATCGTAAGGCTACGATAGTATTATTTCCGATGCTATATCGGTCGTTTATGCCTAATCCGGCGGTATTTGCTCGAGGCGGTATACTCGAAAGGCTTAGCCTACGCGTTTCGGATAGTACTACTCGCTATAGATATTCTATAGAGTACTCGCTATAGGCGTTTTATAAGGTACTCGCAGTAGGCGTTATACAAGGTACTCGCTACAAGCAGTTCGAATACCATCTAGTAACTATAGGCGTTTCAGACAGTATCTACTACAAGCGTTCCGGAAAGTACTACTCGCTAAAGATATCTCGGATAATTATCGCTATAAGCGTTTCGAATATTACTACTCGCTATAAGCGTTTTTAGCAGTATTTGCTATAGGCGTTTCGGGCGTTTTGGATTAGACTTACTATAGGTATTCTAAATAGCACTTACTATAGGTATTTTAGATAGTACTACTTGCTTTAAGCGTTCTTAGTAGTACTTACTATTAGCGTTCCGAATTAGACTTGCTATATACGTTCCGGATAGTACTTACTCTACGCGTTCCGGATAAGACTTAGTGTAAGCGTTTCGGATTAGAATTGCTATATAGCGCGTTCTAAATAGAACTTAGTATAGGCGTTTTAGATAGTAGTGCTAACTGTTAGCGCTCTGGATTAGACTTACTATACGCGTTCCGAATAGTACTTACTATTATAAGTGCTCTAAGTTAGCCTTACTATAGGCGTTGTTAGTAACAGTTAGCTTATTCTACGCGTTCCGGATAGTACTGCTCGCTATAGATGTTCTATAGAGTACTCGCTATAGGCGTTCTATAGGGTACTTAGAGTAGGCGTTATATAGGGTACTCGCTATAGATAGTTCGAATGCTGTTTAACTATAGGCGTTTTAGATAGTACTTACTATAAGCGTTCTAGATAGTGCTGCTCGCTATAGTCTTAGCCTATAGGCCTTCCGGATAGTGCTTAATATAAGTATTTAGTTTCGGATTAGACTTAGACTTAATTTATACATTCCGGATAAGACTTTCTATAAGCGTTTTAGATTAGACTTAGTATACGCGTTCCGGTTTATATAGGACTAACTATACTAAGCGTTTAAAATAAGGCTTGTCCTACCGACTCCTACGCGTTCCGTATAGTACTACTCGCTATAGGTGTTCTATAGAGTGCTCGCTATAGGCGTTTTATAAGGTACTCGTAGTAGGCGTTATATAGGGTGTCCGCTAAAAGTAGTTCTAATGCTATTTACTATAGCCTATAGGCGTTTTAGATAGTATTTGCTATAGGCGTTCCGGATAGTGCTACTCGCTATAGATATCTCGGATAGTTACCGCTATAAGCGTTTCGAATAATACTACTCGCTATAAGCGTTTTTAGTAGCATTTACTATAGGCGTTTCAGATATAACTTGCTATAAGTATTCTAAATAGTACTTACTATAGGTATTTTAGAAAGTACTACTTGCTATAGGCGTTCTTAGTAGTACTTACTATTAGCGTTCTATATTAGACTTACTATACGCGTTTCGGATAGTACTTACTATACGCGTTTCGGATAAGACTTAGTATAGGCGATCCGTATTAGAGTTACTATATAGCGCGTTCTAAATAAAACTTAGTATAGGCGTTATAGATAGTAGTACTAACTGTTAGCGCTCCGGATTAGACTTACTATACGCGTTCCGAATAGTACTTAGTATTATAAGCGTTCCAAATTAGAATTCCTATAGTTGTTTTCGATTAAAGTTGCTATAAGCGTTTTGAATTAGACTTACTATACGCCTTGTAGGCAGTACTTGCTATAAGTGTTCCGACTCGGAAAGAACTACTTACTATAGATATTTCGAATAGTACTCGCTATAGGTATTCCGGATAGCAATTACTATTAGCGCATTCCGGCTCGCTATAGGCGTTTTTTAGGGCACTCGTAGTAGGCGTTATATAGGGTACTTGCTATAAATAGTTCGAATACTATTTAGCTATAGGCGTTTTAGATAGTATTTGCTATAAGCGTTCCGGATAGTACTACTCGCTTTAGGCCTTCCGGGTAGTACCTAATATAAGTATTTAGTTTCGGATTAGACTTAGACTTACTATATATATTCCGGATAAGACTTTCTATAAGCGTTTTAAATTAGACTTGCTATACGCGTTCCGGCCTATACAGGACTAACTATACTAAGCGTTTAAAATAAGGCTTATCCTACGCGTTCCGGATAGTACTACTCGCTATAGGTATTCTATAGAGCACTCGCTATAGGCGTTTTATAAGGTACTCGTAGTAGGCGTTATATAGGGTACTTAGCGCTCGCTATAAGCAGTTCGAATACCTATAAGCGTTTCGGATTAGACTTGCTATACGCGTTCCGGTTTATATAGAACTAACTATACTAAGCGTTTAAAATAAGGCTTGTTCTACGCGTTCCGGATAGTACTACTCGCTATAGATATCTTAGATAGTTACCGCTATAGGCGTTTCGAATATTACTACTCGCTATAGGCGTTTTTAGTAGTATTTACTATAAGCGTTTCGGATATAACTTGCTATAAGTATTCTAAATAGTACTTACTATAGGTATTTTAGAAAGTACTACTTACTATAAGCGTTCGTAATAGTACTTACTATTACCGTTCCGAATTAGACCTACTATACGCGTTCCGGATAAGACTTAGTATAAGCGTTTCGGATTAGAATTACTATATAGCGCGTTCTAAATAAAACTTAGTATAGGCGTTATAGATAGTAGTACTAACTATTAGCGCTCCGGATTAGACTTACTATACGCGTTCCGAATAGTACTTAGTATTATAAGCGTTCTAAATAAGAATCCCTATAAGTGTTTTAGATTAAAATTACTATAGGGGTTTTAGATTAGACTTAGTATCCGCCTTATAGGTAGTACTTACTATACGCCTTATAGGTAGTACTTACTATAAGCGTTCTAACTCGGAAAGAACTACTTACTATAGATATTTCGAATAGTACTCGCTATAGGTATTCCGGATAGTAATTACTATAGGCATATTCCGGAAGTAGTTACTATAGATATTTAAGACTATCTTGCCACAAGCGTTCCTAATAGTGCTCGCTGTAAGCGTTTCTAAATAGTGCTTTCTAATATCTATAACGCGTTCCGGATTAATATTACTTTTTAGTATTAGCGTTTTAGATATAACTTACTATACGCGTTTTAGATTAGGCCTACTATAGGCGTCTAGATAAGACTTTAGCTACTCGTCGCCTCAGGCTTCTCGTGTGGCTCTTCGAGCCACATAAGCCCTAGTATGCAGTTGACAACCTGTAAGCACAACAACTATACCTATTCCGGCTACAATAGCTGTCTATCGCGCCACGGTGAAACAGTATTCCATCGAGAGACTTAGCAGCCATCTTCCGGCCGCGAGGGCTAGATCCGGACGGTCACGCGGTAGACAGGTAGCAGTTGGCTTTTCTACCTTAGAAGTTAGCGACTTGCAACTACACCCTCTGACAAGATTTCGGAGTCCGCTTTTCTAGCTTTCCGAGTCTGTCTTGCGCCTGAGTTACCAGAATGGAGTAGTGTCATTGGTTAGTCGGCCTGTCGAATGCTTGTAACGACTCGCAATCTGCTACTCGATCGGTTACTTTAGGCGATCGGTTAGTTGGGGTGTAGCAAGCTCGTCTGTTTACAACCTTTCACTACTGTCAGACCCTGTGCAGATCGATAGACAGAAGTCTGTATTGTTTGTCACGTCGTGGGGGCACATATCTCGCTCCTACTACTTGAAACGGCCAACCTCGCATGACCGAGCTTGTCCGATTGACAGTTCGTATCAATTAGCTTCCATATTTCCTCCTCCAGGCTCGCTTTACATACTATAACAGTGAGTAAACAACGAGTGGGGAATCCAGGCTGCTTCACTGTTACAGTATGTAAAGCGAGCCTGGGCCCAGTCGCTGCATATATGCGCTCTACAAACTATATACAAAACCAATGGGCAGGGAGGGCGGGTACAGCGATTGCGGCGCCGAGTAGGTGAATGAAGGAAGAAATGCTCATGCAGGCGGTGTAGAACTATAGAAACCTGAAATATTCTCCAGATATACCTCTTCTAGAATAGCGACATATCCCCAGCTCAAGGGTGCCGAGAAAGGTACTGGGCCTTGTAGATGAGTTATACCATCGGACGGAGGGCTACCGGTGCAGTTGCAACAACATAAGGAGATCTAGAATTGCGAAACAGCTGGTTTTGCCGACACCTTTGCATGTCTCTTCACATGAAGGTCCCGGGACATAAAAGAACAAAAACATCACTAGGGTCATTCTTCCTTGGGTTTTACTAAACTCTACACCGCCAAAAATGTCTCAGATACTCCCAAGAAGAGGGATGTCACTGACCCCAACTTCTTGCATAGATGTCAAGTACCTTGATCGAACGACACAACGACGTCAATGCTCTCTATGAGGTGCCGTGATCATTTCCTGGTTCGGCAATTTTGGCCTCATTGCCCTCGTATTCCTCACGTGGAATCAGGTAGAGCCAGAAAGGACGCTTCTCCCACAGCACCCAGCCCTTGAGGTTCTCACGCCAATGCCTACTCTCCTCGGCGACAACGATCTCGAAGTTCCAAAGTATTCGTGCCAGAATGATGCTGATTTCAGCGTATCCCAAGCTTCTCACTACGTCAGATGACAACTCATGTGGTGTAGATGCTGCAGGAACTCACTTTCTGGCTGGACACATTCTGGGGCCGCAAGAGAACGGGTGAAAAGCGTCCCTTCGATCACTTGCAAATTCAGAATAGATGTCCGAATTGGGCATCCAACGCTCGGGAATGAATTCCTGAGCTCTCTTGAAGTTGTGTTCACTTCGATACATCGCTCGGTGATGAATACTGAGCACGGTCTACAATAGTAGTGTCAGTAACTTCGCACAAGTGCAGTCCATCAACCACATACATTTCCAGGAATCCAGTCATCGAAAATCTTGTTGCCTTGTTTTGGTGTTATTCGCCATAGAGCATTTGGGGTGACAGGATGCAGGCGCAGTCCTTCTTCGATAACAGCCCTGAGGAAGGGCAATGTCATTGCCTTAGTGCTGGTCATCTCATCTTCGCTCTTGAAATTCGCTCGCAGCTCTCGCAGCAATCTGGCCTTCAGCGTTGCATCCGATGAAATGCGGTACAAAAGCGATACTGTAGAATTGGCTGAGCTCTCGGAACCCGCAAAAGTAAGCAAATTCGAATTTGCGAGGATCTCTTCTTGCGTCATGCACTTGGACACAATGCTGATCAGCGAGACGCTTTCGCTTGGTGATACACCAACAGATCCATGAGACTCACATTGCCACCCCTCCCTTGCTTCATCAGCTCGAAGAGGTCAGTCCGGTCAGGTGCTTTCCCTGCAAGCCTCTCATTCACGATGTTTCCGATGAGCTTGTCAAAGTGCGTAAACTGCGTAAGCAAGGTGTATACGTCTCTCCATGGCATCGCCAGCCAGAATATCCAAATCCGTTTAGAGACGCATATAGTGTGCAGGAGCTGCAAGTTGGTGATGAGGAGATCCTGCCATGCTCGAAACCTTTCATTGCCTGCCACGCACCCAAAGGTCTTGCCAAATAGAAGTTCCCCAATGATGTCGAAGGTAAGGTAGTTCACCCAACGCATGAGATTGATGGGCTTCTTCGCTACACCGATTCCTGTCGAATCTGGTCGATGAACAAGTCCATGTTTCTGCGAATAATCGGCTCCTGTTCTGTCAAAGCAGCATGCGAGAAGCCAGGGGCAAGGACGTTCTTCATTCTCCTCTGGTCGGAATCTTTTGCCGAGATGATGTAGTGCAACTTGGAAGAGATGAAAAACTCCGGTCGTCGATTCTCAATCTTGGTATCTTGACGGCAGTATATCTCATCCCACGCCTCGGGAATGTCAAAGGAAAGTTCGTCCGGAGCGACACGCACGATGTGTCCGTACTGTTTGTGGAGCTCCTCGATCTTTTCGTGCCAGAAACCACTACGATACCAGAAGCCCCACGGCAGACTGGATGCTACGAACAGCTTTGGACCGGGATACTTCCGAAGAGGATGGAAGTAAATGTTATAGATGGGCAGTATGATCAAGTAGTAGATAACTGCCTGTGCTTTCACATCAGTATGCAAATTTGACGGTTTCGAAAAGTGAAGCTTCGCGTACCAGAAGGACGCTGGTCCCAAGCAGTGATGACCAGGACATCGCTGGCAATCGATCCATAGTATGTGAGGAGGTTTCAATTGTGTTGAAGGGGTACAGGATGGTTTAGTTCGACCTTTGACGGCGTTGTGACAAAGCAAACGTAACGAAACTAGCAAGATGCTTCCTTCGTTGAGGATGCATCAGAGGCTTTGATGGGGAATACGTCTCTCAGGTGAGTGCAAGGCCGACGCGCCGCTCCTGCAATGATCATGCACGAGTCTCAGCATAGCTAGCTTTGTTGGACGCAGCAGAGCCTGCGCAGGACTGCCAGCTGGGGCTCGGGGAAGTGGTCAAGGTAGAGGTGTTGTACGACAAAGTTATATAAGCTACTTCTAACTTAGGGTTAGGAGCGGCGTCGCTTTTTACAACAGTTATAAGCCCGGCTTTGCGCTTCCGAGGGATCGCCGACGGCGATATAGCGTAGTAGTTACGGCGTAAAAGCTAAAAGAGAACTAAGCCTATTTAGGAAAGGCTGCCGGCACTTCTATTATACCGCGAGTAGGAGTATACTACGCTAGTAGCGGGATAAGGATACCTAAGTCGAGAGGACTTCTTTACTTCTCTAAAGCAAAGAAGTAGGAGGAGTATTATATAATAAAGTTACACAAGCTACTTCTAAATTAGGGTTAGGAGCGGCATCGCTTTTTATAATAAGAGGAAGGTTAAATAGATGCTACCCTAAGTATATATATCCTTTTTTAAGAACTAAACGATAGCGTCCGCCGCCTAAGTAGTAGATTATAACTTAATATAGGTATAAGAGTCTACTTCTCCTATTAGATAGAATAGTAGTCGTAGGGCTCTAAGGCTCGCACTATAATATAGAAATTTTAAAAGAGTATATAGATACTTAGTATACTAGTAAAATACCGTTCGATAGCTTTCTAGATACTCTATAGTACTATTTAATATTTATTAAACTAAACTTTTTTTTAAAAAATCAATTGCTAGTAATAAACTAAGTTTTAAGATTCCTAGCTACTATAATACCTAAAATGTAATATTTGTTACTAGTAATATTTTATTTGTATTAGTATAGATAAAGTCTATATATAATAACCTAAAGCAAAGTAGTAAAACTACTATTAATATCTAATTTTCCTCTACTTAAAACTAATGAAATAAGTTTAAATGCTAGTCTTAAACAATATTAGATTTTATTCTTTTTACTAAAACTTTTATATATACAAACTAACATTTATAAGGTTTTTTATTAATTAAGTAATATTTTTAATAAAAATTTTGAATTTCTATCGCTACCTACAAAATAATACTACTATAAAAGTTTAATAGTAATTAATAGTTACACCAAAGGCCTCGTAGTTGGTTATTAATTACCGATTAGGATTCAATTAAACTAATCTCACTACGAGTTTGGTTCCCGCAATTTTGCCCTTCGAGATTTCTTCTAGACCTCGCACAATGCCCTCAAATTGACCTTCCACCTCTTTGATAGGCAAAGGCTGGATCAAATCCCGATTGACCATCTCTTGAATTTCTGCAGCCCACATTCTACAGAGCTGCACAGATTCAGGGTTACTCTTTCGTGTGTACACAGAGTCGCCAAGTTCAACATCGTACCCGAGCTGCTCGTAACCCATGATAATATTGACCTTGACTGACCGACGAGGCCGCCATGCCTCGGGGCAGTCCTCAAGACACGCGTATCGAGCTCCAAGCCTTGCCAGCACATTGAAGCATATCTCAACCGAATCTGGCTGCGTAATGCAGTCTAAAGCATGTTTGATCGGCCTGCCTTGTGCAATCTTTCGCACTTCTTCGACGCAATTAGGCGACGTGTACGAGGCTGTGCCGATTGCACCGTAGCTCATAGCACGTGGGGCAGATCTGTCGGAACACACTGCAATAGGATCGTAGCCCGACCTGCGGAAAGCTAGTCAGTCATGGCCATCCTTCAAAGGAAGCCTAGAGTGAACAAACCGCTTCAGCATTTGGATAGCTATACAGCCTGTTGCAGTCCCACCGCCGTACACCAAGACGAGAATGGCCTTTTCAGACGGCGCTGAAGGCTTACCCGTAAGAGCAAGCGCATCGGGTTTCGACATTGCCAGCCCTACCGTTGCCCACGATAGGTTGCCAAGACCTGCGGCTAGAGTGTCACTCCAGTGATCAGGTACCAGAATGGTATGTCTGGCATCGGCGATTGCGTACTGAGAAAAACCACCGTGAAGTTGATTGTTCTGTCGATAGGGGAGCTCGCCAGCAATAACACGCGAGCCGACCCGGACAGTGGAAGCAGATCCTGCCAACACCACTACTCCAAAGAAATCGCACCCGGCTGGCGTGTCCTCCATGAAGAAGTGCGAGACCATCTTGGCGTCGACTGGATTCAGTCCCACGGCTAAGACTTGAACGAGCACATCATGATCCGATCGGAGCTCAGGCACCGCTCTCCCATGTGCCACTGCTAGAGGCAATCGCCCTTTGGGCAGTCCTGGAGTCTTCCTTTGAACGATGATGGTTTGCTTCGAAGGCAGCGCTGTTGACATGGCTAAGACGAATCGCGAGAGAGGATGTTGACATTCAGGAGAGCAGGAGAAGCACCGGCCTCTATTCTATAGCGTGAAGGGCACGGTAGGGGCACATTGCTTGCGCCCTCCCCTTAAGATTACCTAGGAAGCGTTCCAAGTCTAGCAGCTTGCAATGTCTATTATAAATCTTATCGAGAAGTTTCGAATTTCGAAAATTTTAGATTTCCAAGTCTAGCTAGCATATAATATATAGAATTGCTATTAGATTACTGTATTACAAATAGTACTAGGTCTATACCTATACTAGTACTAACTTTATTAAAATCTATAACTATTATTAAGTTCTACTCCTTAGTAGTTAGTTTAAAGTTTAGTTATAAGCTTTTATAAGTACTTGCTTTAAGTTTAAAAATACTAAAAAAATATTATATATATTAGAAATTAGCAGTCTATATACTAGAGGCTAGTATTAAATATAAAATATATTTAAATTTTTAAAACTTTTTCCTAAATTGATATTATTAATATTAGTGTACGAGATTTATTTAATATCTAATAAAGAATTTAGCAATTTATTATATTAGATTTTCGATAACTAGTTCTTAGTAGTATCTCCTATTAGCCTAACTATTAGCTATTAGTCATCATTTACAGAGAAATTAACAAATGTCCAAAAGCTTTTAGTATAATAGCAGCGTCTAAAAATACCTCGCTCTCAATTATAATCGTTACTAAGAGGTCGTAAATATTTAGCTAGAATTAAGAAAGGCTTTCGTGCCTTTCGTTCCATCCCGAGGCGTCTACGGAAGTGTCTCGTATTATAACCTCCGCATATGGCGCAATAGCGAGGTTGCGTGCAGCAACGGTGACCACGATGGTTACGACGCGACAGTTCCGTACCCCACGGAGTAGGTATTATTCTCAGCTCACGGAGTCCGTACAAGTTTGCACACTCCGTTCTTAGTGCAACCGATGCACGGACGCCCTTACGGGACTTCAGATAGCACTCAGGATGTCGACATGGTCGCTTGCTTGTAACAATATCAAATAGGCAGGTTTGAGACAAAGTTGCATATTGCCCGGTTCGACATGCATTGCGAGCTCCCACGCTCGGCGCTGTACTGCTGTCTGTTTTCCCTGTAAGTTCTTGTCATGCTGTAGAGGTGGTAGCTGACATCCTGACCTGTGAGGCGAGTAGCGCTTCTCTTTGCGGTCAACTTCGGCGCGGCGACGTACGATCATTTCAAGCAACAAACATCCCATCTCCCGGCGTTGAACACCACGGGCTGAAATTGTCGACCAGTCGTCGACCCTGGGCAAGACAGCTTTTGGCGCCTACTTGCCTTATCAAGAGGTGTCTTACACGGCTCTAATAAATCCCGGCCTAGACATTGCCCTTCTGGAGAATTGGAGACATAAAGAACACAAGGCACTGACGTATAGGTCTCTGGACCGGAGTCTTTAGAAGATCCACTTGTCTCATGTGTAATCGGTCTCGATTATGGATAAGTTAACCCGGATTGTGCAAGGCTCCATTCTGATTTTGACCTACACTATCACTAGATAGGTACGGACTGCATGGGCGGAGAATGGCTGGACAAGCCATGAACTTACTCCAAACTAAATCAACATGCTTGCTAGATCTGCAAGATTCCCGCGGATCAACGATCTTGAGGCATGACGAAGTGCCGAATGACTGGAGGTAGCGACGCCAGATCCAAGATTGGCTTACTGTCAACCGTGTGGGATCCGGAGCTACAAAACCTCGTTCTCCGCCAGGAAGGAAGAATGGGATTTGTCAAGATGAAATCCACTAACGTCGCGCAAACCATTCGTCAGTTCTCGAAGTACTCGTAGTCGCCATTCTCCGAGAAGATAGCCAAGTCATCCAAAAGCTCTAGGAAAGGAACAAGCAGCCAGGACGCCCCCATGTCTTCAGAACCCATTGCCATCGTTGGGAGTGCCTGCCGTTTCTCAGGGGACACTGACTCACCCGCAAAACTTTGGCAATTGCTCAAGAACCCACAAGACCTGCGCCAAGAGATACCTCCAGAGCGCTTCAACGTTGAAGCCTTCTATCACCCAGATCATGCCTATCATGGTCACGCCAACGTGAAACATTCATATCTCCTGGCCCAAGACATTGCCAGGTTCGATGCTGAATTTTTCGGCATCAATGCCATGGAGGCCAACGCGATGGATCCGCAGCAGCGTCTGATTCTTGAGACGGTATACGAAGCCATCGAGTCTGCCGGCATGACAATGGAGGAACTGTCTGGAAGCGACACGTGTGTCTACGCAGGTTCCATGACTGCCGACTACGATGCTATGAGCCTTCGCGACCTTGATCACCTTCCAACTTATGCCGCTGTGGGGACCTCTCGTGCCATATTATCGAACCGCATATCTTACTTCTTCAATTGGAAGGGCGCTTCCATGACGATCGATACGGCATGCTCGTCTTCGCTAGTGGCGCTTCACAATGCAGTCCAGACACTAAGGTCACGGGACTCGGGCATGGCAGTTGTTTGCGGATCTAACTTGATTTTTGGACCGGAAAGCTTCATCATCGAGAGCACTGTTAATATGCTCTCACCTGACGGCCTGAGCCGTATGTGGGACAAGGCAAGTGCACCTGCAATCTTTTCCAAGCTCTGTCTCTTGATCGACAAGAATGCTGATATTTTTCCTAGGATGCCAATGGCTATGCCAGGGGAGAGGGCCTTGCTGCCTTGGTGTTGAAGCCTTTGAGCGCTGCACTAGAGGCCAATGATCATATCGAATGCGTCATACGGGAGACTGGCTTGAACCAGGATGGACACACCGCGGGTGAGTGACTTGATTTGTGATATCCTGAACATCAGAAAGAGGTTGACGACGCTGTTCGTGATTGCAGGTCTCACCATGCCAAGTCCATCGTCGCAGAGGGATCTCATTCACAGTACTTATGCCAAGGCCGGACTGGACTTGCGTTGCCCTCATGATCGACCACAGTATTTCGAAGCTCATGGAACTGGAACCCCAGCAGGAGGTATGTCACATCTGGCGAGTGCCTACAGTCTCCAAATTTGGTCTCAGACCGTTACTGACAACTCGATTCCAGATCCAGTAGAGGCTGAGGCAATCTACACCGCGTTTGTTGCACCTTCTGCAATGACCGCGGCGACCGCTGAAGTTGATCATCCTCTCCACGTGGGATCAATCAAGACCGTCCTGGGTCATACCGAAGGCGCCGCCGGGCTAGCAGGACTGCTGAAAGCAATGCTAGCCATTCAAAACTCCTGCATTCCTCCGAATCTTCACTTCAATGAGCTCAACCCTTCAATTGAGCCCTTCTACAAACACCTGGCGATCCCATGCAGCGTCGTTCCCTGGCCACCGTTGCCTCCTGGCCAAGCACGACGTGCAAGTGTTAACAGCTTTGGTTTCGGCGGAAGCAATGCTCATGCCATCATCGAGAGCTATGAATCTGAGTCTGCGACCAGCTCACAGGATGCCAACGACAACCACATTGTGTACGGCCCCTTTGTCTTCTCAGCATCTTCGGAAGTGGCCCTGCGAAACAACATCAAGGCATACATCACGTATTTGGAAGAGCATGAAGATTGCAATGCTCGCGATTTGGCATACACTTTACGCCAAAGACGATCCCTCTTGCAATACCGGCTGGCAATACCCGCTACGTCTTGCGAGATACTCAGGCAGAAACTGGTTGAAATGTCTTCAGGGTCAAGTGACGCGGCTTTCACCAGAATCACCCGCACGATTCCAAAGATAGGCAACGGAAGCGGCAAGATCCTTGGGATCTTTACTGGACAAGGCGCACAGTACGCTGGAATGGGTGCTGAGCTTATTCGAGACTCTGAATTGGCGCGGAAAATCATCCAAAAACTCGACTCCATGCTGCAAGACCTGCCTCAACAAGATCGTCCTTCGTGGTCTCTCGAGGGTAAACTCCTGGCAGCGGCAGATGAATCCCGTACTTTGGAGGTCGGCGTATCGCAGCCACTCACCACTGCAGTTCAGATCATGCTCGTAGACCTCTTGGGTGCTGCTGGCATCCATTTCGACGTTGTCGTCGGCCATAGTAGTGGCGAGATAGCTGCAGCCTATGCCGCGAAGTTCCTCTCGGCAAGGGATGCGATCTGTATCGCTTACTACCGTGGCATGGCCTGTGAATATTCTAAGAGCCCGAATGGGAATGTCTCTGGTGCCATGTTGGCGGTTGGAACCTCTATGGACGACGCCCTCGAAATATGCAGAGACGACACTTTCCAAGGTCGCATCTCCGTGGCTGCTGTGAACTCTTCATCCAGCGTCACTATCTCCGGAGACTCAGACGCGATAGAGGAACTTGTCGTCGTCATGGAAGATGAGCAGAAATTCCACCGACGATTGCGAGTGGACCGAGCATACCACTCCGCTCATATGCAGGCTTCCGCGGAGCCCTACGCCCAAGGCATGAAGCGGGCCAGGATCTCAGCTGCTGCGTCTGGCTCAGACTCTGGGTCGCGCCAGTGTCAGTGGTACTCAAGTGTCTATCCTGGGATGCTGGTGAATGATTTGTTCCCTTTGTCTGGCGAATACTGGCTTGAGAACCTTGTTAAACCCGTCATGTTCGAAGCTGCCCTCTCCGCAGCCTTGCAATCTTCCTTCACCGCCTTCGACGTGGCACTTGAAGTTGGACCACATCCAGCCTTGCGAGGTCCTGCGGTGCAAGTCATGCAAGACGTCCTTTCCAAGCCTGTGCCATACATCGGGACTCTTGAGCGTGGATCTGGCGCAACTTCCAGCTTCTCGACGGCTCTTGGATCCTTGTGGTCTCACCTCGGCAGAGGTGATATCGACCTCGATCTCTTCGAAAGGATGATGTCAAGTGTCGACGTCCCTTTCAAGCTTCTTAAAGGACTGCCGTGTTATCAGTGGAACGACGAGACACGGTATTGGAGTGAATCACGACGATCAAAACATCTGCGCAGTCGATCCGAGCCTGTACACCCTCTCTTAGGCCATATGACAGCGGAGTCCGGCCCTCACGCTCTGCGATGGAAGCACAGCCTGAAGCCAAGCGAGATGCCGTGGCTAGGAGGGCACGCTGTCCAGGGACAAATCGTGTTCCCTGCCGCTGGCTACATCTCATCGGCTATAGAGGCTGCTAGGTGGTTGGCGAATGGTGACGAGATCGCTCAGCTTGTGACCCTTGAGCAGTTTGTCATCCATGAAGCGATTCCATTTCAAAACGAAGAAGATGACATCGAAGTGTTGATCGAACTCACGCAGATCAGCCGCGTCAAGGATGGTCAGGCAATAACGGCAGCAAACTACACCTACTCGGCCGCACTGGGTGGCACAAGTTTGTCCATTGTGGCTACCTGCACGGTCAATGTTCAACTTGGCCAGCCGTGCTCATCACTACTCCCGGCGAGGCGGCCAGAACCGCCGCATATGGTCGAGGTGAGACCACAACGGATGTATGATTACCTTGAGAAGCTGGAATACAACTTTTCCGGCTCATTTCGCTCGTTGACCGAGCTCCACCGAAGACTGGGCTTTTCTCGCTGCGTAGGGAAAGCCGCAGAGCGGACTCTTGGCTGCGAGGCCCTGCTGGTACATCCGGCCGACCTTGACGCGGCCTTCCAAGCTGTGCATCTTGCGTGCAGCTATCCTGGCGATGAGCAGATTCGACATCTTCATCTCCCAACCAGAATTGACACCATTCGGATAAATCCCGCCGCATCGAAGTCATCTCAGAAGGTCGATGAGATCAAGCACAGCTTCGGTGTGGATGCCGTTTGGCATCAGTCTGACCCCTTAACTCCGACCACAGGGTTTACGGGCAGTGCAAGTCTCTTCATAGGAGATCAAGAACCCGAGCACACCGCCATACAAATCGACAACGTGGTACTGAAACCTGTCGGTGATTCCCTCGACGAGCGCAAGATCTACTATGGCATCGATTATGTCCCTACAAAGCTCGATGGCATGGCAGCTGCCGAGGGACTGGAAGTCACTCGGGAAGTCGAAGATCTCATGCAGACGTTACGCCGAATTGTGTACTTCTACGCCGCCAAGTTCGACCGCGAAGTTCCATCTGATTTGCCGGCGCGCGTGGAAGCGGGTAACATCAAGTACTATCTCGACTTTTGCCAGCATCTCACAAACGAGCTCCGGCCTGTGGAATGGATGCAAGATACTAAAGAAGATATCCAAGCAGCAATACACAAATTGGGGTCAGTAGAACTAACGGCTCTTGCGTAGTGGTTTCAAGTTGACAGATGACATAGGCCTGATGCGGAGGGATCTGCGGATGTGAAGTTACACCTCCTTGTCGGCGAAACCATGTCTCGAGTATTCCGCGGAGAGGCGGATATGCTCGAGGAGCTACGCCTCTCTGGACTTCTGGACGACTTCTACAGATATGGCGCCGGACTACGGCAAGCAACGTTGTGGTTAGCTGCGATACTCAAGCAAATCACGGACCGAAATCCACATCTTCGCCTCTTGGAAATCGGTGCCGGCACCGGAAGTGCGACCAAGGACATTCTCGCTGCGATCGGACCATCCTTTGACGACTACACCTTCACTGATATTTCCGCAAGCTTTGGGGATCATGCAATGGAACAATTTGCTCTCTTGAAGGATCGCGTATCGTTCAAGACTTTCGATGTCGAGATCGATCCAATTGAGCAAGGTTTCGTCGAGGGTCAGTACGACGTAGTGATCGCAAGTCAGGTTCTACATGCAACTACGAGTCTTGGTGAGACTGTGCGAAATGCGCGTCGCCTGATAAGACCAGGAGGCTGGCTGCTCATTGGCGAATGTGATCCCGGTGGCAGGCTGCGTGACTCCGGATCCTTTATATTCGGCATGCTTACTGGCTGGTGGAAGGGTATTCAGGACGGAAGACGGCTTTCACCATTCATCTCTGCCGCAGAATGGGATGTTGTCTTACGTGAGAACGGCTTCTGCGGTATTGAGACCATGAATCCAGAGCATCTTGGTGTTCCATTTGGAATCACAGCTATGGCAGCTCAAGCGACGGATGAACGGATGACAATCATTCGGGCGCCCTTGTCATCACCCAAAAATCTGGAAGTGGAAGAAGTCCTTATCATTGGCGGACAGACCGATTTGGTGGCCCAAAAGGTAGAGGAACTGCGACAAACTCTCACCGGCCTAGGCGCTCGAGTCTCGAATTGCAAGACCCTCGAAGAAATCGACGACAACGTTGACCACCCTGGAATCGCCATCATCAGCTTGGCAGATTTGGACCAACCAGTGTTTCAGGAGATGACCCCTGATCGATGGGCATCGTTCCAAAAGCTGTTTGTCGATAGCAAGTCCATGCTGTGGGTGACTTGCGGCCGTTTGAAGAGCGAGATCTACAGCAACATGACTGTTGGATTCGGACGCGGCGCCCTCAACGAGGAGTCAGATCTTCGCCTACAATTTCTGGACTTTGACAGCATTTCTCAGCTTGACACGCACGTCATCGCAGAGACATTTGTCGTATTTACTAATCAGACAGTGCTCGAAGCCACCGACAAGAAGCATATCCTTCACATCTCTGAGAGAGAAATCATCATTGACGATCAAGGCCGCGAATTGGTGCCCAGGTTAGCACACCAAACTCGTCTTAACAATCGACTCAGTTCTACAAGACGGGTCGTGGAGTATCCAACCGATCTGCGCGATCAGGAGGTGGCCTTGGAGCAGAACTCGAGTGGATGTTTCCTTCGTCAGTTGTCACGATTCGACAAGTTAGCCAACACAGGAGGGAAATCAGAGTAAGCCGCTTTGTACAAGTCATGTGGGAAAATCATGCTAATTCCTTTGCAGACACGAGCTTGTCGAGCTTCGTATGCAATATTCTACTCTCTCTGCAATACGTACGCCATGGGGGTATCGATCACTCGTCTTGGGAGTCGACTCGGAAGGAAGAAAATTCATCTCTCTCACAACCTCTGTGAGGTCCGTCCTCCGCGTCTCGGCTCAGTCTCTGGTGGAGGTCGAGAATCAGAAGCTCGTAGGCTCTCAGCTCATCTACTCGATCGCAGTGCAGATGATAGCACTCTCAATCCTCGAGCCTGTGCGCTCTGGACAACGGATCATCGTCCACAACTCGCCCCTTGATATCGCCATAGCAATTTCAGGACGAGCACGGCAGCATGGTATTCATGTTGTGTTCACGACAGATGATACTTCCGCTGTACGCATACCACAGACCAACGCAACTCCTTCTGTCCGACTACATCCGTTCGCTGGACGGCTCGAGGTTGATCGCGTGGTTGATACAAACGTGTCATACCTCACAGACCTGTCTCTTGATCAGAATCGTCTTTCGGTGACGCTGGCCTCGCTCGTTCCAGCGTACTGCCGCAAGGAGACTTGGGACACTCTGCGCACCTCTTCTGCAAGCGATGTGGACTGCCACGAGTTCGTCGAACCCTTGAAACTCCACTTGGACACGGCGTGGAAGCAGGTCTCTGCATCCAGGCCTGGAAGAGCATCGAATTCAAGCATTGATCTCAACGAACTCGTCGGCGATCGTGGGGCCAAGGCGAGCCTAGCACCTCTTCAGGTCATAGACTGGACCAGCGCAACTTGTCCTCCAGCTCGGCTTTGTAGGCTTGATGTCGTCCCCTTGTTCAGGCCCGACCGCACGTACTGGCTCTGTGGGCTATCAGGTCCACTCGGAACCTCAATTTGCGACTGGATGATCGCCTGCGGTGTTCGAAATATGGTAAGCCAGCGATGATTCTACTGGGAAACTCTTCTCTTACGAAACATTCACTTACCCTTCTATCTTGCAGGTGATTTCCAGTCGCAATCCCAAAATCAACGAGCTTTGGATTGACAGTCATCGAAAACACAGAAGGAACATCAACATCAAGTCTTGGTATGTCTGCAGTCGCATCCTTTCTTTGACAGGACGAGCACTAACGTCTCCTGCTTCTGCAATAGCGACGTGACCGACGAGGCAGCTCTCCGAAAAGTCCACCAAGAGATTGTAGAGGAACTTCCTCCCATCTCTGGAGTGGTCAGTGCCGCGATGGTCCTGCGCGACGTGGCCATTCGCAACATGGAATACGATCAACTTCAAGATGTTATCCGTCCCAAGGTGCTTGGCTCGATTCATCTGGATCGCATTTTCCATGACGTGGACCTCGACTTCTTCATCGTCCTCTCTTCCACCAATGCCATAATTGGAAATCCCGGCCAGGCCAACTACGCCGCTGCGAACATGGGAATGGCTGGAGTTGCTAATGCACGACGTGCAAGAGGGCTTCGCGCAAGTGTGGCACATGTTGGTGCCATTATTGGCGTTGGCTATGTGACCAACTCAATCGAACGCCTGGATCTGACCGTGACAATGACGAACATGATCCGCGTAAGTGAGGAGGAAGTCCATCAAATGATTGCGGAAGTCCTAGAGGCAGGTTTCGAAGACTCCTCCGTTCCCCCCGAGCTGGTCATGGGGCTCAAGGAGGTGTCACTTCAAGATCCCGGACAGTCGAAATGGGTGCACGATCCCAAGTTTTGCCGTCTTCTCTTGCCCACCACTACCGGCGACGGCCGGAACCAGGCTGCTGGAGCGGTAGAAGTGTCTGTTCGGGAGAGTTTGGAGGCCTGCAAGACAGGCCCAGACGTCCACCAAGTTCTCAAACAGGCATTCGCCGCACAAATGCGGAAGACTCTGTTCATAAAGCTTTCAGACGATGAGATCATGCTTTCATCCAGCAACGCGCTAGGCCTGGACTCGCTCATTGCCGTTGACATTCGGTCGTGGATCTTGAAGACGTTCAATGTCAGCATACCAGTGCTCCAAATCATGTCTGCGGATACGCGAATCTCCGATCTCGTCACGTCAACTATGCAGGAGTTGCCAGCGTCCATGACTCCTTCTCTTCACCCAGACCAAGACAGAAAGCCTAGCCAGGCCTCAGCAGTTGGTAGTGACACGCCATCAGAATCCTCCGAGCACAGCTCTCGCCCTAGTGTTAGTACTGCAGCATCAGACTGGTCGTCGTCAGTCAGGAAGGAGGAGCCGATTGTTTTTGATTGGGACTACGAGGCTCGTGCACCAGAGGAGATAGTCGCATATCTCGACGCCACTCCGCCACGGAAGAAGCCTGAAGTCATCCTCCTTACGGGTGTTACGGGCCTGCTGGGCCATCATTTACTGGGAACCCTCCTTGCAAGTGACTCGGTCCGTCAGATCATCTGTATTGCGGTTCGCCGACTTTCCGATCGCTTGGGCACAGCTTCGACCCAGTTGCCGACCGATGGAAGAATCGAATATCACGAAGGAGATCTCGCTCTGCCGAATTTCGGTCTCGCCGAGACTGAAATCCACAACATCTTCGCCAAAGTGGACGCCGTCATCCACAACGGCGCCGACACTTCGCACATGAGGAGTTACGCGACCCTCCATCAAGTCAATGTCCAGTCCACACGGACGATTCTCCGGAATTGCGTATCTCGGCACATCCCGCTACATTACATTTCCTCTGCCGGAATCGCGCTGGCCAGCGATCTCAATCCATTCCCGGCGGTGGCCGTCAATGGAAGTGCTCAGAAACTGGACGAAATCTCCAAGCACGGCGCCCAAGGCTACATGTGCAGCAAATGGGTGTGCGAACGCATGTTGGAGAATGTCGGTACCATCCATGGCTTACCCGTCTGGATCCATCGGCCTTCAACCATTGTCCGCGAGGGCCAAGATGCTGCAACGGAACGTGCAGGGCTCGACTGGGTCAACGCTCTCCTTCAGTACTGTCACAAAACCCAGAGCGTGCCGCGCGTTCACCACAACAAAGGTTGTCTCGACTTGGTCTACGCAAAGACGTGCTGCGATGGAATTGTTTCTGATGTCCTTTCCAATTCGCCACGCGTGCAGAACGGACCGACTTATCGGAACCTTGTGAATGATATTGTCATTCCCATGGCAGAGCTGAATCAAGTGGCATTCCAGGCTGGTCGGTCGAGTCCCTATTCGGTGGTATCTTGGAGCGAATGGGTTGATAAGGCTGTCGCCGCGGGCCTGAATCCAGCGGTAGCTGCGTTGATTGAGACGATGGATGAGCCAGGGGGCCACTCATATCCGAGACTGCTGAGGTAGAAGAAAATGTATTTCCATGCTGCTTTTGAACGTTATAATACGCGCTTGGTCTAACATTCTCCCATTGTCTATTTGTGTTCTTTGTTGTCCAAGTTCGGGCTATCGTAACAAGGATGGTCTCAGGGCCAGTGCAGCTTGCTTACTTGTGAGGTCCAGCGAAGAGTGTGAAATGCCTGGCTCTGAAAAGACCGAACTTTCATTCCCGCTGCTTTCAATCAGATTCAAGCACTTCGATACCTACGGTCGCGACCTTTATAGCCGGTATAGAATCGAATGTCGTATAAAGCGGCGAGAAGGGCGTTTAGGGAGGCGTTGAGGGATGTTTGCTCCGGAGCGGAGAAAAGACTCGAGATATTTTCGTTATGGACTGATTTTCGTAGTAGGACGGTTTATACGAAAGGGGTTGATAATTGGAGTCATTATGCCGGGAATGTGATTTTTAATCCTAAGGAGGAGAAGTGGTAGGTCAAGTCCTCTTCTCTTAGTGGGATATGCCAATAGGCGTCTTGTAGCTATATCATCGACTTCGAACGCGCGACGTTCCACGACCCGGAAAGGGGGCCAGCCTCCTAAGACGACATTTGTCGAGTGGGTTGGGAAAGGGCCTTTCGTTTGAAAAATGGCCGGTTTGGAGAATCACGAAGTTTACTTAGAGAATCGAGATGGAGTCTCTAGGACCTATACGATAGCTGTCCAGGCCGGCGTCTAGGGTCCAGAACAGTCCATCGAGCGTCGGCCCACTGTGTATAGCGATCGTGGGCATAGATATCTAGGTCTTGAAATATCCGCGGTACTTCTATTCCGGAGTTGTGAATCGAAGACGTCGGACTCGAGCGTAGCGGAGTGCCAAGACGCACGTGAAGCGTGAGATGAATGACCCACTACGGGCCGATTGCTCCGGTCGCTCGGGCTACAGCCTTGAGTGCCACCTCCTAACATCTACACCTTCGTGCTGAGGACACCGCCGTACGGAGGACACCTTCGGGCTGAGGACACATTCGTACTGAGGACGCCTTCGTACTGAGGACACCTTCGTGCTGCCAACACCTCGCGCCGTTCGATGCGAATCGCTGTCTGCATCGCTTGGCCCAGACAAGCCAGTTTTTCTGGTCGCTCGGTCTACACTCTTCGAGCGCAGCCACTCATCCCCAAGCCCTCGACGCTGCACAGTCTCAGCATCCTAAGCCCAATACCACATCCTTTCGCCCCTTCAGCATCATCCGACCATGGCAACCACGGCAACAATCACCGACCTCGCCCTCGAAGTCGGATCCCTCCGCGTTCTCGGCCCCCTCGAACAATACGGCATCGAACTCGGCGACGCGATCTTCGAGAGGAAATTCAAAGACAAGAACGAATCAGTTTCCGTCCGTCATGGCAAACACCAAGAAGCCGACGTGATCGTCAAGATTTTCCATCAGAAGTAAAGGAAGAAAAAGAAAATCCCCCCATGCGCGGTCTGTACGATGACTGACCAAAATTCCGCACCTCCAGAAACCCAGACAACACCAGCGGCCGCTGCGATCGCGAAGTCGCAGCGCTCAAGAAACTCACAGAATCCGCGTGCGAGTACGCGCCGACTTTCGTCAAGGATTTCAGCATCGCGGCAACGAGTGGCGGAGCAGATCGCTATGTGATTATAAGCAAATTGCCAGGCTTCGACCTGTCGGAACGAGAGAAATGGGAGGGCTACGTCGCGATCGAAGATATGCGGGAGTACTTCACGGTAGCGCAGAAGTATGTCTCCAGACAAAGAAGTCGGGTTGCGTTGGTGCTGACAAAGAGATGCAGGGCGGTGCTGGATTGTGGCGTGGACAATGGGAGCCATAGCGATCGCAACATCATGTTCGATCCTGTTCAGGAGAAGTGGTATTGCCTTGATCCGGTTCGGGGTCGAGTGTGGCGTTTTGCTGACGAGTGGTGATCTAGTTTCATTATCGACTTCGAGCGCGCCAAGATCTCTCCCAGCTTTAAGGGTAGCGAGTATGGCACCAGCCTGGATCGGTGGCTCTTTTAGGCTGCATGCGAGCGGTCTGAAGCAGTTGTCGCCAATCTTGACGAGTCGCGTGCCAGCGGGCGGCCAGAAGTGTCATTTGTAATATCATGAATGTCGAGCATGCTCAAGATCGGGCGCCCTTCGGTGCAGTGCTTGGAGCTGACTGCCTCATTTCGCGGAGTGTAGGATGCAGAGCGAATGAGGGATGTCTTCGATAGGGCCATGTAGTCTGCGAATGGGATATTTGAACGTATGAAGTCAGCTCTGAATCTTGGCAACGCCTCGGCATTCCGCATGCCAGCCAGCAATTCTCAAACCACAACGCTTTCTTTCCCAACTCATCCCCATGGCTCTCACAACAAAATACGGCGCCGAGCGGCAATTCCCCGACACCGTGGCCAGCGACTGCGGAAACTTCCACGTCGAGCTGATTCGTCCATACTTCGTGCGCAAAGTCAAAACCAACAACACCGTCACCGCCGTCTACGATGCTCGCATGAATGGGCAGGATGTGATCCTCAAGGTTCACCATCTCCTGTATGCCATGCCATGCCATCTTCAGACCTTGCTGCTGACCAGTCCCAGAGGTCTCAAAGACTTCAGCCTCCGCGCTCAAGGCGAAGCAAACGCTCTCGCCAAACTGGATCAAGCTGGTTGCCAGTATGCACCGAAGCTTCTTGGCCACTTCCGCAAGACTTTTGGTGGCGTTGTCTGCGGCACGGAGATTTATGTGGTGATCAGCAAGGTCCCTGGCTACTCGCTGGATTCCAACACAGCGTGGCGGTCCACGTATGAGGGATACGAGAAGGTGGAGCGCGCCTTCGAGATTGCTCAGAAGTGAGTCCGAGTGCATGAGTCGCTTGGAGTTGACGACGTACTGATGGTTGACAGGTCCATCCTTGCCTGCGGTGTCGACAATGCTGGACACGAGGCGGGCAACATCATGTATGACCCGGATCAAGATAAGTGGTAAGAAGCATCTTTGCTCTTTCTTTGACCTGGCTCCAGCTGACCAGAAGATTCCAGCTACATCATTGACTTCGAGTACTCCGACTTCCCTCAGCGTCGCTACATGCGCCACCTGCCTGTCAACTTTGCCGATTGGGTTGGTCCTGGTCCAGCTCGTCCAGCTTCCGAGCCTGCCATGAATCCCCCAGAGACGCCACGGCTCTCGCTTGGTGATGGGAAGAGAGACGATGCTTTCACGAGCTCACCATCTACACTCAAGTCGGAGTCTGAAGAAGATGAGAAGCTTGATGTCTCGGTCGCGAGCTCTCCAGATGCCGAGAAGATGGGCTTCGAGCTGATCGGATAGTGCTCGAAGGCTTGTCGCAAATCTCTCCAGAGCATATCCTGCAATCGGAAGTGATTGCATGTGAGCATTTAGGCTGCTCGCAGAAGCGAGGTCTGCTCCTCATGGGAATGTGGTAGATTATCGTAGAAGATAGAATGAAAAACAGTCGGAGAGACGAGTCGGCGGCCTCACAATCCAGCTTCATCGCCAATCCAGGGATGGTCGATCCTACGCATATTCACGAGATTGTTCTGTCCATAACATCGAGATCCAGATCCAGGCTGGGTGAAGTAAAACCTCCTTCTCAGTGACTCTATCAACGCACTGATCGCTGAAACGCTATGATATGAAACAAAGACAGTCCACGCCAATGTAGAAGATGAACAGCGGGAAGATGGCCAGTGCCACCCGATTCTTCACCACACCACTTCCTCCGAGAATGCTGACTCCAGCAGCCAACGACCACAGGCCAAGCACGCTGTATACCGGTATTCTTACGATCCAGTGCACATTGAATGCGCTGAGCACCGATGCGATGACCATTGGGAAGAGGGTGTAGCCGATGATGCAGACTGACTGAAAGAAAGAACTGCAGCCTGTTAGCTTATACCTTGCGAGAGGAAGTTTGGTTGGCATCACATACATCGTTCCTCCAAGCAACTTGATCTGCAACGTCACAATAGCTTCACCAATCCAAATCATGGCGAAGACTCCACTGAACACTTCCGACCGCTGATTGTCTCTCGCCCTGAGACTGAGAAAAAACGACAGCAGCAAGCAGAACAGTAGTGGACCCCTAGGCATAACGTTAGTCAAGCACAAACAGCATGCCCTGTCACATGCAATATACCATAGATCCCAATCCCTCAACCCTTCACTCATATTCCCACCCTGCAACACCGTGTCCGCATCCGGCCACCTTCCAACCATGCCTCTAATCTGCTCAAACCTTCCCGCCTCAACATCTGCCGTCCCACCTCCTTCTCTCGACAACATTCCTCCAAGCAAGTACTTGGGATAAAGCACCTGTCTCATCTTCTCCCAAACTGCCAGGAGATCTCTTCGCAAAGTGTCCCAAAGACTTTCATCAATTGTGTCCATAGGCGCTCTGCGGTCTTCACCTCCGATTGTGGAGTTGAGATAGCCTTGCGCATTGTTTGCCGCTCGGGTGTTTTGTCGGGCTTGTTGGCTGGAGATGTTGCCGGCTAGGGGTGTGCGATCGGAGGTTGAGACGGGGTCGTCGAGGTCGTCGAGGGTTGCTATCCAAATTTTAAGTATCAATGCTGGAGACCTTATCGTACTTTGCCTTACCATCATCTGGGTCTATGAGATGGTCTTCGAGAACGGGAGCATCGTAGTCGTAGGGGTTGGAAGCGTCGTTGTTATGGCCTGAGCCTGGTCCAGGCATCATTGCTGCCATTTGGAAGGCACTGGATGATGCTTTCGCACAGCCTTACTTGATTGCAGAAGCGTTGCGATGTTGTTCGATCACAAATGCTGTTTCCTGAACATTTGGACAGCTTGTCGAATGAAGTTGCCTTGCGCGTTACGCGACCGGGATCAGCGCGGCAGTCTTTGCCGAGAGGTGGTCAAAGCTTGAGTTCAGCCCCATGCCCTCAGCTGAGTCAGCTCCTGCTTTTCTGCTCTTGCAACATGTTCCGCTCAAGTTCCAAAGACATCTCAATCCTCTGCCCGATGCTGGAGCGCGAATTTCTGGGGATGCTGATGGCAAACTTGATATCCTGGCATTACCGGCAGAGGCACAATTTCTTGCGCAGTGCATTTCAGGCAGCCAGCTCGACGAGAACATCCTCCGCAGTTTTGATCATAAACTGATCAAAGGTGTTCTGAGGCTACGCTGGAGTTCGATGGGAGTTATGACAGTTCTATTACTAAAGATACACATACCAACTAGTCGATCTGGCTATGCAAACCAATCTTTAGCCGAGACCTATTTCGCTTTCCGATAATAACATGCTATAATTAACTAGTGTTTATATAGCTCGAAGAGCTATAAGTAAAGGACGAAGTGCTATAAGTAAAGGCTAAGGCGACGAGCGGGGTAGGGTGAGCTAGATTCTAGAAGATTCTACGGCGGGTATAGCCGTACCGCGCTAGGTAATAAGGCGGAAATCGTTACAAATCGCGCTTTATAGATCGCGCGCTTTTCTAACAATAACTTCTTCTACTTACTACTACTTCTACTACTACTACTACTACTACGACTCGTTGCTACTCCCTTTCTATCTTTACTAAGCTAGATACTATACCTACCCCCTATACTAGCCCTATAGAAACCCCGAGTAAGATCTCGAGCGCTACTAGTAAGTTTAATATTGTCGCTAAACCTTTACAACTGCGTCGCTAATAGTATTAGTAGCTTAAGTATTTAAGGGTAAGGAAGTTATCGATCTCGCCGGTACGTCCTTAAACAAGTCTCTCCCTCGCTCTATAAAGCGAGTTTTAGTTAAGAAGACTAGCTCTAAGAGGGTCGCGACTCTAGTAAGTCTCGTTTATAAATATATATTGCTAGATATACTAACCCTTAAAGCTCGTTATAGGCGAAGTCTTCGTATGTTTCGTTAGCGGCGTAGTACGCCGCCTAACCTTCTACTATACTATTGTCCTCTAAGACGGCGCTAAGACTATTAAGTACTAGTAGTCGCTAGGTACCTCTACTATTAACGCGTAGTCGAACGCTACCCTCCTAGTATCGGACTTTATATAAGACTTCGGCGCTAGCTCTTCTTTCGTCTAGATAGGACCTAGGAATCGATTTACTATAGGAATCTATATCGCCGCTACTCGGAAGAACGCGATAATCTAAGAATAGTATACTAATTAAGAAGTTGAAAGTTAGAAAAAGCGAGAGGAAATAAGATAAGATATACTATCTACGCTATAGGGCGCGGACCGATATATATACTCTACGGAGGTTAGTTAGCCCTTCGCAAAAAATGAAATCTATAAAGTAACTTATAATCTTCTCGTTCCTATTTTTATCTCGTCTACCTATATAATAGATATATACTAGGCCTACAATGTCGGTCGGCGAAGCTAGTAATATTCAATCTCGCGTTTCTTAGTACGTTACCGCCGTTATTACTATTCGTATCGTAGTCGGTTTAAAATATATACCTAATCTAGTTAAGTCTACTCTACTACCGCGACGACTCCTATACGAGCTCGCTTACTATCTGTTTTCCGTATATAACCGCTTACAATCTCGTTAATACTCTCGTAATATATATCTCGAATATACTACGTCGGAAACGTAGGAGAATTAGAATATAACAATTCCGCTAGAAACTCGAAGAGTTACTAGAGCTATACTTCGCTTATACTTCGCCTAAGTTCTTCCGCTTTCTAAGATACGTCCGGGGTAAAGTCGTATTCCTACTAGTAGCTAGTATCCTTAGTAGAGATAGTCTCTTAATGTTCTAGGGTGCTCTCTTCCTATTCGTGCTCCGTAGATAGAGGTCGAGTATTCGATTTCGAAGCCCGCCCGCTATCTTCGAATTCTAGTAATACTACTCTCTTCCGGTTATAGTTTATATAGCTAGTATAGCTCCTAGGATCTCCTCTATAAGCGCAATTACTATATAGTAGCTTTAGCGCTAGGTTATAGGAATGACGGCACCCTTTAAAATAACTACGGTTAGATTCGCAAGTTCTATATTTCGAAGGAAAGGGATAGTTTAGTATAGCGCAACTTCTAGCGTCTACGCCGAGGATATAGACTAGCGCCGCTCGCCTCGCTCTCTTATCGGTACCCTTCTATATTACGCCTTCTCCTAGTATACGTATATAGCCCTCTCGAAATACTAGATCTCGCCCTTTACTACTTACGATTTTCTTTACTAGCGCGTAGTCCGTAGTTCTAGTTTCCTAAATTTCACCTTTTTAATATACTTCTACTACTGCTTATACGAACTGTTGCGCGTAATCCTTTCCTACTTTAGGTACGATATTAAGGCTCGACATTATATTAGCGCTAGGAGTATAGTAGAGAACCCGAAGAGAAAGGAGGATAACTAAGAGAACTGCCGGGAACTTAGCTTATATAGATAGGGGATAGGCGGCTAAATAACAAGGTTCTCGGTGCCTCGGAGAAGTAGTAATACGCTAACCGTATTTAGGTAGCTAAACTCTATACCTAAAGAGAAAAAAATACTAGTACGGATAGAGAAGTTTTATATATATATATTATAGAGAATAACTACTAATCGTAGCCTAAAAGTCTTCTATATCGAAGTCGAGATCTGCGTCTTAAAGTATACTAAGGATCTTAGCTTCTTGTTTATATACGATAACCGGAGCCTTTACCTTAGCAATATCGCCTAGCCTTAGAGTGCGAGGTAGCGTTAGAGCGTATAGTATCGAGGTCGGAGTAGAGACTTAAGTACGGGATATAGGCTTTAAGAGTAATACGGGTTGTCCGGGTAGTCGCTTCCTAGAGAACGAAGGACCTAGAATAGGCGTAGTATCCTTAAAAATCTATTAGATTGTACGCGCTATAGATGCGGAACGAGGTATCGGTATAAGTACTAGCGTAGGTAGTATCGACGAGGCCTTAGTTAGATCTACCTACGCAATCTCCTTCGAAGGTGTTATTTTACCTATAACTTGTATTATCTATTAGGCGTTACTAGGACCTAGGGCTAAGTTCTAGAGGTAGACTAAGGAGTCGTCTAGTTAGTATCTAGGAAGTTCTACGAATAACGGTCGGCGCGAAGTTTTCGCTAGTGCTATAGTTAGCGTAGTTTCTCGCTAGCTTAGCTATCGTCCGACTCTAGTATCGACTAACGTCCTATCTTCGTCGTTACCTAGCACGAATGCCTTAGGACCCCTTTCTATCCTACGCGGAAGGCTGCTATCGCTACCTACTTCGCGGTCTAGACCCGTAAAGTTTCGAGTATACTAGTTAGGCTCGTCTTCGGGTTCTATAGCGTCTCGAGTAGAACCGGTAGGCGGTTTAGCGATTTCGGGAACGTACGCTCGAGGCACGTAGTTAAGTATACCCTACGGGCGTCGCGGTTGCTGCGCTAGTCCGGTAGAGCTAGTAGGTATAGCGTATATCGCTCCGCGTAATAGGACGTTCGAGGTTATACCTGCGAACAGACTTCTATCCTTAAAAATAAAGTCGTAGAGACGCTTAGGTAGATATAATAGAGCCGAGCGAAATACTTTATTTAGGGAGTCGCCGCCCTACGTTAAAGCATACTTTCCGTTAATAAGTACGCGGAGGTTATATACGTCCGTAACGCGTAAGAATGCTACGAAGAGTTAGCCGTAGCTAAATGCGGGCCGTCGAAGGTCGATACCGATATATACTAGGGATTAACCCTAAGATTTATTTATCGTTATTACGAAACAAGGTCGAAGCGGAAGTTAATATCGCTTAAGGGTAAACAGTAGGCCTTTATTCGAATATATCTAGATTCGCGGTATCTAGTACACTTCCTAATTATCGTCGTCTAGCAGTTTCCGAACTTTAACCCCGAACTAGAGTGTTTTTACGACGATAACCCGCGTTCCGTTTACGAGTCCTACGGTCTTGTAGATGTTCCGTATAATTATTATTAGTATACCTACCCGGATCCGTAGGCAAGGAATCTAGAGCTCGGTGTTCTAGATAGATTTTAAAAGGCTTAAGATTTCCGGAGGCTAGTCTTTATCGCTAGGCAACTTCTCTATCTTATCCTCGTAGCGATATTCGCGAATTGTACCGTACGGCAGGTCGTCTACGATACGTTCGTTAATCTTATAGGCGGTATCGTTCGTTATATAAAGGATAGCTCGAGAACGATAGAATACTAGGTCGTACTTAGCCTTAATAATACCCTATCTTAGAAAGACGAAATCGATAAGCTCGCTAAGGTCCTAAACTCTTCCGACGTATATTAGTAGCTTAATAAATCGATCGAACACGTCGTCGTATATAATATAGAGGGTCTAGCGGTAGAAGTCGACGTTCCGCGGATTGCTATCTACGAGCCGTATATTTTGCTAGAGATAGAGCACCTTAATCTTATTCTAGATTAGGAAGGCTTTAAATGTAATCGCTATTACGTCTACTTCCTTCGAAGACTTCTTATACTCGGGAAGTACTAGAAGAGTCTATACCTAGTCGCCGCCGAATATAACGGGGACTCCCGCGAAGAATAGTTCGTTACCCTAGCCGTTACTACCTAATCGTAACTTGTAAAAGAGTCGATGTATAGCTATAATATCGCGTCTATTCTATATCGCGGCTTCGTCCTAAATAACTAAATAAGTCTTTCGGATTAGCTTAGCGTCTATTATGTCTTACG